TGATATTTTAACAAAATCATATTTCGCAAATTGAGTTTCGACAAAATTATTTGGAAAAAACGAAATTTCGCCAAAGTTATTTTGACGAAATATTTTCGACAAAGCAAATCGAATTAAATATATTTTTAGGTAACTCAACGGGCATGGACAAAAATCGTCTTCTTCATCGTGGAGCAAATGAAAGAAGGATTCCACGAGGAAGTCAAATGGCAACGCCGAATCCGTCCCAGACATATGGGGGTGAGCGGATTTTAACGACCTAATCCCGGTCTTACTGTAGCTATTCTAAAGCTTTAGTTACAGTCCGCGCAACACAGCTCGTTGGGCGAAATGCCGTCGGTATTCCGGATGAACGCCGAGATGAAACGTTTCAATACTGTGGACACCTTGTGAATCACTTTTTTTTCTTCTTTTGATTCCTTTCACCAATTCCCAATCTTTTTTTTATGCTTTTCACAATTCTATCTGGCGCCCCGGTTTTGAGCAGTTCTTTTGATAGTCATTTCCCAATCACGGGTATCTTTTTATCTTTTTTTTGGTGTACGATAAATTGTGTAGAAAATAGAAGCGTCACTACATTTGGTACCTGACTGTTAGCGGGGGATAGCAGGAAGTGGAACTAATTTTTCGCCAGAATCCGGTACTCCTGTAACAAACTATAAACCAATTTTATAGCATTTTACAAAGTTTTTAGATAGCAAAATGACTTAAAAACTAATAAACATTTTGCAAATTTGAACTCTTTGGCCAAAAATGTATCAAAAATGACAAAAAATCTGAAATCGGTGCCACCCGCAGTATTCGGTGAGAAGCATAAAAAGTGGGGAGAATAGGTACTTGGCAAAGGGAGTACCCTATTAAAGGAGTGGCAAACCGGGGCTGAATAAGTGCACATTCATGCCACCATACCGCACCGACAGACAGACACAGCGTATCGCGTTAGAAATGGCGCCGATGCCGATTTACTGCCTCTGCCAAGGTGGCCGGGTGAAAAACGATACTAGGAGACATGCAGGAGATGAGAAAAGCAAGTAAAAGTCCGTGGTTGCCTTTTTAAAACAGTTAATAAACTTCAAAAAGTTAAAAAGCCGTTTTGTCGATTCTACACCGGCAACGGGAACTATAAGAAAATTCAGGTACTATAAAAAGATCAGATACCATAAAAAAAGATCAGGTATGATCGTGGACTATAGAATCGGGATGTCGGCCGGATTATGGTCCACGATTCCGACAGGCGCCAAAAGACGGGATCTATGCAGCGCGGTTGAATTGCTGTTTAATGTTTTTTTTTCACGAATTTATGCTTACAATAAATATTATTAACCATTTATTCAACTAAATTTAGATTGTTTGCCTTTTAAATGTTGTATGGTTTGGGCTTATTTTGCCTAGAATAGCATTTCAAGTTGGTTTTGAGGTTCCTGAAAATTTGCTGTTTCTCGGGCCTCGCAGTGAATCACAAAATTATTTCAATGGTTTGGCTTCAAAATTTGTCTTCTTCACGCCGTTTTCTGGATCCTTTGAATTGAAAACGAGCGGATATAAAAGATCGGATGGAGCTGAGAAAAACAAGCGTCCTGGAAAAATGAATGCTGTGTTGTTCATTGCATGTTTTTGGCTCTTAATTCTACAGACGGTAAGCTAGGAATCAACCTTAACTCGATCTTCCGAATAGCCATTAAGACATACATTTTAGGTTGAATGCACAGACTGTAGGAGTTGCTCGGTGGAGCCGTTTGGAGAATGCATCGAGGGTTGTGCCGGCTTCGCTAACATAACTCCAGATATCTGCTATCGTGAGGTCAACGGCTGCAGGGTAAAGCATCTGGATAGATTCGAGGGCCTCTAGAAAACCACACTGAGCTGCACGGGTCCGGACGCGGTCTATATCTTCGGGATCCTCCCTGGGAATGAAACGGCCTTCGTGGGTCTATTTGCAATTCTTACGCTAGATGTTGTCATAAGATTATATTTTACTAACGCTGGAAAAATCCTATGAGGTGCCGGGACTGTCCCGTGAAGGACGTGGTATGCTTCAATTTTTTTAGTTGGCTCGTCGCGAAGGCGCTGCTGGAGAAATGGTGACAGCTACAGTCACGGTGGATTGTAACGAAAATGGGGCTCTCGTTTTTCAAGGAGGCGTCTTCCAAAATAGCTTTGGATGCATGGGTATTGTTGAGAATTTGGATTTATAATATAAATTTCTAATGTCCGTCTGCCCGACGTCCGACCGGGAATTCAATCCCGCCGCGATCCCCCTGTCTACCGTAGTCGGGGGCTGAAAATTTTCACCGGAGCTCGAGCATTTCGTCTTTTTTCCCCCCGGGAGGGCCAGCGCTGAACCCCCGCGGAGCGGGGGGTCAGCGCTGGTTTGGATATAATTGGCCTTAGTTCAAAAACCGGAGTGACGATGCACGCAGGAAGGCAAATTTAACTCCTATATAATATTCCCGTTCCATGTTATGAAATCTAATAAAACGGATATACGCAAAATGCAACAGTTCAGCGCGACAACAATTGTTCCAAACTTCCGGTCCTTTAAGAAAACACTAACTGCTCGAGAACAAGCTTTATTTCAGAGCAAAAGCTTTCTCGGACCAGGGTCTTCATTAATTTCGGCCGGTGAATCCGTTTGGAGCCACAATTAAAGCTCAAAAATCTAATGTTTTGTAAAATTCTATCCTACTATACATAAAAATCCACGATAAGTCCTAACCCAATACTGATTATAGTGCCCGATCTTTTTTATAGTACCTGATCTTTTTTTATGGTTCCCGTTACCGGTATAGAACCGTGTTGTCTCCAAAAAACGCACTATATATGCTAGTTTTGAAAGGAAAAGATTGTAAAATAAAAAAATTGGCGAATGTTAGTTATTTGGTCGATTACGCGGCAATTTTGACACATTCCAAACCTGAAAATCTTTTCAAACATAAATAGCGGATTTTTCAGATATTGAGAACTATTAATTTAATAATCAAAATCAAAGCTTTCATTGAATTTTTTACTCAGCTGAGAAATAAAAAATGAACATTTTGGGGCGAATTCCTCAAAATCCGTATGTTAATTGCGAAATGAGCCGGAAATACACAGCATAAATGTTTGAAAAACTTTTTAGGCATGACTTTTCTATTTTAAACTCTAAAATATAATATTGCTTTTAAAAACGCGCATAGATAATTTTTCTCGATCGGCAACGTGAATAAAAATTAAGGATAAGATATACCTGCTATTTTCGAGGAAAAAGCTGTTAAGGATACCTTCTATGACTGTATATAATTTTTTGGGTAGCACAAAGCTTCAAGAGCCCCAAACTCCTCCGGAATGCCGCCAAACCATTTTTTCCACGGCCCTCTAACCGACCGTAAATTCCTGGTGCAACTCGAGCCCACCGTAACAACCCATCAAGCGGCCATAATTCGACGACGAGATGGACGAGGGCCATAAATGAGGGCGGACAAGGGGGATGACTCGAAACCCAGCTCTTTCAAAGAGGGAAAAAGGGGGTTGTCTCCCTATAAAGCCTCCCTCACAGATACCGGCCTCATTTGCATACCGTTGGCGCAACTCGTTCCACCCGCTTCCAACTGCCAGCCCCCAGCACCCCAGCTGTGAAGATGGGGGTAAAGCCGGCTTTTGGAATGTTAAGTTTCTTAGGGATTCTGATGGGTTTTTGAGGCTCGCAAGGAAAGGTTTTTGCATCTAGCTTGTGCAGAATTTTGTGCTGATTTCGGATACGCTTATCAAATTTGAGAAATCTCGTTTTTCCGAGATTTACGCACGATCTAAGTTGTAGAAAACCATATTACGTGTGTCATTTTGGGCGGTTCTCGGCTGAGGTTGTCCATAACCCGGAAATTCATAATTTCGCAAAATTTGTTAGCATATTCGGAATCAGCGCAAAATTCTACACAAGATAGGCTCGTTCTCAGCTCGAACCTGAGATGTAACTCCAAAACGCATCCTCCTTGTAAGCGCAAAAATGGTACCACCCTTTTCTCCATACCCATGAATTAGCCAAGAGCAAAATTGGTGCTCCACGAAATTCTCCTTTCATATGCCTGCTTCTCTCTCCCTCCTCCAGGACTTTAGCCTACCACAAAAAGGTTGCCCTCCAGCCTCGATCCCCCATAATCGTGCCCTTAATCAAGTCCTTGTTGGTGACACTTTCTAGGCTTTTTCAAAAATTTGGCAGGATAGATGAACGATGTGGGGGAGGGAGGATGGCTTTGGAAGGAAGAATTACGAGCGCAATTTTTAATTCGTAGTAAAGATGTAACGCACATAATTTAAGACGGGCTAATTAGGATGCAAATTCGAATCTTAAAAAAATGGTTTGTGTACAAGCTAAGTTTTCTGCATGGTACGTTTACGGGTTTCATGCTCATTAGTCGTGTTTCGAACGTCGTGACTATATGAGTAACAGCTCTAATTTATAGGGTAAGTTAAAAATTAAAATCACACCAATTCCGCCAGACTCTATCTACCTTCCGATCGCTTCCGGAAAAAACGAACCGCCCCGGTTGACCCACCAGCCGAGGGGCGTGAAAACCGAGCATAAGCTGAACTGTTCCGCCTCCCCCAAATGCCACCCATTTATTGCCACCCGACATTCTATTGTTTTACCTAGGCTCCGATACACTACTCAGTTTCTGTCAATCCACATTAGTAGCTTAGCCTAAGTCTAAGCTTCCTAAATAAGTCTCCTAAGCCTACTAAACCTCCTAAGCCTCCTAAGCTTAATAAGCCGAAGCCTAAGCCTAAGCTTAAGCCCGGAAAAATTGCTTTTAACTGAAACCCTCGAGACCCCCAGACAACCATGCATATTTTTAAAACTGGTCATCCCTCCAGTCTACCCAGTAACTAGGCCTCGACCAGACCTGACCGATACTTTCCCCCCCAATCCATTCGTCAACCACTGGACTCTATATTGATTTCTAGCATTTTGATACCCCTTATTTTTTCCGAATTACTACATTTATCACAAACCATTTAGCTAAATGGGCGTCCGTTGGCTCCAATTCTCTTTGGGAGCCTGTGCGGTCGGTTTTCTGTCATGCGCCTTCTGCTTGGTATCCATTTTTGGAGATCTACGCCTATTCCTAAGAGATAGCCAACACGAGCTCACTCAATTCAAGGTCAGCCTTCCTGATTAAAAGAAACTGGGTTTAGGAAATTAGCGACGATATTTGGGATAGTTTTCTAAAGGACGCCCCCGAAATCTTTGCCACGCCAGCGAAGAGCCGGACGATTAGACAGGCTAACTACGGTAGGGCCGTACTAAATTTAGAAATACGTAACTACGTTTTAGTCCAAAATTCATATGTAAATGGCGCTCAAACGACAAGGGCTCCCTATGGCGCGCCGTCGATTCGCCCGACTAAACCTCCGGGGTGCAATTGTCAGAATGAGAAAAATAACTGCCCGGCTGGCCCGCCAGGACCTAAAGGGCAACGGGTTCGTGTCTTAAATCTAAATGTTGTAACTTTTAAATTAGGGCCATCCGGGTCCCGACGCGCTCCCAGGAGCTGCAGGTATTCCTGGTATTCCGGCATTTATCTATCGACCACCAGCCGATCCTTACGCACCACCACAACCTTGCATTGTAAGTGTTTTGTGAAAAACACGTATGATTTAAAGACGCAACCGGTTTTTGGATCAAAAACCTAGCTATTTGAAAATCTGAATTAAAGTCTGAAAAAATAATAGAAAATCTGAGAAAATTTATTGGCTTCCCAGTCCCTTTAAAACCAAACTTCAGAGCTGCCCAGCCGGTGCTGCCGGACCACAAGGACCCGATGGATACCCAGGCGAACCCGGTCCCGATGGATTCCCCGGAATGTCCGGAATGCCCGGCCTCCCAGGCATATTCAACTCCAAAGTCTAAACCCCGTTTAGGTATCCCCGGAATGCCAGGTGCTGCCGGAAACAAAGGATATCCCGGACAATCCGGTCTCCCCGGAAAGGAGGGAATGCCTGGAGCATCAGCTATTCGGAAGATATCTTTGCCTGGGCCTCCAGGAGCTCGTGGATCGATTGGAAGGATCGGATATCCGGGTGAAGATGGGATGCCTGGATTGGATGGAAGGGTTGGGCCTGTTGGGCCACCAGGATATGCTGGACAGCCTGGTAGACGAGGAATGCCGGGTGGACCAGGGACTGTTGGTGGTCCTGGGGAGCCAGGTGAGTGCAATTTTCCGGAAGTAGTAGTTGGAGTTGAGTTTTTGAAACGAGCGGGGAAAGCTGTAACGTACCCTTTTATTTCTAGGTCACGATGCTGCATATTGTCCATGCCCTCCACGATCGATGAACCAATACGTCCAATCTTACCAAAACGAAGCCAACGTCTATGAAACCCCCATTCAAGGCTATTCCCAGCCATCACCCCCGTTGCAAGCCCAGTACGCCGACCCTCCAGGTCCATTTTTACCGAATTCCAAATCCAGATTCAGTTGAAGGCAACCCGCACGTAGCACGAGCTCCGCAACTTCGCGCCCCGGTCCGAATCTTAGCACGACCCGTCGGGGTGCCTGGCCAGAGGACGACAGTTAGGGAACCATTGAACAATCAGGTTTTAACCATACGCCAACTTACAGCTCAACCTGATTTTTAGCGACCCGGAGCTCCACAAGCGCCAGGCTTTGGCCCAAAACCTCCTGGCATTCCGCTTCCCACATCTCAAAGCCTAGACCCGTACTTCGGTAGAAGGGTTCGTTTTTACGGATTTGTTAAGACTTTGTAAAAATTTATTTTGACAAAAATCGCTTTGTCGGCATTTTGTCGAAATATCATTTTGACAAGATTTCAATGCACTGAAATCTTATTTTGCAAAATGTTTGAGGTGAAAACAGGGATTGAAATTTCGACAACATGAATTTCGAACAAAATCGAATACCGACAAAACAAACTAAGCCGTTTTTACCTTATAAAAACCTTGTACCTCAAAGGTCATTACAGGTCAGCCGTCACTATGGCCGCAGAAAGTTCCGCCTCTACGCCGAATAACCCAATAACACACTGCTCATTTCTGCAATTCCCAAAACTGTGATTGATGGATGCTATTTATTAATTTATTCAGTGCAATTGTTCCTCAATCAAGCACGTGCCAAATCGAAGAAATATTTGTAGTCCTTTATGTATGTACGCGTACAAAGATTCAGACGGGGTATTCAGGGGAATAGGGAAGCGAGGAAATGACATTTTAAAAGGCCGAAGTCGCAGCTCCTTGGTTATCAAAATAGATATCATTTGGTTGAAGGTGTTTGGGCAGATTTCTGCGTGGCTTTTGGCGACCACCAAGTGCTACTTCCAGATCGATATCTGGGAATATTAACTCGATGTCGGAAAATTTCGGATTTGTCAACAGCTCCTTTGCCAACGGCCTCGCATTCAAATCAGAATGCTCGTACCAATGATGCCGCATTTCTAAAATTATCCCTTTTTGAAGAGATATTTCCATTACACACCTCCAAGCGAATTCTTCACCGATATCTTCACTTTCCCCTGCTCGATATCCGAGAATCGAATCAATAACACGCTCCTGGGGACGCTACGCAGCAGCTGTTCAGCTTCTTCCTTCCCACAAAATCCGTAGATAAGGCTAAGTTATGGAAAAATATGATACTGGATTTGATGACATACCCATCAAACCACATACTGTAGAGATATTTGTTCACTATCTCAGCCAATTTGAAGAACCAATCGAAGAATGGGACCAGCTTCCAATCACCTTCCGTTCCGCTTGTCTTTTTTTGTTGGAATTCTTCAGCGACGGGTAGCTGAACGATTCTTATGGACCATTAAATTCTAAACAATACCTTCATAAAATTATCAATGACAATATATCCATGTGGTGTCGGTTTTAGACGTTTGATGATGTGCTCTTTGGCTTGTGGGGTGAAAGAGCGAGGCTGGATGATGGCCGGTCCGTCGGTGGATTTTTGTGGGGTCTCGACAATTGCCTAGATTCATAAATGTTATTTTGTTATAAAGTTTGATATGAGATTGATATGATACCTGAAATTTCATCTCAAGCTGGTCAGCCATTTCTACGGCAGATACATGGGGTGGGACCTCGCTGAGGGGTTGGCGGACCTAATTTTTGATGAAATTTTTGGATGTTTTAGACAGATTAGAAGTAAATTTTTAAGACCTACCAAGTCTGCGAATGATCTTTCGAGGAAAAGCTTGGCTTCGACGTCGGTTTTGGGCCCAACGAGGACAGCAAATGGGAGTGAGACCTAAAAAGCTTTAAATTTTTTTCAAACGTTTCTAAATTTCTCTCCAAATATCGTTTCCATGTTTTAATGAGCAATAGTGAAAGTTTTTGAAAAAAATCAGCTTTACGCTTGTATCGGGCTTCCCATCTCTGAACAGATTCAGCCGAGAAGGCGTGCAATTCTGGCTGGCCCAGGACCACCCAATCGAACTCGCTGGGTGGTCCTCCTGGGTGGTCCACTTTTTCTCTAAGGATTTCCCAGTTTTCGTTATTTTTAATTTTATTATAAGCTATAAAATAAAGAATAAAACATAGATTATAAATTCTATAAAACCTTTTAAAATAACACCCACTTTCTTCCCCACAAGATCGATACCACAGCTCGTTTTCAAGCGAATATTATAGCAGAGGCAGTAACGCTTGGTGGCCACAGATTCGCGGCGTAGTTGCACTTTCTTTGCGATGCGCTGGAATTTTATAAATGTTGTTAATTATTATTATATGCCCACCATATCATCAAACTTCGCTTTGAGACCGCGATGCTCTTTCACATGGAAGGTGGCGTTCGGGGGTTCGATCGAAAATTCCTCGCTTTCAAAGCTAAAACAAAGAAAAATTACATTTACGTTTTAAAATAAGCATACAGAACATTTAATAAGCCATGAAAAACTATTAAAAATAATTTACATTTCGAAATAAGCGTTGCTCAACAGCTGCCTCGCCGTTTCATCAGTAATTAGGTAGCACTGCACCTCCACCCCGCTCCCAGCGGTCTCCAGCCCGAAAGCTCGGCCTCCAAGAATTCTAGGATCAAGATAAAATGCCTAAATATCTACCGTAACCCACCTGATCTCTGTGTTAAACCAAAATCTGCTGCGTCGATGGTTTTCTGCTTCACCACACTTTACGATCACGCTAGGTGGCTGGCGTGAGACGATAATCGAGTAGTATAGGAAATAGTGGGCCATTTGGCGGAATTTGGAATGCATCTGAAATTTCATTTCACTCAATTAATCGATTTTAATATGTTAACGTAATCAAAAAATGCTTACATCTTCAAAACCTTGGCTTGGAAAGTATTGAATCAAATATTCCAATCCCGAAATTGTATGCTGGAGTACTTCACCAAAATATTCAAATTCCTGGTGGATTGTGTCGAGTTGATTGTAATGGAGTTGTTGAGTCCAGAGGGTTCCAATTGAAATCTGGTTGAAGAAGATTAATAACAAAAAAATATAAAAAATCATATAAAATTTTTGTACCTTTTGTTGTCTGATTGCCCAAGTGCAAAGAACGTCACCCATCAGATACGCCTTCTCATCCTCATAAGTGGCCAACATTTCATGGCACGTACGAATGATTTTCTGGTAATAGAAGATTATTATAATTAAATTAAACTATTAAAACCTGGATGAGCAGCGGTTGATCTGAGATTGAAGTTTTGCCGGAGAGAAGGACATCCACATCGTTTTTGAAGATCTAAAAAAGAATATTTAAATTTCTAAATACTAATTTTAGTAGCTTTTAAGATACCTGATAAGTCTCAACCGATAGATTATGCTTCGAGAAAAACAATGAATCTATCGACGGGTCAGCGGGTGAAAATGCTGATGTCGGCTCACTATCCATCGATTCCATGTCGTTCATACTAAAAATTGAAATTTATGGATCAGGACAGCATAAAAATATTTAGAAACCTTTTAAGGTATAAAAAACCCAAATTCACGTGCCCAGCGCGTCACTTAATCGATAGAACTGGCCAAGGTCGGGAGCGCGAGCCCGCAGCAACGACAAAATTCCTTGAAATTTCTCTCAACCTGCCTCTCCACCCCCTTCTCATTCGCATCCCACCTGGGGTTTCTCCCGGACAACAATCAAAAGTGAGCATGAGTCATTGAAAGGGGAGAAATCTTGGGATTACGATGGTTTGGAGCAGCAAAAAGTAAAAAAGCGTTTGGAGCAAGTGCAAATTTTGAATTAACAAAAAATGCAAAATTAACAAAATTTAACAGCTCTATGTAAATTTATTGATTTTACGAGCCTTTTGCTTTATTTAAATACTGTATAAACCTTAAATTTTGGTTTTTTCAACAAAAAAACGCAAAATTAAAAAGTTAACAACCCCAAAAGGTCTTAATTTTACGATTTTTCCACTTTTCTAAACGTCTTTTAACGTTGTTTATAAAAATGCTGGCTCTGAATTCTATGGCATAATCGATTCTAATCAAATAAATAATGGTAAAAATATACTGTAAAAAAGCTTTGAAATAATTTTATTCATGTTTAGCACACGTAGTGACCGGGTTACCCGTAGCACGCAAAATATGTGATGGGGAGGCGGGAGAATCCAAAATATCGAGGCTAGACTTCACTAGCCCTTTAAGCAGTTGTGACTTTCATTGGAAATTTTAACAATTATTCACATAATAAATTAGTGTAAATGGATTCAGACGTCTTTTGCCTCGCTGGTAGGCTTCGTATCGCTTTCTGCAGTCAACAGGTTTTGGCGGTAGGCTGAAAATCGAGGGATTTAAACCTAATTTCTTTTTTGAGGAAACTTGCAAAATTCAGTATAAAACTACAAGGTAATTAATAGATTTGATGACGCACTAATAGAGATAAGCTTTTCATTTGCTTTTTGCTGCCTAGCAAACTTAATGTCAGAAAGGATAAAATATAGAAAATAAATAAAGAATTGAACTAACTGTGATAGGGGGTGCAGAGGGGCGATCCCTTACGCAACGACATCGTCGAGAAATCTCCGCTCGCTGATCGCCGCGACTTGACATCCAACACATTTTCCATGAAAAGCCGGATAGCACAAATTTTTTGCAGCTCAGCTCGGTATCTAAAAATGTATAAATTATACATAAATGTAAAAAAGGTTTACCGGGTAGAATACGTAACGTAGAAGACAAAACTCGTCGATGAATTCACGACGATAAGAATATTATTGATATCGTTGAGGAGGAAACCGAGTGGACCCATGAATAGCTCATGGTCTATTGTTTCGGCGACGTTTAGGATGAAGCTGAATGTGTAGCAGAAGAGGAATACTGAAAAGGATAGAATTTAGGGGTAGGCTAGCAGGGGCTCTTGAGAAATTAGGTAGGTCACCCGGTGATTACTAAAAATTACGACAAAAAACTTACCGATCACCACAAATAACATCATTTTGGCTGTTGAATGCTCCCGCTTCTCGCTAGCTACAAGCTGACGACGTTGCTCACCAGCAGCCAAGATCGTCCTTGCCACCTAACAAGAATAATTTTTGACTTTTGAGTTCCAAGCCTACCTGTAGATTCAATAAACAAAGAACAGCAAACGGAATTACGAACTGCGAAATTAACGTAATTACAGTTTGATACCTGAAGCATCGATTATAGTACCAAAAACAATCCTACCATAACATATACGCCTCATTTTTACGCAACATCGGATCGAGGATCTGGTCGATTTTTAGCTTCTCCACTGTACAATCTAAAAATAACAAAATTAACGATTTAAATGCTGGAGATCACCTAACAGCCGATACTCCCAAAATCGACAAAAATTATACACAACTGAGAACACAATGATGCAAGCAACGGTGAAGAGAGCACGACTTCTAAAATATTTTTAGTTGAAGTCTGAATCAAGAACACTAAAGAACATAAATTTAAACTACCTCGTGCAGTACGTTTGCACCATGAACGGATGGCAAACCGCCAGATATCGATCGACGGTGATGAACACGAGAAGCCAAACGGACATTGCCTAGAGAATTCTTGTTTTTATAGCTTTCCATGCCCCTTCAGCAGCCCCTTAAAACGATGTGAAAACTACTTACCTGAAACATCAAAGTAATAGGATAAAAATAGAGCATGACGGTGCCAATCGCAGCTTGGCAACCTAGAAAAAAGGTTGTTTATAGGTTTTGTATGGAATTTTTATAATAAATACAAATCTATGATTTATATTGATATAATAGGATATTAGTTATCATTTATCTCATGTAATTTATATTTTTGTAGCTATACCATACCTGGAATCAATTCCTGCATCTGGCTAATCGAAAACACGGGTATCGCCAGAACACAAACAGCAAAATCAGCACACGACAAGGCAAGGAGCAGCACATTGATCGATCTAGATTTTGGATCCGTATTTTCTATAAATTTTTTTAACCCTCATTTTTATCCCCTAATTTCGACTAACATTAGTTGGTTCCGGATTGAAGTACTTGTGCCGTTTTCCGGCTTCTAGTGCGTAATCAGATACGCCAGGGTTCCGGTTGTTGTCGAAAGTTTTTGGGGGGAGTCGATTTTAAAAGAAGGAGGGTGATTTGGTATCGGCTTACGGGGGGAAGAGACCAGAATCTTGCAGCGTTTTTGTTCAGTTTTGTGACAATGAAAGTGGGATATAGAATATGGCCTTTAACGGTCAATTCAAGGGGCTGAGAAGGCACTGCTGTGGATTTTTTGCTGTCGATTTCTGTGGATGTTTGAGATTTTTGGAGTGGCACCTTTTAAGGCTCGGGGGAAGCTCGGAACGGCAAAATTTTTATACCATTACAAAGCTTTAAAAAAGACGAGCAAGACGTTTTTAGTTTTCAAAACCGATATGCTACTCGTCGAAATGCAACATTTTTGAAAAAGTTGTAGATTTTCGTGGGCAATCGGTAATTTGCATAATTTCTAAACTAAGGAAACGACAAGTTATTGTGTTCTCCCTTTTTAAGGCCTTCGATTGGTACCCTTTGATACCATTTAACTCACCGTTTTTTGAATGCCGGCCGAGAATAGATGTAGATGGACAGCAAATTCCCGACAATCCCACACACGCAGCACAGGTTCATCACCAGCGCACATATCAGGGATAGCTGGGATAACATAGCCGATGGCCCTGAAATTTTTGAATAAAAACTTGAATTTTGAGAATTTTTGCATAAATGTTTGAATAAAAAACCTAGACGATAGAGCATATAGACAAGAAGATAGGGAGAAAAAGTAAGAAAAGACAAGGGAGCAAAAAGAGGGGGGCTTTTGATCGAATTTTGCTCGTCGCTCCTGCAGAAGGGCGCGGAGTTCCGGGTGTCTGGGGTCATTTGTTCACACTAGAGAGTGGAAAGTTTGTGGCTTAGATTTTATAAAACGATAGATATATAGAGAATAAAGTTTGCAAAACTACATAGTAATAAAATAACTCTGATTATAGCGTAGGGATGAAACGGCAGTATCGAAATTTTTTGTCTAGAGCTCCATGGTTCACATAAAAATTTGGACTATGCGATGTTGCTAGACGTCAAACTAGATTGTTAGAAAGTACACCACATATTTAGTAAACCAAATGGACCAATCCCTCGTAGTCTTAAAGTACGTACTTCCAGCTCAAGTCTCAGATTCCAAAATGTACCCCCAGGGACCGAAGTCTACCACACTCCTCGCAAACTAGACCAATCCAACCCTTAAATCTCTCACTAAAACATTACAAGACTGTACATTATAATACTTTCAAACTAAATTTCGAATAAACCAATCAATAACAGAAGCGAGAAAATGTGAAATGGCTTCCCCTCCCCCTCCCCTGCCGATTGCTCCAGGTGACTCAATGTGGACCTGTGAAGTGTTTTCGATGATCTCGAAATGCCCTCCTTGTCGCCTGCAGAAAATGAGGGAAGCCACAATTGTCATCATTTTCAGTATTATAATTCCGAGATTGGATTAGGGCAACCCGGGGGGTTTTTCGGCTCGAATTCAAATTTCAAATGTAATTAGGTATGGGCCATTATATGGTTTTTGACGGCAAATAACGCATTATAGAGGGCAAGAGACTACGGTAGGTTGCTGCAAAATTGTAAAAAGGGACGAAAAAGACGAGCGAATGTCTTTGGCACCAAATAAATCTCGGGCACCCTGAAAAAGGGAAAGAAGAGCGAGTGTCAAAATTTGAGCGCAAAAAATCGGGACCCAGGGGCTGGGTCGTTGGCCCTGATTGATGCTTTTAGAGGGGGGCTCAGGGGTTAGAACGAGGGCGCAAAAGGTAGATTGATGAAGGTATCATGGGAGAACGTTTTTTGGGCGATTTTGAATTTCTGGGGCACGCGAGATGATGATGAGCTTTGTGGCGACGTAGTGGCGGTAAAAAAAGGATGCGACGTAGGAGATGAGATTGGAGTTCAAGGATTAAAACATATAGAAAAAAAATTTTTTAATTCCCTGTAGGCTTTGCTTACAACCTATTTTTAAACGACGATATAGATTGCCATTTAAAGATGAAAAAATTCGTACTAGGTCGTTAGCAGGGGTTCTATCACGGACCAACTAATCTTTTGTTTTGAGGTGTATAGCAACCGGCTAATAATGAATAGTGTATTTCTATAACGTTTTTCATAGTCTTTGCTTGCTCGAAATTTTCAAAAAATAATTTATAGATTTTCGAAAATTCGAAAATTTTGCCTTTGCCTTCATACATTTTTGATCAAAACGTTTTTAGAGTTTTTATATAAAGTTTTTTACAAACCTATTTTTATCTAAAAACTGCGTAAATTGTTCTCGAAATGGTTTATAGTTTCCCTTAGAATTACTGGGCAAAATCAATTTCCCCTGCTAACCCCCCCCCTCCTCCAGCTAACGGTTCAGTACCGAAAATGACCATCATCCGTACGTTTACATAAAAAAATCAAGCTTTTGTTTATTGTTAGCGTAGGTGTTGAGTGAACACTTTGGCAACCTATTTTCGCAGCACCTTTTCTGCACCCACCATCTCGTGTCGTTCCGCTTCTAAGAAGACGCGCAAAATGAACAATGTCCCCCCCCTAGACCAAATGTCCACTCAAACCTTCCTCGTTCTCCCCAATCAAAAACGTATTTTTTGGAGGGCCGTTGGGAGAAGAAGACGATGCCCTGACTGAGGGCACAGATAGATAGAAGACAGAATAGACGAATTTAATCTCCCCCTCCCCCCTTTTCCAGCTGAACCTCCTCCTCTGCGTTGGTGAGGCTTCACCAGCGGGAGAGTGAAAGGGGTTTCCGGGCGGAACCACGGGTGAAATCATCAGCCTACACCGGCGGGGGAAATTTGTTTCAGGAGGCCGTGGGGGGCAAACTCGAAATGTGCGGGCCCGCAGATTCGCGCCGTATGCTAATTGGGGCTTGGGATGTGCAATTAGGGGGGCGAAACTTCTATCGAAAAGGAAATTCTGAGGAACCACAGTTCCGTTTTTTTTGTTGAGAAGGCTGAACTTTTGGACTTCCTTGTTTTGACGTTAACTGAAAAATTGCGGAAAGTTTTTAGAAACCATAAAATAAAAACCAAGTGCGGTCCTTGGATTTTGTAGCGATAATTTCCGGTCTGGGTGATTCGCAAAAAATCCGGAACGCTAAAGAGCGATTACGTGTCCGGAAGCGTCTAATCCCCTAAAAGGATTTGTGGCTTACTTGTTAGAAATCTCGAATTCTAAAGGTTTAGGCAAGGATAACAATCAAATAAGTTTGAATGGATCAAAATAAAGGCCTAAATATTGCTGGAAGTGTGCCATCCCCCCGTCATTTATCATGCCGTGCCATAAGGTCGCAAGAAATTGGCTCTTTTGCGGAATTATTCTTCTTAGAACGAAAAAGGCGGGAGCGGCGCATGATGTTTTTGCAAAATTGATGGGTTGCAATTAGGTGCATCTATGTTATCTTGAGCTTGAAAATAAAACAAACCGGAGGTGGGAATTCAGAAATGTTTAGAAGACCAGATGTTTTGCAGAAACACCTTAAAAACGTTTCAAGGTTTGTTAGGAGGCGATTAGCGATAGCCAAAAGTGTGTAGAGCCCACATAAAGAAGCAGGAAAAGACCATTCTCATTTTGTGCACGGGGTTTTGAGAAAAGCTGGCCGTGTGAAACGCCGCGGAGCGGCTTTTAGCCCTTTTAGTCTTTTGAAAAATGGAATTTTATGCGCTTGCAAACTAACTGGTTGCATTAAGTGCATCTTTGCTGTTTCAGGTTTTTTCAAAAACAAAGATAATTCAGAAAGCCTAGAAAACTTTTTTCTGAAACTACCCTGAGAGCCTGCACAAGTTACTTCAAAATTCAGGGTTGTGTGTTTGTGTGCGTGCGTTGTGGATATACTGGCCCCCCAGGGTTTAGAATTCTCCATTGCAAAAGCTCAGGTTGGTTGGCTGGCTGTGGATGGCTGGGGAGGGCCATGTTTTTGCAATGAGAAGCCTAAGGGGACAAAGGGGGGGGAGCAAGAAGGACAGGTGAGGGCGAGGTGCGGCTCGAGAAATTGAGCACACGGGTGCACTGGATGATGATTATGCGTCGTTCTCGTGGCCCGGAGGGCACATTGGAAATGTGGCCCCTAGCCAGGGGGGAATTGCTGGAAGAAAGGGGGAAGGGGGAGGTCTACAGCCGGCATTTTGGACCAGGGGGTAGTTGGGGCCAAATGGCCAATGAAGTTGGGGGAATTAAATCGGATGATCTGGAGGAGAAGGGTTTGGGTTGAAGGAATTGTTGTGAATATAAAAGTAGGGAAATAGTAGGGAAAAGCCATATCATAATAGCGCGGCGAATAGGCATTGAAATTTCGTAAAAATGACTTTCGACAAAATGAAAATGATTATTAGCTCAAATATACCTAGACCCGCCTATAACAGCGTGGGAAAATTTTCACAAAAACAACATGTGTGTCCAGCAGTGAAAGTTGCCCCAAGAAACCCAAAAGAAGAAGGCCAACAATTCCAAAAGGCGGGTCAAACACGGAGTCCCGCTCCCAACAAAGGCCAAGCCGAAAACTAAATCGAAGTCTAGCGATTCGGGCGGGTGCCTGGGCAAATACCCTGCAAACCTCATCGAACCTGTCCTATTAATTAGGGGCGGGGCCTCGGGGTGAAGAATTCTTGGAACAATGCCAGTTCCTAGCATTTGATCAAGCACTTTTCTGGAAAATCAAATTTCGGGATTATATAGCCTAGACATAAGCCAAGCCTAAGCCTAGGCCTAAACCTAAGTCTAGCCTAAGCCTAGGCCTAAACCTAAGTCAAGCCTAAGCCCAAGCCTAAGCCAAAGCAGAAGTCTTAGGAAAAGAAAAAGTCTAAGCCTAAGCCTAAGCTTAATCGGGGACCACTCCTAAGCTTTAGTCTATCCCCTAAGCCGGAGCCTAAACCTAAGCGCGTCCAAGCCTAAAGCCTAAGCATAGGCCTCAGCCTTAGCCTAAGCCTAAAACTAAGTCTAGTCCTATGCTTAAGTCCAAGCCAAGCCTAAGCCCAAGCCCGACCCTTGCGTGTGGTCCGAATAAAATCAAATACACGAGAGCGACGCGGCGGCCCCAGCGTCGTCGTCGTCGTAGTAAACTTTTTTGAGGTGCATTCGCTGCGGAATGACCAGACGTAGGTAGAAATTCGGGGGTTTTCTAAAGAAAGCTGTTCCAAAAACGTCCCGCCAAGTACCCAGGAACCGTGGAGGAAATTGAGTTGCAGAGGAGGCGGGAGTCCGACTAATAGTACGCGATTGGAAGGGGATTGCAGAAGAGAAACAAGGAGAAAAAAGGGACCCGGAAATTCTTGGCTGAATTGGATCAGGAAGGGGTAAAAAGTCAAGAAGGGGGGAATTGTCTGTTGCATATGTTTCTTAGCGATTCGGTACTACGGGAGGGGGGTACGGTACTAAGATAGGTCTCGCAGATTTTCTCTAAAACTCGAGCCTCTTCCTTGCGTTCAAATCCCACAAAAACTAGTGTATACCAAGATCCTGCAGATCAAAGGCTTCTCGAGCCGTGAACGCCAGAAAAAAAGCGGTTACAAGTCGTCGGGCGGGTTTAAGGGGAAAGAAGAAGGCAAAAAGACAGAAGGGGAAACGATGTGGGGGGATGCCTGTATTTGTGGAGATGGACGTTGAGGGGTTGGACCAGAGGAGACACTCGAGACCCTCACCATTCCGGCCCAATGTTTCCCCCCTTCAGTATGTCAGTGTGTGGCCCATTTCACAGGACACGCGCAAAAAACCCTGGCTGGGTTCACGTTCACCTGACCGTTAGACATCGGGGAGAAGCAACTTTCTGACTTGGGCAGTTGAGTGTTTGGGGGGTTTGTGGGCTAAAGGGGTCGGCCAGGCTTTACTATAGGTGGGTTCCCCTGGCTTCGTTATGGTTATGATGGCTAACATACCTTAAGCCGAAGCCTAACCCTAAATAAACTATGCCCAAGCCTAAGCTAAGCATAAACTAAGTCTCAGCTAAGCCTAATCTAAACGCTTAAGCTGTCGAAGCCGAAGCCTAAGCAACAGCCTAAGCCTAAGCTTAAGCTAAGCCCAATGCCCAAAGCCGAAGTCTAAGCCTAATAAGCTCGGATCCAACTTTATCATAACTGCAGCAGGTGCCTACCAGCTCATTTGGGAAATGAACACCAAAACAGCATCACCGTTTCCGGTGTACATCGTAACGCGCCGTACTCACCGGACATGGCGGCCACATAGTCACCTGGAATGTGCGCCGTCGCTGTGGCCACCCCGGGCGATTTTATTTCCTTTATTATACGTGTGTGCCCCCGGGGGCACCGGATAACAATTATCCCCGCGACCGCCAGGCGTGCACAAATTTTTCGGCATACACCCGCGAAATTCCACGGTTTATGGGGATCGGCGATGGGAGGGGTGTGAGGGTGGTTTAAAGGCGAGGGGGGGAAGTCGTTTCTATAGATTTTTTACTCGATTTTTGGGCATATGGCGACCAAAACCAAATGTTTTTAGCGTCCAGCGAAAAAGCGTCAAACAATATCCTCGTGGTTTGAATCAACGCAAAATAATTCACAAAAAAGGACGAAAAACAAGAAGAATCCGGGATACGCTTTTCTCCTGAACTTAGAGTTGATCTGCGTACTATTCAAAGCAGTTGGAGCCTGATCTTTGTTTTGTTTGTGCAAAGACGCCCCTGCAGAGAAGATTGCTTTTTCCGGCGTAGGGACACAATTTTGGGATACCCGTGCGGCTTTCCCGAAAGATTCCGACGTTAATCCGGGTTTTCAAGGGCGTTTCTTTAGGACTAACGATTCGTTGTACGGTAAGATGGGCGCGTGGATGTCCTTGGGATCCCGGAAAGGATTTCGATTACCATGAAATAATGTCGTTTGAGGAGGGCTGAGGGCTAAGTAATGGGGGATCGGGGTGGTAAATTGGGAGGTGATGTTGGGGATGAGCACGAGCTGACATAAATTGAGGGAGTCAATAAATTGTGATGGCACGGAGGGGTGGTGGATAGGTTGATTTCTTTGGGTTTTGTGGGCTCTAGGACATCGGTACTGGACTGTTAGCGGGGGGTGGGGGTAGAGAAGGGGGAAAACCAATTTTCAACATAACAAAATCAGGACTATTTTTCGCATTTTAAATAAATCTATAAATCCTATGATGTTCGAAAAATGCAGCCTTTTCGGTAAACACTTTATTAAAATGACCCAAAAAAGTCCAAGTTTTCGAATTTTTAATACTATGTTTTGTACCTTTCTAGCAATCTACGTTTACTAAATAAACTAAATGAATAAGAATAAGAAGGATGAAATTATATAATTATTCCAGTACCTCAGTTCGTGCCCCCTTAAAAACCCCAGAATTGTACTAAAACAATCTGTCACCTAGGAAGGGGTATTTAATTTAACGAAATACGGTCACAGCCTCAAAATCAATATTCTAAAAGTCGATTAAACCCCTCACGCCGCAATCTAACCCCTCAAAGCCGATGCGTGGCAAATGGCAGGAAGATGGCCGGCCGTTCTTCCTTCCTTCCTTCCGTCTTCACCCCCTTCTATTTCTTCGCTTTTCCTTTACCCCCCCCATTTTCCCGGCGCGCACTCCATCTAGCTAAAGTAATTAGCAGCCAAGAGGAGAAAACAAGCCAGCCGGCCACGGAATAAAATCATTCATTTATATTCACCGCGTCGGCGTCCTCCAAACAAACCCCCCACCCCACCCCACCCACACCGCCGTCACTTGACCAAAGCGACAGCAGGGGGATTGTACAAAATTCTAATGCGAGATCTGGGAACAATCAAAAAGACCGCTTCGCGGCGTTTTTACACTAAACACCGTCTGCAACACGCACTGCAGCGCTAGAGCCCAGAAAATCGACACGGAGTCTCAAAATGTTGGTTTTGGCTGAAAATCCAAAAAAGCAAAAAATTCGCATCGGATGGGATCCGAACCCATGACAATCAACGTGAAGCCCGCACTAATCCAATACACCATCGGAGGGCTCCGGGTGGGGACCGGAAACGCCTCTTCATATCCAGGGGAGCCGAGCCGCAGGGTCAAAAAAGTCATCGGCCTGATACCGGCCTTCAGTTCGCTTTAGAAAGGCTACAAAAATTTACTGCTACGGCTAGACGCCGTTAGAAATTCGTAGAGATAATATCATGAATGTAATCCCCCACCATCCAATACATATCCGGCCCAAATTACAGCGTAGAAATTCAGAAAATTTGCTAAAAATCGGTCGAAAAAGCGTTTTGGGAAAATGATGAACCAATACTCCGCGACACGATGTGATGACGGCTCCATGATACGCACAATTTCCACATCGACAACATCGTGTAGAAGCCCAGACTAAACACCGCATTTTATCGTAAAAACCCACAAAATTCACATTCCCGTTAAACCCTGATATCAAAACATCGATAACCTTTTAAAAACCCACCAATGTATCAGTAGTCTTTTTTTTTGGAAACCCCAGACGGTACACACTACACTGGCAAGAAGGACCAATCTCTGATAACATACCCACTTTCGCCCGGCGCCAAAATGCCCCGGGCCATCCTTTACCTTACTTTATTTTTGGTATTTTATAGCGAGGCTGGAAAAATTTTGGTATATTCGCCATCGATAAGGTTTGTAGACTTGAAATAAAGATTTTTAATGCTGAAATTGACTTCAAAATGCGTTCAAAATGTGGTTTTAGCCCCAGTCATATCCTAAGTAATGGTCGAATTGCGGAAACGTTAGCTGAAGCCGGCCATGAAGTGGTGAGTACTATTTTAAAATATTTAGCATTTATATTCAACATTTTAGCTTGTTAACAGCCAATTTTTTTAGGTAGTGCTGATCCCTGAACTTCTGAAATCCTTGGCCAACTACACCGCTGGGATTAAAAATGCAAAAATTATCAGGATCCCGGGCATCGGTTAGAAAATATAATTACTAAACTAATTAAAAACTTCTAACCTTGACGCTTTTAAATTAAAAAGCCCAATTAAATACTTTATTTAGGAGAACCCTACGAATCTCTAGGGTTTGAAGGAGATTTAATGGAATCCGAATTTGTCCCTCTAAAAATGCGAACGGATTGGGAAGTGGCTGTAACGGATAGTTGTGCAAGTCAGAGGCAGAATCTCGATCCTTTTAATATTTTTCTAGATATCCTTGACCATAAAGATGTCCTCGATTCACTGCGTGCCATGCATTTCGACGCCGCTTTCACCGAACAAATTGAATTTTGTGGAATTGGATTGATACAGTAAGCACCTACAGTACAATATTCCAGCTTTCCAATTACTTTCAGCCATCTTGGCATTAAAAATCTGTTATGGTTGTCGACTACACCGTTGATGGATGCGAATAGTTATAATTTAGGTGGGGCGAAACCTGCTTGGTACTTGACTGTTGGCGGTGGGGGGTCAGCAAGAGAGAAACTAACTTTTACACCGTTTTTAGATATAAAAATTTTATAAAAGCTTACAAAAAATTTCGAAAATTACAGATTACAAAGTTCCCGAATATTCAAAATGTTTGAAATGTTTTTGGGCCTTTAGCAATCAATATCTACTGAGACCATTATACATTACACTATATGATTCACAGGTAGGTACTGGTGGCTAAACCAAAACTACAATCCCCCCTGCTAACAGTCCAGTATAAACTGCTTTTTTTTACATTTAAAGTTTTTTGCATTTTTTAGGCATCCCACAGCCAACATCTTATGTCCCAGTCATTGAAGAGACCGCTCAGGGCGATAGAATGACATTTTGGGGGCGTCTCGACAATCAGATTAACTATTTCAAATCGATGTACGTCCACCATTACGGCACTGACCTAATGACGGAGGTGGGAGTCTTAATTAAATTTTTATTTTAATTCCAGGCATTCCGGAGAAAGGTGTCTCCAAATTTCCCGTCGCTACGATCGCTGGCATCAAAAGCATCTTTATGTTTTGTAAATACGGATCCAATTTTTGATCTCCCACGGCCAATCTCTCTGAAAGTACAGTACATTGGGGGCTTGGGAGTCCACGACCCTAGGCCGTTGGGAGAGGTTCGCAAAATATGTTACGAGTTTTAAATCGCTTTAGAAACTGGCAAAGACGATGGAAAAGGGGCGATTAGGGGTTGTGTTCTTCTCTCTCGGATCTGTCGCGCTTTTCGACACAATCCCGCTGCCCGTACGACAGCAAATTATTAGGGATTTTGCTGCAATGAAGGATTATCATTTTGTGATAAAGGTATAGCTCGAATATGTCTCTCACGCTGTCTCTCTCTCCCTCTCTCTTTCCCCCTCTCTCCCTCTCTCTTTCCCTCTCTCTCCCTCTCTCTTTCCCTCTCTTGCCCTCTCTCTCACTCTCTCTCTCGCTTTCTAATGTCTCCCCCAATCCAGATCTCGAATGAGGACGACACCACTGACAAGCTTCTCGCTGGCATCCCAAACATCGAAACAGTTCACTGGATCCCGCAGTCAGATTTGCTAGGTATCCTCTAAAGCTTGAAAGCTTAAAAACTTTAATTATTACCTAACTAAAACAACTATAGGTCACCCGCGTTTAAAATTGTTCGTCACTCATGGAGGAATCAATGGAATGATTGAAGCCGTGCATAGGTAGATTTCGGAAATTTTTATATTGTGCTAATAAAATTTTTATATACACGGTATTTTCTAGAGCTGTACCACTTGTCGTCGTCCCAATGTTCGCCGATCAATTCCGCAATGGTAGGAATGCCGAGAGGCGCGGGATCGGCAAGGTTTCCACCCTATTCCCGCTTTTCATCAGTCCCTCCAATTATTTAGATGATCAGCAAACTACAATTAGACCAAGTCGGAAAAGAAGTCAAGAAGATCCTTTCAGATGAAAGGTTTGGCATAAAAGAAATTCAAAATCTCGGTCTAGCTATGCAAATGCAGCAAAAGCACTCGCGAAGAAAGTGAAGGCACATCCCTACCAAGCCAAGGAGGTGCTTTTGCGGTGGACTGGTAAGTCAGGATGTAATCCGTCGTAATCTCTGAATTTCAGAATACGTCCTTGCCTATGGGCCTCTAGATGATCTTACTTTGGAGGGCTCAAAGATGGGCCCGATTACATACTTTAATCTGGATGTCCTGGCACTGCTAATGGTGCCTCCGCTGCTTTTCGTGCTGGCCATCTTCTTTGCGATCAGGGCTACTTATCGATTATGTTGCTCTGGAGGAAAGCAGAAAAAGGAATAGGAATTTTTGAAGGTTTTAATATAGTTAATATGGCAATAAATTCTATTTGGACTTCAATAATTGTTTTATCGGCACATAAATTCGACGATTAAACGATTAAAAGTTGCTCTTCGGGAACTCGTTCACCCTGTGACCGATGGATTCGGATATTGCCAAGGCAGCTACCGACAGCCAACGCGACCGGGCGCACAACCAGTCCGGCCAACCTAGAATCGGGTTTAGAAAGAGCCTGTTTGCCGAAAATTTTTTATATTCTTTAACCTACCCATACACAATCGCCTTGATCATCGAATAATTGATCAAGAAAATCCGTCGGGCCGGTTGGAAAATCCTAAACTTTTTCATAAAAAAACTCAGCTTCTTTGAAAACTTTTTAAACTATGATCACCCACCAAATAAAGATGAAAGAAATGAAGGCGAACGACAATCCACAGCAGAAGGCCACCGGCAATCCGAGGATCAGCGAGATGATACCTATTTATATTATAGAAAATTGACAATTGTGGACATACGGTACGCCCATAACCTGGTGACCTCGAAAACGCGAAAGCTGTTCGTCCAAAGACAGTCGATGCTGTGCAACGTTTGCTCGGGCTCACCAAAAATGTCGTGGAAATGAACCTGTCAAAAGTTTTTGGATTAAAAAGTCTTGCTCATACTTACATTCAATGGATCGTTTAGGTGATTCTCATCGCGGTTGTCAAGTGGAATCTCTTCCTGTAGAATTCGATCGCCAATGTCTTCTGGACGCTTCGAGGATGCGGCTGGAGGCGGGGCCGTAAACTGTTTTGGTCCTGAAAACAAAGTTGACAAGCCAAGCATTTATACCTGGTAGTTCAGCGCTTTGTTTCGGGGGAACGTCATAGTGAGACTCGATCTCGTCGTCCGACATTCTAAAATCGCTATGGTGGGGATATCTCCAAACAGGAAAGCAGCTCAGTAGAAAAAAAACTGTACATCTTCCTTAATTAATGTTATGCGCCTCTAAAGAAGGCATGCATGACCGCTTTCAGCCCTTAGAAACCATTGGCGCCAGTCCAGTACATAAAACGTGTTATAATGCACACTTTGCACACAGCCGCCTCGATAAAAGATGGGAGATGCCCGCATCGGCATGAGGCTTTTTGAAGGGTCTAGGCCTCCATATCAGCCCTTCCGCCCCCCTCCCTAGGTGACGGCTTATCGTAGAGAAATTCACCGATTTTTCAATTTGAGCATCATCATTCCCCAGAACACACTAGCGTTATCGTTTCGATGACTAACAAGAAGCGATTAGTGTAATCTTTCAGGTGCATACCGGAAATGAGCGGCCCACGTGTATCCTATTCAAGCTGAGCGAAAGTCAGTGTATACGTATTAAAACTCGGAGGTCATGTTCGCAAGCATCAAAGAATGTCTCTCAAGCTGAAAGCGGGCTCGACCCGCCCCGGGCACCAAATGAAGTTAGTGAGGGATGACGCCCCACTCGGGCCATCCTATCCTATAAGAGTGATCAAATATACCCACAGAATCGGCAGCTGTGCCACCATGCTTTGGGCTTTCTGATAAAAGACATCCATATTGTTCAATCGCCGTGCAATCCAGCCTATACCATCGAAAATAAATAATTCCTGGAAGATGATACAGCCTGAAAACGACCCTGCGGCGCTTCCACTTCGGCAAAATAAATAGTCTAGCCTAGAAATACCGAGCAGCGTGAAGCCCAATGCTCAAAGGATTGCAGAAAATTTCGACCGCGCCCATCAATCACCCCGTTCACGGGCAGCCGAAATAAGAACCAGATGCCCTTACTGATATCCGCAAGAAAAGACCTTGCTATCGCCAATCACTGCAAAGACAATCACCAGAATCTCGGTAGCGACAAATACCCGCCAATTAGAAATTTTATCAGAGAATTCATCAAGAGATCAATAATGGGAACGGTGTCGAAAGGCAAATAAACAACCGCGGGTATCAAATGACTAAATTTAATTGGAAACAAAATTGAACAAACATTCAGATCGAGAAACAGTAGGCATGAAGAAACTGTCCGGCAATTTCGGGGCCGAGGTCTCGGACGTCACTCTCCCTAAGCATCGGCGGCCTCGAGCTGGGCGGCGGAGTCGGGTTGGGCGGCGAAGTCGGGTTGCGAGAGCGGCCCTGGTTGTGTGACGGCCTCGGATTGCGCGCCGACCTCGAGCGATTGATCCTGAATTGATCATTATCAACAAAAAAGCAATACAGCATAAGAAGAAGAAGAAAGGCTACAGCATTGCGAAAAGGCTCTTGACGGCTCACGCGCTCGAATGCAACTTCATCACTCTATGACAACAATCACGAATATAGAACACTTATACCTCCGTGGGCTGCACCTCCGGCTGAGCCGTCGACGCAAAGAGGGACCTGAAGCGACGACGCTCACTGCTCTCATGTTCACGAATTCGCTGCTTGCACACCAGAATTTTCTGCTGGGCAGCCTAGATGGGGTTCGTTGGCAAAACAAAAAATATCACCGTATTCTGGGGCTCCAAGCGCTTGACTGCCTTGAAGATCTCTAAGGCTTCCTCAAAGTCGCCAAATGAGAGCTTTGCACATCCCTTCCGGTAGAGACCTTTGACATTGTTGGGGTCCAGCTCGAGAGCCTATAACAGTCCGTGTGGTAAAACCTCATCGACGAAAAAAACAGGCACGTGATAGGCGCAGAATAAAACTCTAGGAGAAGGTTGTAATACCTTGTTGCAGGCCGAGATGGCCTCCAGTTCCTCGTTGAGCTTGGAATAAGTGAGTGCCAGGTTCAAATACGCCGCGACAAGCAGCGCATCACGTCTCGCCTTCACCACGGGATCGCTGCTGCGCTCGTACTCCAGCAAATCTTCGATGCGTTTGTACTTGTTCAGAGCAAGTTTGTATTTTCGTTCGTGCAAGAAGTCGTTGCCACGCGCCTTTGCCTCCTGAGACGCCTCGAGCTTCTGCTCGGATGTCATTTCCCAGGTGGCAGGGACCTAGAAAAGCGAATTGATGAACAGAGGCACTGACCAAAACGATATTGCGAAAAAAAACTCGCCTTGACGTAATCGCGCAGGAAGATCGTAAATGATAGAGGAGCGTTGGTGGCAAAGTTTTCCGATGGTGGCTCGGCACCATATGTGAAGCGGGTGCCCTTGAGATGGATAACCGACTTTTCACCACGGCACATACGACGGATGGCGCGGTCGACGCCCTCAGGAAGCCCGACCTAAACAAGCACGTATGTATTGCGTAGTTACAACGAGAATACCTCAGAACATTCACCCAAGATGTACCGAAGCTCTCGATCGTAGAAGACAGAGCCATCGTGCTCACCAACGATGTGGACTAAAGTACGTTGATGGCAAAGCAATTAAAGCTACCATCCACTTCACTGGTATCATTTGGATTGGCCAAGTCCTCGCCCTTGACGATCGTGTCACGCGTGATCGAGCCATCGCGATCCGGCGAAATATCTTCCGACGCCCAGTGAAGCAGCTCCACCTCGAAAAGCAGTGTAGCACCACCCGGGATCTTCGGAGGGCTCCCGCTCACGCCATAGGCCAGATCCGGCGAGATCTTCAGCTCGCAGGTTTCGCCTTTTTTCATCGTAGCTACACCAATGTCCCATCCTTTGATGACCTAAAAAAGTATTATTAGCCTCTGATCAAATCTAACCTGCTCGCGGCCAAGCGTGAACTGAAACGCTTCCGGACGATCAAGACTGGAGTCAAAGATAGTGCCATCCTCTAGCCGACCGACGTAATGCACATAGACGGTGGATCCGATCGCGGGTGTCGAGGTGCCCTCCCCTTCGTTGACGATCTTCTTGTACAGCCCCTGAAAACAGAAAATAATAGCAGAACAAAGTATATACTACGAAAAAAACCGATCCCAAACTATATAACATAAAACTCACTTCACGAATCTCGACGAAATCCATGGAAGCAGTCTTTCTAAAAAAGAAAGATATATGTTTGTTACTAAGTAGTAAAGAAGTACGAGTAAATTGAAACGAGTCGTAAAAGATGAGAATAGGCTGTCTAATCTCCCGATGGTTGCTATAGCGATTCCCGAACATTCGAAAAGGCGCTGGAATGTGGGTGGAAATAGCACTAGGTTGGGGAGTGAGGGGGTGCCCGAGTCGTGAACAGTTAGTGGGGATACAAGGTCCAAGGAAGTTAGAAAATTCATAGGAGATTCAGGGCAAATGTCAATTTGTTGCTTAGAAGCTGTAACTTGTGTGAAAAGGAGAAAATATTATAGAAACAGGATAACTAGATAGTTTTTCGAAAAAAAAAAACGCAAAATGAGGAATGCCGCGTGAAAAGTCGGTTCGCAACAAATCGTTCCGTCACGATGCTCTGCGCAGAGCAGTTACGGTTGGTATAGTATCCTCTCGTATTGTGCGTGAGCGGACTGAATCGGAAATTACGAAAATTTAGTAAAAAAGAAAACAATAAAGCCAGGTTGTGTCGTACGTATAATTAAGCTATTGGAAATAAAAACTGTGGTCATTAGTAAAACTGTACTTACGGTTAAAATGAACAACTCAGTTCGGGTTGGGAGATCATTATACTAGTGGATTGTCTGTAACGGTAAGTGAAACTACTTTTCAGATGCTTTTTCCGCCGGTTGAAAGCAGTAGCTTACCAACATCATCAGTATGGCGAACATCGACCCAGGATCATACAAGTCGTGCTGAAATGCACAGTACTAACTCGCCATGCTGTTTTTCCCTACTATGGCCCTTCTCAAACCTTTATTTGGGTATCTCCCGGGTACGTGGGTGATTTTACGGATTTTGAAAGGTTCCCTGCCCGGAAATCGGCTAAAAATCTCGTTGCGAAAGGTCCATTTCTGTAGGGCTGGTAATGCAATTTTGTTGCCCTTCCAGGCACATCCGGAGGCGAGGCTCTTAAAAAATGTTTTGGGTGTTCAGCGCCCCAGGCAAATTGAGCCAGTCGATCCGGCCCACGCATCGAATCCTCTCAAAACCGCTCAGTAGATATATTTGATTCATGTTGGGTCGTAGATTTCGAATGTCTCAGATCGGCTAGGCTCTATTTAACCGCATCCGCGCTGTTCTGCTTTTCCTTGGATTTTTGAAGTTTCAGCAGTATTGCCATAAAATCTTTTATGTCCTAAAAAGTCATTTTTACTTGAATGGATTCGATTTTCAGCCTAGCTCATGGGGAAACTTCCGCCCGTCGGCATTCGGCTGGCGCTGCTAGTCGGTGAGAAAACTTCTTTTTAATAGCTAATTTTATAATTTTAAGCCTTTGCTACTGCGGTGACTGCCCGAACGATCGGTGGAGCTTTTCAGCCGACAACAGGTAGATGATCTTTTCTAGGGTTTTTCTTGGTAATGGAGCCTGTGACGTTCGTTCGGGTCGTTAATCGCTATTTTCGTGATGAATTTGGGTCTTGTCGGAACGACGAAATTATTTTTAACTTTTTAGCAACAGGGCTCACTCCTACGGCTCCCTATCTACCTTTCCTCGAGGAGAGCCCAGAACAGCCGGATTTCGAGGCTTCAACGGAGACTGGTAAGAACTTTTGAATTGCAGATAAATGAAAATGGTTTCCCTTCCGCTTATTCCGACGTTTCACGTAAATTCAGGATTTGGCTCGAACCGACTGTTCGACGACGCCTACGCACCTCAGCTCGATGCTTCCGATGAAGACCGTAAGTTGTCAACACTTTTAGTAACAGAAATTGTCGCCAAAATAGCCAGGAGTTTAGTGCCCATCCTTCGGCCACAGTTCCATTCCGACGCCTACCAGCCGCAAATGGACCTCTCGGAAGAAACAGGTACTTTGTTTGACCTAGTCAAATCCAAAACATTTAGCTCCCAACTCTTACATGCCGAAACTGGACGACTCCCTGGAAGCCGGTTGGTCCTAGTATTGATTTGGTTTTTACCCTCTTTTTATAGCGCCTGCCGCCTATGCTCCGAAAATTGAGGACTCCTTCGAAGCGGGTAAGAAAGTTTTAGACTACGAGGACTCAGCTCTCTTGTATTTTAGTTCCCCAAGCACAGCCCATCGTCTCCAACACATTCCTGCCGACGATACAGGATTCCTTTGAAACGGGTATTTTAATTGCTAGTTTTTTTTTGAGAAGTCTTTTCATAGGACCCACCAGCGAGCAACCAATCCCGATCTCATCAACGGAGGATGATGAAGACAATATTGGCAGCCCCGCATTCCCTGAGCCCCCGCCACTCCAACAAGGTTTCAATAGTTGTAATTAGAACCTCAAACTCCCTTGTTCAGAGCTCATTTCCGGATTCTCGCCAGCCGAGGAGATGACCCTGCCGACGAATTCTCCCTTCGGCGGAGCCCGTCAGACGATTACGATGCAATCAGGTATATAAAAACCGGCATTAAAATGTGAGTTTTATATATAGCCTTCGGTGAGCCGGATCTGGACAGGCAGGAGCAACAGCCCAGAGAAAGTGGACGACGCTCGGAAGTGGCGCCGACAACAATGACGGCCTTCGAATCACACGAGACCAAGAACGAACTGATGGAAGGTATAAATTTTCAAGATATCGAATTGGTTCTGATGACAGATCCCTTCTTTGGCAATGAAGAGATGACGGGCCCAGTGGAATACATCGAAGAGGACAACACCGCTGGAACTACTGCGATGGTCTCGAACTGGCAGACGCCGGTTGCCACCCAGCAACGTAAGATCAGCCTCACCTTTGTCGAAAACTTTTCGCTCCGAAAACGGAAACAAAACGAAAAGAATATTCATTGATTTTTAAAAACTTCAGCGACTCTTTCCACACCGCCAACCCAGACTCAACCTATTATCCCGGTGCCAGGCAAGACCACAGCCTTGGCAGCAGCTGCCCCACAACGTAGGTTTCTAGCAGAGTTTTCTATCTTGATGGATTTATCTGGATCTTTATTTGATTTTAATTTAGCCACCACAAAATGGTACCGAGGCCCATGCTTATGGCCATTCCCCTGGACCGGCTATCCGCAAACACCCGTCGAGCCACCGAGCGCCTCCGGGCAAGGTAGGGCCTCCAAATTACGTTTATTTCCGTTTCTAGCCCAACCCAGTCAATCCCCGGTGGCCCTGCCCTACCAGAGTGCCCCAGGTAATAAAATACACTTGGTAATTATTTTTTATTCAGCCCAATCAGCTCCGGTGCAGACTGCTTCAGCTTATGCCCCGGCTCCGCCGTCGGCTTATCCTCAATGTGAGACCGCCGCTATTATGCAAAAACTTCTAAACATTTTAGCTCCACCAAGTTACCCGGCCGCTCCTGCTCCTCAGCCAAGCTACTACAAGCCAGCACCGGTCCAGCCTGCATACCCAGCCTACACGGCCGCCCCGGTTCCTCCGGTTGTGGAAAACCAATACTACGTTCCGGCGACTACGCCAGTTCCGGTTCAGCCAGGTTATCCGGCATACCCGGCTCCGACTATTCCACCATCAGCGCCAGGTAGGCATCATGAGAGAGAGAGGGGGGGGGGGAGACCAAGCTTTTGACCTGGCTGCTATCCAAATTCAAAATTTTAGCACAACCGGCCTACCCGAACTATCCGGCTGCCCCGGTCCAGCCTCTTCCCGAGACCCCGTATTATGTTCCATCCACAACCCCAGCACCGGTGCAGTCAAGTTACCCGGCATACCCGGCACCGACTATTCCACCATCGGCCCCTGGTAGGTGCCAAAATCGTAGCCCTTCTGTAGCTTGTAGCTTAGTATTCAAAAATTTTTAGCTCAACCGACATATCCGAGTTACCCAGCCGCTCCGATCCCGCCTGCTCCGGAAAACCAGTACTACGTCCCATCGACGACGCCAGCTCCGATTCAGCCAAGCTACCCGGCTTACCCGGCACCGACGATCCCACCTTCAGCGCCTGGTAGGTATCAAAATAATCGTGTTTCTCTCCTGTAGCCGAATTTCACAAAATGTTCAAAATACTTTAGCGCAACCGGTCTACCCGAGCTACCCGGCTGCTCCGGTCCCGCCTGTCCCGGAAAACCAGTACTACGTCCCATCGACGACGTCAGCTCCGATTCAGCCAAACTACCCGGCTTACCAGGCTCCGACGATCCCACCTTCCGCGCCCGGTAGGTATCATGAGAGAGCAAGCTTTTGAGCTGGCTGCTATCCAAATTTAAAATTCCCCCCCCCCCCCCCCCGCCCCCGCCCCCCCCCCCCGAACCCAACCCCCCGCCCCATCGACGACGCCCCCACCCCCCCCCCCCGCCCCCCCCCCCCGCCCGCAAGCAACGAAATAATAGCGCTAATTACTGAAAAAATTTTAGCTCAACCGGCCTACCCGAACTACCCCGCTGCCCCGGTGCAACCCCTGCCACCGACAACACCAGCTCCAGTTGAACCGAGTTACCCGGCTTACCCGAGTCCGACGATCCCACCCTCGGCCCCTGGTAGGTATCAAAATACTGGTGTTTCGCTCAGATTTTTACATCACAAATGTTGTAAAATTTTTAAATAAATTTTACAAAATTTAAAAAATTTTTAGCTCAACCGGCCTACCCGAACTACCCGGCTTCCCCGGTGGAACCCCTGCCACCGACAACACCAGCTCCAGTTCAACCAAGTTACCCAGGTTCATCTTTAGACAAAAGCTCGACATCTCCGTTCGTAGGTCGCACTTTTATACCTTTTTAGCTGAACCGGCATATCCGGCCTACCCAGCTGCTCCGGCTGCTCCGGCACCGGAAACTCCCCTGACATCCACCATCCCGCCGGCAGCCCCTGGTAAGGTTTCCATGGCTGTTTGCGTACCATTTCTCAAATTATAGCAGAGCCAGTGTACCCGAGCTATCCGGAAAATAATTATTACCAACAAACGACTGCTGCTCCGGTACAGCCAAGTATGCTTATAGCTGATTTTTAGCAACATTCTTGCATAGAATACCTGCCTAACTCAGGTGTTTTTTCATATATCTGTAGTAATTATTATTCCATTAAATTTCCGAATTTCAGTCGAGCAACCACAGGCCCCGGCAGCCCCGGAACCATATCGGCCCGTTGAGATCGGTAAGGGAGAAAAAATATAAAGTTTTAAACTACTTAAACTCTATTTATTCTTCGATTTCTATAGTTTACTTTTAAGTAATTAATTCAAGTAAAGTATTTGACCCTAAATCGGTTCTTTCAGTGGAACAACCCGAGCCGTATACCTCCTATCCACTAGTTGTGGCTCCGCAGTACCCTCAAGAGCCGATTCAACCCCAAGCCCCGGTCATGCAGCCCTATACGCCGATTGGTAGGCGCTTTTGATCATAGATTTTAAGTTTCACTTATATTTCATCAATTTTTGCTTTTAGAATCAGCCGAAACGCTCCCGCCACAAGAGCCTCAGGTGGTGATTCCGCAACCGGAAACGCCATACGCTCCGGCGGCTCCTGGTGGGAAATCCAGGCCAATATTTTTGAACTGTTTCTAGAAGTTCAACCTCAGACGGCTACATCGTATCAACCCATCAACCAGCCGGAGACTCCTGATGAGGAGACCAAGGAGCAGGAGGTTGTGCAACCTGGTAAGGATTACACTAAATTAAGCATTACATTACATTAGATAATAACTCTAAAAACATATTTATGCTTTCAGTGTCAATCCCTCAACCCAGCGACTCCTACCAGCCGCTAGCTGACTCGGATGAGTCGATCGAAGCACCAGGTAAGCGATCGATTCCAAAGATTGCAGAATGCTTGAAACAAATTATCATATTCTTCTATTGATCAGGAGCCTAGTTAACTAATATATTGTTTGCAATATATTTTTAGAAACCGAGTACAAGGGACCGGTCGAGAGTTATCCGGAGCCTCAAGAAGCCACCACCGCACTACCAGGTATGTAACCTTCGAATCAGGAAATCAGGCTTATAGTTGGTGTTAAAACTCAGCAAAGATCTTTTTTTAGCTCCTGTAGCCCAACCGGAAGCGCCGTATCGCCCCCATGAGACTCAGGATGATTCCATCGAGATCCCGCAGCAACAGCCCGAACTTCCTGGTATGTTTTCGAACGCCCTGAGCTGCTTGAACTATTAATTTTTATATTCTTCTTTGATTTCAGAGCCCGTGGTTCCCCACCACGCCCCGGAGCCAGAATCAACCATCGGTAAACCTGAGGAATCTAATTTTAAAGTCTATTAAATTTAGCCCCAGCCACCGAATCTCAGGGAGCCTACCAGCCGATTGTCTCGCCAGAGGACTCTTCTGAAGAGGTTCCGGTAGAGTCAGGTGGCTTCTGCTTTTGTATATATTCCATACTTTCTTCACGGGGGGTAACGGAAAAATGCAATTTATTGACCTCTAAACCGTCACCTTTTTAGGAACGCCCTACCAAGTCACGGCCGCCCCGATGGACTCGTATCAACCAGCCACCAGTCAAGAGGGTAGCACTAGCAGCCTTATATTAGGCCATTAAAATTTAGAAAAATCGATCGAAGCACCCTATCCGACAGCGGCGCCGCAATCTGAAGATATGCCCGTTGAACAAACGACTGTCGCCCCCTTGCCAAGCCAGGAAATGACAGCCAGCATCGAAGAGGGCCCATATGGTCCACCCAAAACTCAAGAAAGATCGATTGAGATCCAGGATGATACCACAACGGAAGCCACGGTATAGATATGCTTATTTATTTTGCCGAAATTTCATCTTATCGACATTTTAGTGCATGGAAATTTCGACGAAATTTTCTCGGCAAACTGGATTTCTAGAAAATTATATTTCGACAAACTGAATTTCGATGTTCTAGAAAAATCGTTTAAGTAATACGATAACCATAAAAATCCCTGAATTTAGACGGCTAGCTACGGCCCAACTGAACCCGCTACCCAGCCCTCGACCACGAGCACCACCTCTGCTGGTCCCCCAGCTTATCAAGTAATCTAAAAATATTATAGTCTACAATACTGTAATACTGTAATTTTCAGCTCCCAGAAGGCCAGCAACCAACGATGGAGCAGCTCGCTTCGGCGTATGGCGTCTCTGCAGATAAACCTGCTCGGCCAACCACCATCGAAAACTTCTGCGCTAATCTGACCACCGGACTCTACCGCCATCCAAATAATTGCGCGGGAGTTGTTCGGGTAAGGAAAAGCCACGGCAGCTTTTTAAAGGCTTTCTAAATTTCCCCATTTCATTTCGAAAAGGAAACTGGTGTTTAGTGCGCGGGCAGCCAGGCGACCATCATGTCCTCATGCCCAAGCGGACTTGTCTTCGATGAGGAGCAGCAGACCTGCAATTACCCCAACAAAGACGACAAGGAGTGCGGTGGAAATGCGGCAGCCGATAGTCCGCAAGGTTCTTTAGCATTCATGATGGAGAGAACCCGATTTAGAGAGAAGAACTATCTAAAAAATCAAAACATTTTTTATAAATTAAAGATTTTGGTCGCGAAATCGATATCTTGATTTTATAATTAAAATCTGTAAAGTTTTTACGGTTCAATACAGTAAAATCTAAAACAGCTTGGGAGCCGGTCATCTTGGATTTAGAAAAAAAGGATAATAGACTGTTAGCGAGGGGCAGAGATTTTTAGCAGGGAGGAACTAATTTTTTTTCGTCTAAACCTACCTGTTAATAACAAATAATGTTTTTAAGTTTTATAATTTGTCATAGAGACGTACAGGAATACAGAGAAAAATTGGTTTCCCCCGCTAAAATCCCCCCTGCAAACCGTCCATATCGAGAACTAAGATCCTAAGCAAACCCCCCCCCCCCCGATAACGCGAAAGCGTCCAATAATTAGTTGATCCGCTTTTCAGCAACTGGATGCGATGGAATGGAGCACGGGGCGAGTGCGCCCGACGAGTACAACTGCCAGGTCTTCTGGCGATGCGTATGGGACCGTAAAGTGCAAATGTTCTGCCCCCGCGGAACATTCTACAACGAGCATCTCTCCGTCTGCGATTGGCCCGATCAGGTATAGCTTGATTTCTCGCCCTAAAATTTAGCACGCTAAAATCATTTAAATTATTTAATTCAGGTTGCGGAGTGCTCAAAGGATGGAACCCGAAAGGGCAGCAGTCAATCAAGCAGCTAAAAAAATTCTTCCGCTTTTACGTTTCGGCATTAAATATAGTCTTTCTGTTAATAAATCCGAAAAATTACACAAGGTATCGGTTGATCACGCCAGACGCGATCAACTCCTGCTAATTTCCAGAATACACTTTCCGGGACCACCCAGTCAGGCGGGTTGTTTGCCCGAATGAGCGGCCAGCGTCCTGGCCAAAATAAAAAAATATACAAAGCGCGATTGTCGATGGTTGATTGTCGAAATAACTGTTTGCGCAGGTGTGAAACTTTTCGCCGGACCGCGTCGACGCGACACGTGCGCGGGGCTATGCAAATTTAGGGCCCTCGGGGGCGGGGCGAATGTTGGGGGACAATGACGTTAATTTCGGTATAAATACCGTGAGGCTTCATGGGTTTTCATCGGAAAAAACAATCGGCTAATGTATTCCACCGTACTGCTCGCTGCCTCGCTTCTGGCTGTAGGTGCGGCCACCCTGACTTGCACCGATGCTGGAAATGGCCGTAGGTTTTCTAAAAAAATGGGTTTCAGGCTTGTTAACCGATATCAAAGCAACAGCTCGTTTCTAGCGTGCCTCTCTGGAAGTTGTCAATCCGGTGAGAGCTGTGTCACCTACTCTACCCAACAGGTCTGCTGCCCGTCCAACAAAGTTGTCACCCAAACCAGCCATACTTGTAAGTAGTCACAAACCGAGGCCTAGACCCCATAAAATTCAGCTTCAGCTTAAAAATGTAAGGATTTAACTGAAAATTTAGCCCGTCCGTCATGCCGCGACAAGGTGAACCCCCAGACCGGTGTGTCGGATTGCCCGCGTCGTTCGTACCTCTGCAATGACAGCACCTACTACGCTATCATGACCCAGCAATGCCCCCAGACGTGCGGACGGTGCGGAAGCAGCGGATACACCACTCGCGGATACGGTATCTTTTACCTCGATTTTTAACCCACCAAGGTCCGGATTTACAAAAAAAGCTCCCAAACCATTTCAGGCTCATGCGCCGACAGGACCAACCCATCGACCGGTGTTAGCGATTGTCCCCGCCTGACCCAGTACTGCACCAACACGGCCTATCGCACCTTGATGCAGCAGGAATGCCCGAAAACGTGCGGATTCTGCTAAATGGCGGCCCATTAGTGTGTACGTAGTCTAGGTTCTGATGTGCATCTTTTTAATTCACAATAAAGTCTGGGAAAAATTTATTTCGCCAAAAAATCTGAAAAGCTTACAACATAGCAAAAACCACACTTCAGAATTGGAGAGGGGCAGACGAAAGGAGAGATATGAAAAGCAACGGCCAAACAATGCAAATTTTTCATCACATAACAATTTATGAGCTCAATTGAAAATTTGCTGATAGCGACCGCAGAACTGGCACCTGGGTTGTCAATCATCAATGCATAAGTTTGTGCCAAAACGTAATCTCGACAATTTTGAAGTTTATGCTAGCATATCAAGCTTAAAATCTAAGGAATAAAAAGGGGGGGCTTAGCTTAAGATAACTAAGAAAAGCTGTAAAACTAGCCGCTTCGTAAACGAGCAAAAACAAACTGTAAAGGCAAAACTGAAGCGAGCGAGAGCCAAAGCGCGAAATGTGTCAATGAAGCAAACACCCTGTCATGAACCGAGGCAAGCGATTATAAGGCAGACAGCCAAAGCTGGAGTAAAGTTATGAAAACCTACACTAAGGGAAAAATACAAAACAAGAACCTGATGTAAAACATTCACTTGCGTAAAGGCTCCACAACGAGTTGACGATCAAATCGTATTCTTCGTCTAACGATTTTTCTTCTTTTCCACGCCGAGCTGCCTCCTTCGTTCATTCACCTATAACATGGTAATGATTCAAAACCAAGTCAAATGACAAACCTCGTCATCGAGCATTCCTAGATTCTCACAAGAGCTATCAATGTAAGCTCGTCGAACCGTGCCCTCAACGTCGACTTTCTTTGTCAACTGAAACAAAATGATAAGAGCAACAACGAATGCAAACTGACGTCCTTGCTTCGCGTTGCCCACCAAACGGACAAATGAATGGTGCCGAATGTAGCTGCAAACATGAAGAAGATCCAGGCCGTTATCGGGATCAGTTGGGCTCCCGGGAATTGGTCGCGACCAACCTAAAGCACTTTCACAGAAACAAAACATTACTAACCTTTACGCAAATTGCCGCTTCAAGAGCAGTGACTGCACAATAAACCCAACACTGCATACCGAGGCGCTTCACGCGGGGATCGGTTGCGAATGCGTAGTATTGACTACAACGACAATTTACGAAATCTACCGCGGAATACTCACCGGATGGATGGTGCGGAGATCAAAGCAATTAGGATAATCCTCCAAAAGACGACAGGGTGCGACGTATCAATAGCAAAAATATGCTTCAAAAAGAATGTGTTGAGCTCGGTCACCAGCCAGATCATCACGAATCTAGAAAAATATGATAGCTGCAAAAGACAAGACCAACAAGAAAACGGCGCATGTCCTCTTCAATGCATAGACGTCCGTCCAATCGTTTTTCGTCCAGCTCTCAGGCGTGAATTGAAGCACAGCGCGTCGGACTCTGCCACGGGCGGATTTGATATCTCTAAACAAGTTCAAGATTTCATCCAATTCAATAAGCCATACTTGATACTTTCCCAATGGAATGTTTTCATCGAGAGGAAATCCGAGATCTTCAGTCCGACAAAAATGCCAACGCCGTTACAAAGGCAAATATCAAGCCCGATTGCGTCCCACCAGCATTCTTGGAAGTTGGGCAGCAGATGCGTAAAGATCACCTAAAGTACGTTTACTATGATAAAAACTGTGCAACCTCGGTAAATTCCCAAGCAACGCTAATCAGCCAGCAAAGGTTGTTATGCCTGATCAGGAGCGCTTTCATCGTCCATCCCAGAAAATGGCCTGGAAACGGGATAATTACTGTGATAAGAAAAACTAGATAGGATCGTATACAACAATTTTAAATCATTACCGACGGCATAAATATCCATATGGCTCCAGATCCTCTCCAGTGACACATCGGAACAATTGACGGCGTATTCCTTCTCGTCCAATTGCTCGCCAGAAAGACCAACGGGGTCGAAATACACAAGCATCGCCTTGATTTGGTCATATGTCTGAAAAAACGTTAAAATGGGTTCAGAAAAATTCAATCAAAGGCATAGTTTCGATAATAGAACCCCTACCAAGAATAGGCAGAATTGCAACATAACCATATAAGCGACACTAAGACCAAAGATGGTGCGCCAGACGATCGGATGTGGGCGGATGAAAGGGCCATTGGGAAAAGCCAGGGCCGAGATGACCAGAAACAGGCATAACGATCCAAGCAATCCATGGTAGATGTTGTCATCAACGTTAGTGTCGCTAAAAATTAAATAAGTTGGTGTATGCAGACCCAACACCTACTTTCTGAATGCCAAATACACCAATACCGCACAGAAGCATGCCAGTATCGTCAAAGTCCTCGGTTTGTACATGAAGTCGAGCGTTATGTCGTCTACGATGCGATCGTTGATCATCTAATGAAACTGTACAACCGAAAATTGGTGTGTACCTGATAATGATCCTGATTCACTTCAGAAATCGTCCTTGTCCTCTCGGCCGGCAAATTTTGAAGCTTTTCCCGTCTGCGAGGATGAGGCTAAAGAGAAGCAATAGATTATTTCACGGAAATAACCAACCGATTTTCGATCTTCATCGCCAGAATCCTCTGAATAAGAGTGCCTCAAAATGCTGTCGCCGCTCATGTTGAGGGCACCCGGAAAAGAAATGAATGAAAAATATGAAAAGACAAGAAGACGTGAAAATATATGGAAAACGAGAATTTCACGTCATGCCAACGGAATCGTACAATGGGAATCTTCCATCCCGCCGCAACGAACCAACGAAAACAAATTGGCGGCCGGCTACTTATCAATTTGTGGCGGGATCGGGGTTTGGAATGATTTTTTGAAGAAAACTTTCTAACAAAGCGCGGTGAAAGCGTTTTCCTACTTCGAGTTGTCAACAGCAGCAATGAACCCGTGACTAACCAGATCGAGGTAAACAAGATGGTCCAATTGGGCTAGCCCATGAAATTAGACTACGCGCGAATACCATGCACGCATCCCGCCAGATCAAAAGAACTCGGTTTTCGCGACTAGGATCACACAAGATTTACAAAATCCTATCCCATAAGCGAGAACAGTCTCCAATAATGGCGATATACAAGCGGCTAAATAACCGGCGCAATCAGAACAAGCGCGTTTTTTAGCAATAACAATTTATTTAAAATTTTAAAAATTGAAATATCATTTAATAACAACGAATGCGCGGCCGCTCGTCCTCCATCACTCAACGCCTAGTTCGTCCTTCAGAGCGGCATTTTCGCACCGCAGCATCCGAATTTGCCTGGCCATCTAACAGAAAAATTTTTTAAAAAGGTGAAAATAAAGTACCTGATCGTTCTCGCGCTTGAGGCGGCTGATTTCGGCTCCCAGTTCCTGCTTCAAGCGTTCGTTTTCGGCACTTTGGGCCTTGGCCAGGTCTTCCTATAATGAAATGCATAGCAGGTCAATTTCCGAGTGGAAGAAAAGCAGTTCAATTTCATACCATCAGTGCCATCTCAGCTCGCATGCCCAGCATATCCGCTTCCAGTTTGGCAAATTTGAACTTGAAGTTCATCTAAAAAATACGATCCGACCTCAACAGCTAGCATACCAATGTGTCTCGCAGGAGCGTATCCGAGCGCTGTTTTGGCGGCTGGAGAGCCTTGACAACTTCTTCGGCTGCTTTGTTGTTGTTGTTGGATTGTGGCTCGGCGATTGACTCCATTTCCGGCTCGAAGATGATGGAAGCTGAAAAGAAAAGTATTATTAGGATCAAGAGGTACATTTCATAGCTTAATAAAACAGGAAAAGGGTTAGCTGCTGAGTAAGGGGCCCGGAGGCGCTTGAGCGAGCCTACCGTACCCCCTGCGTTAATTGTAAGGAATTTGGCACGGAAATGTTATTTCGAATTTCGAATTCTAGTTATTTGTCAGCCTTCCCGAGGAGAAAGATCTACTTAATAATTTTCTTGAGGAGTCTGTCTGTCCGTCATGTCCCGGATTCAACTCGAAGGGGAAAGGAGCTAGAGCTTAGCTCTCTTCGGATTCGGATAGAGCGCCATCAGAACCCCCAAACTGATAAAAAAATTATGAAAAAGTTTTCGTTTAAATTAATAAATTTAACTTTGAAAGTTTTCCTTAGTAAAAGGAGTGGGGGACATAGTGAGTCAGGTCGCGCGCGTTTCGGCGAAGGGGAGGGAGCGCACAGGGGGTAGCTCGAAGTCCAGCCGCTGGCAGCGGCAAAGCCGCTGTAAGCGGCTGGTAATACCAAGAATTCTGTCAGTTTTTTTGGATAGCTGGTCCCGAAAAACACCATAGCAACGTGTAAATATTTATATTTTCACGTAAATTTATGTTGTCCATTGTTTTAATGGACTGCTTGGGGACCCGCTAGAAGACGAGTGAGTGCGGGACACTGACTGCCAAGATAAGCCGTAACTAAATTTATTACTATTAACAATAAGTCTAGATCCGCCAGCTGAATTTAACTCACGTTAAGCCTACTTGTAAGCTAGCCCTATATAGCCCGCGTTGCGGCTTTTAGCATAATTTAAGGTCTCCCTTTATTTGCATCCCGAGGTGCTTTCAAACGCGTTTGGCAATGACGTCGATATATTAACTAGGCTATTTTGACCAATCAGAAGATGAACATCATCTTCGAGCAGTTCGCACAAGTGGACGCCACACCGTTCGCAACTCATTTGGGGGTCGTTTGGTAGCTTTGTTTCGAGGTTGTTGAAGGCGGCGGACGATTTCGAGACGTTTTTTTCTAACTGCCCTAGCAGCCTGACTAAAGCTGCTCAAAAGCTGGAACTCGCTGGCCAGATAGAACTTTTTGCGCTCTTTGGAATGATGTCCTCCGCAATCCAGAATACTCAGTGCAAATCGAGATAGGCCGGTTTTAGGGCGACGGCAACTTCGACAGGTACACCTTTCGGCACTAAAACGCTCCCATCTCTGCCCCCAGACGGTTTTGGGCAACCGTAAATAAACCATTGGGAAGACCGGCAAAAATGCAACAATTTACACGCCTTGAAGCGATTTTAGTAAGCATGATTAGGCTGATAGGGACGAAAAACGTCTCGAAATCGCCCGCCGCCTTCAACACCTCGAAGGATGCTACCAAATCTCCTCCCTCAAATGAGTTGCGAACGGTTTGGGTCGATTTGTGCGAACTGCTATAAGATGATGTTCATCTTCTGATTTTCTGACTTCATAGTGAAAGTGGTACACCTTACGATTCGCCAACAACCAACACTATTTTCGAAGATCATGGCTTCACCCAGCCCTTCTACGACTTTCTTTCCGCCCTCGCGGAGAAAGCAGCGATTACATGCTTGCCCATTTTTGGCAACGTATCTAGCCCGGCTGGAAAAACTGAAAAGATGCCACACTAATTTGGTGCCATCACTGAAAGAGAGGTTCATTTCTTTCCAACAGAATGCTACGAGTTTGGTACGCTTTTCTCGAATCGCTGGGGCTTGGCCGGCCCAGTTGCAGATCTGATTTCTGGTCAGTAATCGAGACGGCATTGAGAACGGTGGCTGCTGGGAGCTGATGGGAAGGTTCTAATTTCTTCGGTGGCTGAAAACCCCGAACCCGATTGGGAGGCCGTTCCCTTTTTTGGATGCTTGCGACTGTCGCGCCGGGGCTTCCGTTCATTTCCCCAGCCCTTTGATCATTTTTGCGGGGGGAAAGAGCCCCGGGTGGGTAGTACTAAATTTTCCTTGAGAGATCTCTGTTGCAGTTTAGTGTTCATTCTTGATCCTACGAATGTAGGAGCTAGTTTTTGAAATATTTTGTTTCTCTGGCCAAAGACTGGCTAGATTGCCTGCTTTTTCAGATCATCCACCAAAGTTAAAATGCTTCTACGAGTTGTGTTCGGCACAAATTTCTTATTTTTACTTGCCAGCTCGCAGTACTACACAGCACCCCAAGTACAGGTCTGTTATTATATCCATTTCGATCTGATTTCAGATTTCAGACATATCTTCAGCAACGAAGATACCAGCAATATGCACCGAACTCGCAGTTTCAAGCACAGCCCCCCGTTTTCTCGGTCCCGGCTTCTCCGCCAGCTTCTCAGCCTATCTATTATTCGGACGTAAAGCCGTGCCCTGGTTAGTTGTTGCTCGATTTATAAATTTCATGCCCAAATAACCACTTTTACGAAAAGAACATAAAAATACTGTTTTTGATTAAGCGAAATTTAGATTGCAAATCGACAGTAACTGTCGTGGAAGTCCCCGCCCGGGATAATGGAGCAGCACAAGCACTTCAGACTCAACAACTACTGAATCAGCAACTACAGCAGCAGCTTCTTATGAGCACAATGGGACTCGGCTATTCGCCGATGATGATGGGTATGGGAGGTTCATCTGGTGGGCCTTTGCTGTCGACTTATGCTATTTCAAATCCTTATTAATTGTTGTAACGAAACACTTTCTTCAAGGTCTAACCCTTCAGAATCGGTACTGGACTGTTAGCAAGGGGGAACTAATTTTTACCAGTATTTTTGTACGGTCCTATACATAAAAACGATTTTATAGCATTTTACACAGTTTTTGGTATAAAAAGGCTTATAAAAAGTTTATAAAAATTTTCGAAAGTGTTTGACTTTTTGGCAATGTCTAGGAAAAACGACCAAAAAAAAAGTCAGAATTTTGAATATTTACAATATTTTTGTAAGTTCAGCAATTAAAAACTACAAAACAACCTTATGTGATTAACAATTTGTTATAGGCGAAAAAGCAAAGCTTATCCCCCGTTAACAGTTTAGTACCAGAACATCTATACAACAATTCATTCTTCTTTTCAAAGTAGCAATAGCGAATTCCAAGAATTACCAATATTTCTAGGCGGCTCAAATCCACTCCAAATGATGGCCATGATGCATTTCATGCAAGCACAAGGTTGGAGCAAAATATTTTGCCTCTTATATTTCCTATCTATTCCAGGAATGAGCTATTATCAGCAAATGCAGATGATGGGGATGATGCAGATGGCGAAACGTGAGTTTGAGCTCATTAGTAGTTGAGCAGCTGCTGTGCCAAGTCCCCCATGGCATCATTTTCGAATAGGTTTTGGCGGGCGACCGGTACCGCTTCAGCCAATCATTCGGACAACAGCTGAATACAAGTATCCCGGCAAAAAAGTGCTCTTCTGGCCGCCCTACATATCCACTCAAGCCAAGGTTCGAGTTGTTAATGTTTTCAGATGGGGACAGAAGGCAGCAGAGATGGCTAGACGAATTTATGGGGGACGGAGATGAGGTTTGGGAGGGTAGAAAGGGTGCTTGGAAGACGTATTGGGGCTTCGATTGGTGTCTAATAGCTCATTAACCTTAATGTCCTTAGTTCATCACCGGATTTTTGGGTTAAAAACTGAACTAATAAAGCCACCAACACGCTATTCCATTCTTGAGCCAAGAAGCACGGAAGGAAAATTGCTATAAAACGTTCCTATGTACGCTCAACCGTTCAGTTCAGTTCATGCAATTCTGTTTTTCCACGCTGAAAAATCCCCCAATTTTGCTATAAACTTCGATTTTTTTGCGCGAAATGATAGAAAAATCGTAAAACAAACCATATTAAAATTTTCTACGAAACTTTGCGCATCTTGTGAGACAAAGATAACCAAAATCTGCTCCTGATTAAATCCTTACTGCTTCCGGTTATTGGTTGAGGTGTGCAAAACACCAGCTATGAAGTCACGGCTTCATTCCTCTTTTTAGCCAGAACCCGTGAAGCGAACCCCAAAAGTGATCCCGACGACAACTGAGGAGCCGATTGTCGTCGTTAGTTGCTCACACCATAAATTTCACCGAAAATGGCCCAACCAAAAATGTTTAATTTTTAGGCTGAAGCTGCGCATGCAACACCCCCATCCGCCACCCGCTTGTTCACCCAACAACAGAAAAAAAGTCCGCCGGAACTGAGTTTGCACTTTCCGAAAATCCCCCCCCCCCTCAACCCCCCCTTCAATGGTCTCAATTTTGCTTCGGAAGATACGTATAAATTTGAAATTTCTAAGAATTTACACGGCGAACGAAACAAACAATTGCGCAGGACTTGCACTTTAAATCAGGTGGTTACTCAGTAATTGGCGGTGTCCCAGGTTACGGCAATTTGGAAATTTATTCGGGGAAACCTCGTTGGTTCGTTGATTTCGTGTAAGCGTTTTTAATAAGAATTTTCGGTATAAGTGGCGGCCCGGACTCGGGCTACTCGCTTCACAAAAAATGAGAGGCAACCCTGCAGAACCCGACGGTAGTCTACCACAAAGTACATCAGCAAAACAGGAGCCAGCACCGGGTACCTAAATCAAGGGATTGGATCAGGGTAATGTGGATTCTGCTCTAATTTGTTGAGCATATTTGTTTCCAAAATGCGCACCAGGCCGCTAGAAGAAGGGCGGTGGAGGCGGTTCGTTGGAAGGTTTCTCCAAAATGAGGAGAAAAGAGAACAAGGACGAACGGGATGTAGCACAGCAAGATCGGAACCGACGTCTAAAATTTTCCGCCTGAGTGCTCTTCGGTTGAACGCGGAGACTCCAATTTGGTATGCCGAAACTGTGGAAAAAGACGGAAAGACGGGTGCAAATGATGGTATTGGACTGTTAGCGGGGGGGGAACTAATTTTTTTCGTCTATACCTACGAAAATTTTTGTAATTCGAAAAATTTTGATTTTCTGGTGATTTTCATACATTTTTTACTTAAAAGTCAAGGAATCTCCAAGTTTTTTTTATCAGTTTTTATACCTGAAATATCTGAAAAGTGTATAAAATGCCATAAAAATGGTTTAAATTTTGCTATAAGACCGTATATGAAACGTTGTTTCTGGCCCCCTGCTAAGAGTCCAGTACCCAAATTATTGCACCTCACAAGGGAACCACCCGAGGTCGAGGTGGCGTTTCGTTATGGGACCCAGCGCATTTTGTGCAGAATGTTTCGCTGATTCCGAAACCGCTCCTCCACGGAAGGGAAAATCCGTGCCATGACCGCGCGGCCCCTGCGACTGCCGTGCACGCGCCATGCTCCAGCCACGGACGCGCCGTGCGCGAGCACTTGCCGCGGACTGGCCACGCAGTTGCCATGCTCGCGCCGCGCATGGATTGCCCTCGGCTGGGGGAGAGGGGCGCCACTGACCCGCCGAGCGCGCGCCGTGCGCTAGCCATGCTCGGCCCGTGCACGGCTAAGGCGCGGCAGACGTCGATAGTAAAATTTGTATCATGGCACAAAAAATTCGACGGCCATGTTTTCAAATAAAATTTTATTTAAAATATTATAAAAATATAATACAAGACTCGATCACCTCAATTAAACAAGCGGTTCACGTGGTTCAAAACTACTAGGATCGTGGTTCAAAATGAAGCAGCTCAGGACGACGACTGGCAATTACCAGGCAAAGGTTTTCGGATTAGTTAACTCTGTTATTTAGATGAAACGTGGGAAGCGGATCAAGAAATGGCAAGTCAGCCGAACCATGAAGGAATCTTGCCGTCCAGAGGTTCCGCCTCGGAAGTTGGTAAGATTTTTCTAAAACATTTCCAAAGAATCTGGGTGTGAATCCGCCCTAACTTACTTTCGTTCAAAAAAATTTTTTTAGGCGCTTCGGAAGAGACGGCAGGATTCTCGATTGGTGAGACGACACCGGCTCAGATTTCCACAGCGCAAGGGACCAGATCGTCCAGGAATTTCACCTGGGTTAAAGGTTGGGATTTTTCTCGATTTTGGAATTTTCCTAGGTGCTTCGAGCCAGACGGTCGGGATACCCTCGCAGCTGAAGATGGATTCTCGAACTTACGACTCCACTTTGCTTTTCCTTTCCATAGCATTGGAACATAATTTGCCGACAACGGCGTTGGATGACATAACGATGCTAGGTACAATTACTTTTGCGGGTTAAACATATGCCTAGTGAATGCATCGTCGGCAGGAGCTCCACCTACCTCAAGCGCTCTACTCGATAGTCTGAAGATTGCTTTTCTAGCCAACTATAGGTATGTATATTTCCCATTGATAGACACTAGCTTCAGGCTTGAACCATATCTCATCTGCATGTGCGAAGGGCATTCTAAAAGAAGTTTGCCGGTTGATACCGACTGTGTTGATTGCCTTTTGCGAGGGTTAGTGCATTGCGGTCGGTTTAACTAAAAGCTTTAGGTTGTCAACAAGCCAGATGCGACAAGGAGCCACAAATTTTTTACAAAATTTTTTACATTCTAGCAAACTAAACCCACTAAAAATTCAAGTACATAATATCTCATCAACGGGTAGGTTGATGTGGAAAAACAAATAGTGGTCCCCCGCGAACAGTCCATACCCATTTTGCCCCCTTACACCAACCCTTCAGCTCAACGACGTGATGGGACGTCTAGAAGCCCTGGAATGGGCTCGAGCCCAAGATCAGAAAACAATAGAAGAACTGCGTCAACAAGTGGCCGCGCTAGAGGACAAGGTTGGGCGGAAACGCGCTCGCCCAGCCCCGGAGCCTGAAGCTTTCCGTTCGTGTGCGATAAGGCTTGGCCAAAATATGAAGCCGTGGGATGAATTGACTATGTCGCCAGCATCCCCGAAATTGCGCGCCTTCAATTTTGCCTTATGTATTTCGGTAGGCGAAAATGATTTTACACTCTACATTACTCCTTAGAAAGCGCTAAATCTTCGTCGAAGTGATACGAGTAGCCAGTCTGGACATTTTTTGGAACAACTACGCGAGCTCGCCTCCTATGCCGTAAAGCTGGTACGTATATATTATATAATTCACTAATATGGCTTAGTTGGTGCCGCGCGGGCCATTTTTCAAATCCTTGTCCTCTTTAGGAGCAACACGCGTCGCTGCGACCGGAAATACGCTTATATGGATACTCCCGAATTCGATGTGGAACACGAGCGAATTCGCTGCTGGTATCAGCGCCAAGTCCCGGCAACCAAACCCGTTAATCTGTAATCCCGTTGCTTAGCCGGGGTTAGGTTTAGGTACTTGGAGCAAACGAGGTACTTTTTACAAAAAAAAAATATGAAAATCTCTCTAGTAAAATTAACCTAAAGTTTAAGCGATCAAAAGGTACGTTGCTTTGACAAAGGTTCGTAGAAATAGTGTAAAAAAAATTTGCCACTGACCCTGGCCACCTACCCCTACGTTTACAAGTGTTGTGCTATGTAATAATACTTGTTCTGCCTGTTGTGATACATTCTATTTCGTTTTGCATGGGATTGATACATTCTATTTCGTTTTGCTTGGGATTTCTTCTCTATCTTCTGACATTGATGAACTCTATACTTGCGGATTACTTGTCGAATAAATATTTTGCATCTTATCATTGTAGACTACAAATGAAAAAGCGTGCACAATACAGAATTAAAAGCAAAAGAAGCAATATTAATAACAAAATCCATGGAACAGCCGAGCAAGGGCCACGCACGTGCCGTGCACGGGCCGCGATCTTGCCACGCACGGGCCGCGATCCTGCCATGCATGGCGCGCGCCCCGCGAGCGGGGGCCGTGCGCCCGCCATGCATGGCGCGCGCCCCGCGAGCGGGGGCCATGCGCCCGCCACGCTCGGCGCCTGCGCCATCCCCGTGTGCGCCGGTACCGGCGCACACGGGGATGGCGAAGGGGCCGAGCGTGGCGGGTGCACGGCCCCCGCATGGCTGTGGCACGGATTTTCCCTTCCGTGTCATTTTTGCCAAATAGCTCGTTTTAAAAAGTTATAGAGCTTCAAAGTTCCATTTTTTTTCCCAAATTTGTCAACTTCAAAGCCATTTATTTTACACTTCCCGGATGATTCATCAAAAACGAATATCGCCATCATATTCCGAAAATTTTTTTCTATCGAATGAGCTACTTAACTCAAAATTGTTGGAAATCGAAAAAATCGACGATACTTGGTATGGACTTCGTTTTTTGTATGGGAAATGGTGAAAAACAGGCTATTTCACACCCCCATAAGTGATCATCGATAGGCAGTAGCGCAGTAATCAAATACACCATTCGAATCAGAAAAAAATTCTCTACAAAATAGGCTATTTAAAATGGATTGGCATATTAAAACACAAAAGTTGGGCATCGTGACAGATGACGGCCCGCGGGCTCAAATATGATCTTAAAATCGCCGTAACTTTTTAAATCGGGCTATTTGGCAAAAATTGAAAGCGGATTCGGAATCAGCAAAAAATTTTGCACAAAATGGGCTGGGTCCCATAACGAAACGCCACCTCGACCTTAGGTGGTTCCCTTGTCAGAGGAATCAGAAATTTTGTGGAAGTGAGATCTCAGGGGTTGTGGCCGCGATTTTCTCAACTCGATACCTGAATCAGCAATGCTTTGAAGAGATGGATTTGTACGACTCGAGACCGTTCTCCCATTGGCACGTTTCGGATGTCATATAGAATTCGGCAAGAGCAATAAAGGATAATCAGCAGTGAAACCGAGATAGCGGCTACGCAGATGTACGTCGCCACTTCCGCTTTGAAAGCACTAGCGGGATCCTAAACAGAAAATGAGGAGCAACATCTAATGAGCTTCATTTTGACTTGCTAGAAAAGCTTCACTTTACGGGAAATAACAAAAAGAAAATATATTATATATTAATATACTAGTGTTTTCCTTCCCCTTACTATTCACCTGATCAGCGACCACTTTTTGATGTCGGAATGCGATATAAATCACAGTGGTTGAGTGCTGCTCAATCTGACCGGTCAGAGCCGAAGCTATCTTTTCTGCCACAAAAACCATGACTAAATGCTCTTTGCTTGAGAAATTCGTGTGTTAAATGCCTGTCATCAAACCGCCGACGGCCAGCCAAAAGCCTCTAGAGTGGAAGATGTACAGATAGTGAGTGCTGAAAGCTTTTTCTATTGAGTCTAGACAGGGACTATAGACGCATTACACACTAGTTTTTCTATAGTTTTTTCAAGTATTAAAATATTACGCGCAAAAATGTGCCCATCGATAGATGAATAGTACGGTGAGTGTATAGCCGCTGACAGCAACCAGGCAGAATAGTGTATGGATAATGGCCTGATTCACCTCCGGTATTTGCTCGAATAACCCGCAATTCAAAAGATAAACTCCCTCCTTCCGCAGCATTGGCGTCTAAAATTACATCCTACTTTTGAAAAGTAGCCGTGAAAGTTATATAAACGGTCTTCTAAAAATTTCCTGACCAATGCCGTAAGGAAATAAAACAGCGTAAACAACAAGTCGATGATGCATAGCGATATCAATAGATATTTGTAGTTTCGAAGCAGGATTTTTGCCTAGAGTTGTGACGTGGATCTAAGGGGTCTGAGCCCAAACCTTGTAGACGATCAAAAATATGCAGAGCGAATTTAAGATCAAAGCTAGCGGTGTTGCGATAAGCCGTTGCCAAAATAAAATCCGTCGATCCGGCGTCCAGCCCTCGATGGCATCGCACATACTTGACAAAGCGTGGCTCTAGATGCCGGCCGAGCAATCACTTCTAACAAAAAGCTTGTAAGATCAGCGCTAATAATACGATTTCGTGCTCTGTAGAACGATACCTAGTCTAAAAATCAGAAAACATCTCTAAATACCGATATTCTTTTAAACTTTAAACTCTGATCTTTAGATCAATATTTTTAGAGTTTTTAGACACATTTTTAGTGTCGTCGGAGTTTCAAGTTAGGGCCAAGCTCATCTTGTGCGCAATTTTTCGGTGATTCCGATGATGTTTGACAAATTTGCGGAATTCAGATTTTCCGAAAGTTATGAACGACCCAAGAGACCGAAAAACGCCTAAAATCAGCCACTTTCCATGGATTTCCCAACTTCAGTCGTTCATAACTTTCGGAAAATCACGATTACTCACATTTGGTACACAAATCGAAACCAGCGCAAAATTCTGCACAGGATAGGCGTGGTCACAATTTCAGAACGCGACGACAGTCAAAAACCACTGCTTGTAACCTCGGACGAAATGCTACCCAATGACTCACCTAAAAGCCATACGATCCATTATACACCAGTCTCCAATAACCCTTTCGAATAGATGAGGACAAAAGGGGCAAAATATTTTCGCCGGATTCCCGGCGCAACAATGTGAGAGCCTCAATCAATTACCGTGGCCCGGGCCCCGGGCTCTACGCCTAATTGGCTTATACCGTGGTGTCCCAAAAGAAAAAGAATGGCTAGCAGGTGGAACTTGGTTTTTTTCGAAGAATAATGGTCGACGATTTCGATCGGGTAATCACCTTTTTTGGAAATTTGTAAGCTGTTTTTAGATCGATCGTCAAAACAAATTGCCTACCCTCCCTGCAAAGACGCCGGTCGGCCAGCTGATGAGAGATGTGCGCTTCTTCATTCTTCTCTTAAATTCATATTTTAGTTAGTTAAAACACTTGGCCGGACGCTGAACGAGGACGAGCAGCTCGTGATCACCTACGCGGCCAACAACGGCGACGCGCTGCTGAGCACGAAGCACCAGAATCTGGCCGAGACGGCCGCCGTGCTGCTCGCCTTCTTCGACGCGTCGATGGGGTAAATTATTTTTTGCGACGATTATGCAAATTTTACAGGGCCCATTTGCTCACGAAATTGGAGCGCAACCACTACAATCAGCTGCTCCAGGAGCACGCGGCAAAAGCCGCCCCACCCGCCCAACGACCAAAGATGCGCGGTGCGTTTGTTTTCTAAAACAACTTTTTTCGGAGAACCTATTTTTGGATTGGAAAAATTAGAGTGCGTAAACATCAGAGATACGTTTTCACGTTCTATTACCATTTTTCTAGGCGGTGGCGCGGCGACGGCCCACGCCTTCAAGCCGTCCGAGTTCTACGGATTCACCCATCTCCTCCGGATATTCATCACGTTCGGCACGCTGCTCCAGAATGCGCAGTGGAAGGATCGAGCAGTCGCCGTTATTGTTAGGTGCGTTTTTGGAAAATTTCGGATTATCTTTAAATTTTAGGGACACGCAAGACATCATCTACTGGCTCGACCAGAACAAGGACCGGTACTACAACGGCGAGGAATACGAGACGCCGCCTCCGGATTATGTTAAGAACGCCTTTTCCTAAAACTTTAGTGTGTCCTGTTTTCCTCCTAGAATGTTAAAATAAACTCTTTGTTGTAGAGGTCACACGTGTTTTTTTGATTTTGATCATACTTTTCAAGGTTTATTGCTGACCGGAAATGGGGGAGTGTGAGATGCTGATTGATCCAAGCGCTAATTGTTGAGTGGGGCAGCGGCTCAGCGGCTCGCGGGTAGATGCAGGAGGACGAAAACCCTATTTGCCCTGACCGTGGCTCTACCAACATTCCCGTGCCCCAACGATGCAGCCTAAGGAAGCTTCTGTTTGATTTTCGTACGTAGGCCAGCGCCCCGAAAACGCGGCCTACAATTTCGAGGCGAAACCTAAAGCTCAAGTTCAACTATTTTCGGAATTTTCGGAGCGGCCGCATTTAGCAAAGGCAGGATTTTATAAGGCGCCCCACTATGAGTAATCAGTAGCATCGCGTACTTGTCCAATCAGGCTGAAATTTTACGTTTTCGTTAGAATTTCAAGTTTTTCTCATTATAAGAATCGTGTTTCGACGCCTGATAATAATATCTCTTTCTTTCTTCATTTGCAGGAACTAACTTATCCAAGTTTAAATAACCGTATTTTCTCTGATAGAACTGCGTTGTTTGAATTTTTCAGCCATCCCAGGCAGGGTTTTTGTATGATTTTGAGCAATTACAAACATTTTTACCAGTTCAAATGCTCACAACCACTCAGCAGCAGTGTAAACAGCTTTAACAGCGTTTTTTGGCATTTTTATTTCTTAAATAGTACTTCGGAAGTTTTTCTTCGGGTTCTTTAGAGGAAATACGGTATATACCTGCTCCCCCACAGCCTGGACCTTTTTCGTTGCTACAAAAATTCTTTCTATCTGATGCGGGAAAGGAATTTCCCCATTTCCTACGTCTGACTCAATGGTTTGGTCCTTGCTCCGTCGTCGTTTTTCCTCAAAATGACCTCACTTTTCGGCGACATCGGCCCCCCGAAAAGGAGGACTAGCGACGCCTGGCCCGGCAACGGGTCGATATTTTTCGGAGAAGCATCCTTCTCGGCTAGTGCCTCTCTGAGCCTTTTTTGAGCCTCTGCTGAGCCGGCGAGCCAGAGGTGCGGGCCCGAAATGATGGTGCAGACGGGGCGGGCCGTGAGACTAGGCCATTAGTTGAGGGAGCAGAGGTTCGAGGACTGGCCCATTCCCGACAGCCCCCCTCCCTCCCAAACACGCCGGCAACCAACGATTCGGCCCTCTCTACCCCCAATCCCCTAGCGCCAGCCGCAATGGGCCCAGCCCTATGTCCCCTCCATCACCCTCTCTTTCGTTTACACATTTCAGCGTTCGCCTCAATGTCTGCCACTAGGTCGTCCTTGCCATATCGCGCTCATTAACTTTACCATAACCCAAGCAGCGCACACTCTGCCCGCCAAAACCACCCTCTTTTCCGCATACCCCTTAAAATCACTCCTCGTTTCAGACCCGACTCATTATTCTTATCTCTTTCTACGTTTTATGAGCTTCCAACATGCGTCTACGGGCCGGAATTTGATAAGAGCTCCCAAGGAAGACCGGGCCCGTTTTGTTGCGGCTAGCGGCCTTGATTCCCTCGCAGTCCCCTCACTCCCCGCCCGATAGGAGAACTCGACTGGAATTCGGAAATTGGGATAGCGAGCCCCCCACTCTCCCCATCTCCCCCGGCCCCCCATCCCCCATTTTTACGGTGGCTCAAATCGCTCACTGGCGGAGCGATCAATCGATTTTCCGTTTCCGGTTCTTAATTTATTTCCGTTTCAAACTATGTTCTAATTCTGTTCTTTTCAGGAAACATGGGGCACGACAAAGCCAAGGGGAAAAAGGCCAAAAGCGATGAGTTGAAAGATCTGAAGCAAGAAGTCAGCATGGTATGAAAATTGCAAACGTTGTGAGCTAAATTTTTTTAGGACGAGCATACCATCCCGCTCGAGGAGTTGGCCAGTCGACTACGAACCAACGTGGACACGGTGAGCTTTTGGTTTCTTGAGATTGGCGTTTTGGATTTTGGTTTCTAGGGATTTTCCTATTTTAGGGTCTAACTCGCGAGGCCGCCAAGACCAAGTTGGAACAGGACGGCCCGAACGCTCTGTCACCACCGAAGACCACACCCGAATGGTACATTTTATTTGATACGTTTAAATATATAAAAAACGAGTAATCTCCATTTCGCCGAAAAACATCTTACCAAAATCTGATTTTGTATGCAAAAATTATTCGCCAGTTCCGTTTTGCTCTGATACTGCAGAAAGCCTCGTTCATGACCGGGGGCCACTCGCTTTTCACGGACAGGGGGGTTTTTCGTGACTTAGAAGGTAGCCAGAAACCCGCGAAAAAAAAATTGCATACACAGTTAGTTTTTCGGGGCAAGATGGTTTTCGGCGAAGTGATTTTCGGCAATATGATTGGAATTCAGAAAAAACACCATGCTTACTCTTTTTTTTCAGGATCAAGTTCTGCAAGAATTTGTTCGGAGGGTTTGCTCTCCTCCTCTGGGTGGGAGCTCTTCTCTGCTATGTTGCGTACTCCGTCGACTACTTCACCATGGAGTACCCATCAAAGGACAACTTGTACCTCGGAATTGTGTTGATGAGCGTCGTCATCGTCACTGGAATCTTCCAGTATTACCAAGAGAGCAAATCCAGCAAGATCATGGACTCGTTCAAGGTTCGATTTTCGGAAATCTATTTGACTATAGTGTATTTAGAACATGGTTCCCCAATACGCGATGGTCTTCCGTGATGGACAGAAGCTGCACATCCGCGCTGAAGAGATTGTCGTCGGCGACGTTGTCGAAGTGAAGGGCGGAGATCGTGTCCCGGCCGATATCCGTGTCATCCAAGCATTCGGCTTCAAGGTAAAAATTTGTCCTATATTCGAAAGCATTTATTCTTTAGGTCGACAATTCGTCTCTTACCGGAGAATCGGAGCCGCAGTCTCGTTCGCCCGATTGCACCAACGAGAACCCCTTGGAAACGAGGTGAGTAGCTTGCGTTCAATCTCAACTGATTTTTTTAGGAACATTGCTTTCTTCTCCACCAATGCCGTTGAAGGAACCTGCAAGGGCGTCGTTATCAACACTGGTGATCGCACGGTATGTTGCATTTTTTTGTCTAACTCTCCGCTTTACAGGTTATGGGACGTATTGCTCACTTGGCGTCTGGACTTGACACCGGCATGACCCCGATCGCCCGCGAGATCGAGCATTTCATCCACCTCATCACCGGAGTCGCCGTCTTCCTTGGTGTCACCTTCTTCATCATCGCTTTCGTCCTCGGATACCATTGGCTGACGGCCGTTGTGTTCCTTATCGGTAATATAATTAGAATTGTTCTGAACTCTTTGCTTTCTAGGTATCATCGTCGCCAACGTACCCGAAGGACTCATTGCCACCGTCACCGTGTGCTTGACCCTCACCGCCAAGCGCATGGCGTCCAAAAACTGCTTGGTCAAGAACTTGGAAGCCGTCGAGACCTTGGGATCAACCTCCACCATCTGCTCTGATAAGACCGGAACGCTCACCCAGAACCGTATGACCGTCGCCCACATGTGGTATGACCAGAAGATCTACGATTGCGACACCACTGAGAACCAGTCTGGGACCCAGAAGAAGAACACTGGCCCTACTGCTGATGCCCTCGTGCGTATTGCAGCCCTTTGCTCGCGTGCTGATTTCAAGCCTGGACAGGTATATTCTTACCATAAATCGGCTTGAAAGAAATCTTTGTGACGCTGAACACGTCATGTTTCTGAGATTTTGACGAACGTGAATTTTTCAGCCGCAAGTTCCTGTTCTTCGCCGTGAATGCACTGGTGATGCCTCCGAGATTGCCCTCCTCAAGTTCTCCGAGCTTGCACTTGGCGGTGTTGTCCCCTACCGTGAGAAGGCCCCGAAGATCGCCGAAATTCCCTTCAACTCCACCAACAAATATCAGGTGACGAAAACCTCGTTGATCAACTTTTTGTTTTAGGTTTCGATCCACGATGCTGCTAACAGCGACAAGTACTTGCTGGTGATGAAGGGAGCCCCCGAGCGTATCCTTGACGTCTGCGCGACCATCCTCATCAACGGACAAGAACAAGAGCTCGACGAGAAGCTACGAAAGGAATTCAATGATGCCTACCTTGAGCTCGGAGGAATGGGAGAACGTGTGCTCGGATTTTGTGACTACGAGCTTGATGCCGGACAGTTCCCCAAGGGCTTCAAATTCGACACCGAAGACATCAACTTCCCCCTGAAGGGTCTCCGCTTCGTCGGCCTTATGTCCATGATCGATCCTCCACGTGCTGCTGTCCCCGATGCCGTTGCCAAGTGCCGTGATGCCGGTAAGGATTTGCGACGAGCGCATCTTTGACCCTATTCAATGGAATTTGCAATAATATATTAAATTTTTATTTCAGGAATCAAGGTCGTCATGGTTACCGGTGACCACCCCATCACTGCCAAGGCCATCGCCAAATCTGTCGGCATCATCTCGCCCGGATCCGAAACTGTCGAAGACATTGCCATCCGTGAGGGAACCACTGTTGAGAAGGTTGACGTTCACCGTGCCCGCGCCGCTGTCATCCACGGATCGGAGCTGCGTGATATGTCTGATGAGCAACTTGCCGAGATCATCCAGTAAACCGGCTTTTTTTTATTTTATCTGGTTTTTAGGAACCACGCTGAAATTGTCTTCGCTCGTACCTCGCCGCAGCAGAAGCTGATGATCGTCGAAGGCTTCCAGAAACAAGGCCAAGTGAGTTTTGTTTACTCCACAAATGCTTTTTGGAATCCACATTCAATGTTTACATTTTAGATCGTCGCTGTGACTGGTGATGGTGTCAACGACTCGCCTGCCCTGAAGAAGGCCGACATCGGAGTCGCTATGGGTATTGCTGGATCTGATGTGTCGAAACAAGCCGCTGACATGATCCTTCTCGACGATAACTTCGCCTCAATCGTCGTTGGTGTCGAAGAGGGCCGTCTGATTTTCGATAACCTCAAGGTTTGCATTCCTGGCTGAGTAAACTAATGTTTTATTTCTAGAAGTCGATTGCCTACACGCTGACCTCCAACATCCCCGAGATCTCGCCCTTCCTCACCTACATCTTGTTCGGCATTCCCCTTCCCCTGGGAACCGTCACCATCCTTTGCATCGATCTCGGAACTGACATGGTCCCCGCCATCTCGCTTGCCTACGAAGAGGCTGAGGCTGATATCATGAAGCGCAAGCCGCGTGACCCGATCCACGACAAACTTGTCAACGAGCGTCTCATCTCGCTGGCCTACGGACAGATTGGAATGATCCAAGCTTCCGCCGGGTTCTTCACCTACTTCTGGATCATGGCTGATAACGGATTCCTGCCAAAGGATCTCTACCAGCTCCGTGCCCAGTGGGATTCGCGCGCCTACAACAATGTCCTCGATTCGTACGGACAGGTAATCAGTCTCCCCAAGGCCCCATTATTCGTATTTTTAGGAGTGGACGTACGCCAACCGCAAGATTCTGGAGTACACTTGCCAAACCGCCTACTTCGTAACGATCGTCGTCGTACAATGGGCCGATCTCATCATCTCGAAGACTCGTCGTAACTCGCTGGTTCAACAGGGAATGTCCAACTGGACCCTGAACTTCGGTCTGGTCTTCGAGACGTGCCTCGCCGCCTTCATGTGCTATTGCCCTGGCTTGGACAATGGTCTTCGTATGTACGGCCTTCGGTAAGTTTTTTATATGGCCCTCGTTGTATCCAATCAAATTCTGCCTCTACCTTGAATATAATGTCACATTTTTCAGCTTCTCCTGGTGGTTCCCCGGACTTCCATTCGCCATCCTCATCTTCATCTACGACGAGGCCCGCCGATATCTGATCCGTCGCTACCCCGGTGGATGGGTCGAACGCGAGACTTACTATTAAGGTGGTCGCCGTTGTTATTTCCCTGATAATCTGTTATTTAGGGAAAACAACCGAAACACAAGCAGTCACCTCCTCGCAGTCTGCGGTGGATGGCAACAGCAAGGCCACGAGCTCCCGAAATTCCCCATTTCCGCGATTGCCCCATGCTTGCTCCACCACTTGCCCCATTCTGCCAGGTCTGTCTGTATGTATTCCTTAAATTACCCTAAAACATGTACGCAGTTTAACCTTAGCATTTACCTAGTTTTGTTCCAAACTTTCGAAACATGAAACTCGGCCTAGCCCACATTATCTCTGCCCAATTCCACAACAGCGTGCTCTCATTACTTTGTCGTAATCCTCGAACCATCGTTCTCTGTATTTACACGTTTTCTCAGATGCTAGCTCTTTCATTTTCTGCGACCTCATCTCCACCTGGTTAAAGCCGAGGCTGAAGGAAAGAGAGTTGTTTGTAGTGCTTCCCCCATAGACCCACCCTCCCAATACTGCTAAATTTTTTAAATTCTTACCTTTTTTTGGACCCCCACACAATTTTTGTTCTCATGTTATGTTGTTGTTTTTGGGTCGCAGGGAAACCCCCCGAATCTTTCCGCCACGATATTATCCTCCCATCTGTGAATCGGTATGGCCGGATTGTGCATGTTCTGAGAACTCGTGTGAATTCATGAACATTGTGTCTTTAGTACTATGCAGCTTAATAAACTTTTAGTATGCAACGATTCACTTTATAGCAGAGCATGAAGAAGGTATGGACTTAGGTTCCGACTGAAGTGCTTCCGACCCGATGTGGAACTTGTGTAGTGTAATCGACTCCTCCTGAAAATGGTGACTTCTCCTTTTGAACAACCTGTGACCGGTTCTAGGGTACTCTGGCCACAAATGATACCTATGTTTTTCACGTCGTCGTGTAAGCGCTTCAAGGATTTGTGTGACGTCGTGCCTGTATATATTAGTCCAAACAATTTCAAAATACCTTCTTTCTCGTCTCCTAAGCATTCTGATAGGTCGCTTCTAAGAAAAAGTGCAATACTGGCTAGAAATAACTTACAGGGATTTGCACATGCCCCACCCGTCTCAGCTTGATTGGCTTACCGAAGAGGCTTAGAAGCTTTGATTTTTCCTGGGGCTTTGGTGTGACGTGGGTTGTAGTTGGTTGCGGCGCCTTAGTTGGCTTCGGCGGCTTGGCTATCTTGTGGCGGATCACCGAGGTTCGTGGAGCGGGCAAATATTTGGCTTTTCTTATAGCAAGTCGGAAACCAGTATCATGGTCAATGAGCATCAGGCGGGACGGCTTACTTTTGTGCAAAACTTTTTCGTTCTTTCGCACGACTCTTGCCCCCTTGCTACTTTCGACGTCGTTTCTTGAATTCATTTTACTCCCGAAATTCCGCCGTTTCCTTGGAAAGTTTTTACGCGGAAGATTTTGCTTCTTAGCGTTCAGGTACTTTTCACGATCCACATTTCGTGCAGGGCCACGAAAATCTTTTGCTGCTTGCCGCTGCGATGGGACCTTGCCCGAGTCTTCCCAGATTCGTTTGTTAGCAGCCAGAACCTGGTGCTGGATCGGGTGAGTATCTAATTTCTCGGGCGAGAAAACCCGTACTCCATGCATTCTTAAGCGACGCCGTGACTGGTAAGTTCCAAGCCCGGAAACGCTTTGGACGATCCCGCCCAAAAATGTTAGCGAGTCTGATGTCCTTGGATTTGCGGCCCAGATTCCAATCGCCCGCCTCGGGATGCGGTGGAATAGCGTCGCGTTTTGGCGGAGTTTAACAGCTCGTCGTCCGATTTTGTTTTTGGATTCCATTGCGAGCAGTCCGCTGACATTGGATTTCTGAAAGTAAATTTACAAAAGGGATCCAGGATCAAGCTCGGCAAGACTGTGCCGGTAAGCTGTAAAAATCAGTCTTATCGTACAAAGATACTTTTTTGAGAGCCGTCGGGGTTTTCAAGTTCAGACCAAGCCTGACCAAGTGTTCAGAATAGTGGCTGGTTCGGTAGTCGTTTACTAAATCCCAGAATCGACGTTTTGCGCATGTTATTAACGTTATTGGACCAAGAAACGCCCAGAATACGCCATTTGCTATGGTTTCCCCGGCTTAAATCCTTGCAAAATGTCGATTCCGCAAATTTCGTAAACATGTTCGGAATCAGCGCAAAGTTTTGCACACATAGGTTTGTTCCGAACCTCGAAAACCCCTACGACTCTCAAAAACGTTTACTTGTACAGTACGATTCTAGCATGAAACAGCCTACAATACAACCACCTGGTCGGCCAGCCATGGTGCTGATATGCGAGGAAGCACTCTCTTCGGCATCCATTGAACATTGCTAGAGGTTCCATGCCCAGGATGACCATCAGCTAATCGAATATACCCACCCAGGGCAAAGAACAGCGCCAAAGAGAAGAGCAACCACATTTACGTCCTAGGCTTAGAGTGAAAACTGAAGTTTCCTCAATGTGAAAGTTCCCCGCCCAGTCATTCCAAGATCCCAATCTCAATTGACCAATTTTATTCCCGCTTCGGAACATGTAGCTCTGACCACCCCCAGAGTAGTTTACTCTCGCTGCGCCTTTCTAGTTCCGGACACCGCAATGCCGCTTTCCAGTGTCATGTATACTTGATTAAACAGTAAAATTTATTATTATCACCATGCATTCGAGGCAAATCTACTCTTGGAGTAGACACGGCATGCTATTAAAAGTCAATAAACATTTTTTCAACAAAAATAAACGAAAAATTTGTAGGGGCCGGGGGCAATCCGTTAATGTTGAATTTTTGAGGCTATTCCCAGAAAGAGCGCGGCTTCGACGGAGGCGGTGCAGCTAGAAATAAAAACGCGATAGAGCGTTAGGCACAAAACACATACCTGGGAACGCGGTAAAATTTTGTGGTTGAGGGGCAGGTGCGGCGGCTGCTTTATGCCAAGGCAACGGCGTCTCAAAGGACGGCGGTGGAGCTGGAGTAGTGCGCCAACTCGGAGGCGTCGGAGCCGGAGCGGCACGCCATGACGACGTCGACGAGGCTGGGACGCTGGGGAAGAATTGGGGATTCCCTACGCGTACAATCAACGGGTTTCCAAAACGTTTATACCATTTTTGCCAGAAAACGGATGCGGCTGTGCGGGCAGGATCATGGAGGGGCGCGGTGGGCTCGCCTAAAGTTGTCAGATTATAGTAAAAAAAATAAGTACATACCGCTCTCTGGATAGATCGACATGCCTGCGACGTAGTTGCAGGTAGCGTGTGAGGTTTCTAAAATGGGAATAAAAAACAATAAGATAAATGGTATACCTTTGAGGGTGGAACGTTTGTGGACCACGGAATTGGACCGTTGCGCTTTTGCTGGCCCTTCGGCTTAGACTGCAAAAGGTCAACTCTACATAAATGACGAATATTCTTACTGGTCGGGGTCGTGGCGGTTTGAAAGCAGGAGGCTCGCGAGGCTTCGAAGAAGTTTCCTGATCATCACGCTTGCCCCGCGATGGAACGCTCGGCTTGTTCACAGGTTCAACGGAAGTCGTGCGCGTCGAACTCGTTGGTTGCGCGGCCTGTTCCTTATTGAATTCTGGCGGAGCACTGCGATGGTTGTCATGCGAACGACGCTCCTGTACCGATTCGGCTGCCTCCGGGTTATCCGCAGCCAATGGCTCAATCACTTCTTTTTCCACTTTCTAAAAGGAATATAAAGTGAGCGGTTAAAATTACCTCTTTCTTTCGCGCTATCCAACCCGAAAAGGCTGAGTTTCCTATCTCGATAGCGTCGGTAGTCAGCGCAGGGAAGACAGGAAGCGGGGTAGAAGGTCTGCAAAAAAGATTATGATCTTAAGCAGCGAAACTTACGATGAGTCCTTGACAGAAACGATGACCTTGTCCAATGAGAGTACTTTCCCTCCCAGCTCGAACTTGTCAGTGGGTGACTCTGATTCTAAAAACGGGTGTATTCGGCAAAAAAATTAGCCAGTTAACATAACCAATTAGCTAAAACAAACTTTCAGTCGAAGGCGGAGTAGCCATGGATGACGGGGTCTCAGCTCTCACCTAAAAATACAGTCAAATCACAAAAGAAATAGAATACCAGCTTGTGCAGCAGATCTTTATTATTCGCTTCATAGGCGCCGAGTTGGAATCGCAACTTTTCCATCTGCTTGACAAGCATTTGGTTCATCTGGGCTATCTTCGCCTTTTCATCCGCCGCCTAGAGAGAATTACAGCAAACTGGCCAAAAACTATACCTTCTTGTTATCAGCTTTCAACTGGTGGATCACGTCGCGTTTTTTGTCGACAAGCTTTTCCAGTTCAGTCGCTAAAATGAAAATGACTGGAATGACTAATTAGCTCACCTTTGGCTTTGCTAATCCCCAACTGCTCCGCCAGTTCAAACTTCATAGCAGAGGCCAAATCGGCGCGCCGCTCATGGGAGAGGTTTTCTTTACGGTATCTAGATCAGAAAGTTTGAAAAATACAAATGAAATACTTGTCTGCTTGCGCCTCGAGGAACCTGCATCCGGCGTTGGCCCGCGCGGTTTTAGCTTTCTCAAGCTCTAGCAGGTGCTTCGACTCCTCAATACGCGCTTTAATACGGGCTTCAGCTTTCTGAATATGTTCTTCAACCTGAAAACAACAAATAATATCAAAACAGTTAGCGCAGACTTACGATCGTAACGTCGATTTTAAGTTGATTCTGATACGTGCGGAGCTGCTGGCTCAAATAATCGACCTCCTCTTTGATCAACCGGCCGTTCAGGGTAAGCACTTCCCTAAGCAAAACAAAATATTAAATAGCAAATGGTTTCACATACTTGAGGTTCCTAAGCTGCTCCAACATCGTCACCAATTTTTCCTTCATCTCGACATTTTGTTTCTGTAACCTCTCCTTCTCTTCATTGGCACGAGCGAGGAGGTTGGCTGCAATCCGAACCCGACGGATCGTCACATCGACATTCGCTCTAAAGAAAGATTTCAACGTATAAGGAAACCGAGAGAGATCATACCCAGCAGCGACCTGTTCCTTCGTCAAAAGCGGCTGATATCGAGCCTCGAGCACATCAAATTCAAGCTGGTCAGTTTGAGAACTGAAATCCTCGCACTGCTTCTGAGGCGGCTGAGCCCGAGCATTTTTCTGAACAGCAAATTATGTTTTATGAGCGAGCGCACCTTTCCTTTCCTCGGTGCCATCGAATTATCTGAGCTGGGTTGCTCTATCGAAGTTGGGTCTGACTCTAGCGATTCCTGAAAAGCTTCAAATTTTTTACGTACTGAAAGAAAGAAAGGGGACCATGACAGTTGCGCAACGTCGTTTGAGCAACTGGGGGAAAGCGACATTTGAGCAACAATGATTTTTTTTAGTAGACGCGGGAAAATGGGGTTGCTGAAAGGTCGTTTTTGCCCCAGTTGCTCAATTATCCCAAAGAAAGTGTAAGTTTTTTAGCCAATAAAAGAAAAACGGATTGGTTTCTCATCGTACTAAAAAACCAAATCGAGCTCCGCGTGACAACTATCGCTGGTTAGTGTTCGAGTTGTCTAACGTACTAGAATTTCTTTTTAGCTTTTGTGTAAATAAAATAGCTTTAGTCTATTTTTTTATTAAACTAGAAAGCTTTTTTATGATTTAATCTAGCCATTTTTCTAGCAAACGCTCTTCTCAACCGATTATAGCGTTGCGAATGCGAGTAAGCTAGGCTTCTAACAATGTTGGTTCCTAGGATACTTTTTAAACATACCGTTGTGGGTGATGGTGACTTTTCTTCAATATGAACACTCGTTGCATTGGAAACTTCTTCTTCCAAAGGGCCATTGGGTGGTGCAATATCTTCCGATGGATTTTGAGTCGCAACTGGCACAGGGCTGACGGAGACCTCGTTTTCAATTTTGGATCGGCGTCCAGGTCGTCCGAATTTGACCATATCCTCGTCTAAATTACAAATAATTTGTTTTGTTTTTCTTTAGACTTACATTCCGCTGCGGGGATTTCTCGATTGGGGGCATGTAAGTAGGCATGGGTTTCAAAAGAAGGATCTGAAATCGGGTTTGCGATGAGCGTCTGCGCTTATTGTTTTAATTGAAATATTGACTTAAAAAGTCATGTTTTCGTCTTTTAACGTCTTTTAACATAGCTTTTGACTTACCTGCAGATTGTATTAAATACCCATTCGTCGCTGACTGGATCCATCTGGGACCAAAAAATTTGTTACACGTTTTTCGTAGACATTTTGCGCGGTATAGTTGAATTTCCTGAACAGATAGCATGTCAAGTTGGCGAGAAATGGTTACCGGGGCTCTAGGAGCTTTTTTGAAGCGTAGAAATGGGGCCTCGGCAGAGAACCCGCAAACAACACAGTGTGGAAAGCTGCCAGCTTTAGCAGCAGTTTCTAAAAGTTTCGTTTTGATTGGATTTTTTGGATCTAGGATTTACCTAGAAGATCACGGCATACTGATTGGGTTGAGCTCTCGCCGCTAGATGTCGATGGCTCGATCAATAGTACTAATTCTCCCTGAGCGGGTGTAAGGGCTCTATAAATAAAATAGTGAGTAATATGATAAAATAGATATTTATACCTGTCAATAGAGGCCATTTATAAATTACACGTTATTCCTGTCAACATCCACGGGTTGTTCGATCACAGATATTTGCTGAAAAATTCGATGGGCGTGTAAAGTGGCAGGTAGGTTTGGAATTAATGTAAAAAATTGTAAGGTGGGGTGCCGATTGAGGTCAATATTGCGATTGATTGATTCTTTATCAGGTTGTAGATACAATTAAGGCTGGCATTGTATCATTACTATCGAAAATTCGCTGTAGTCTATAGCGTAGCGACCTAGATTGCGAGAGCGCAGATGGCTAGAGGAGGTTTCGGGCCAGCTGTGCTCCAAGAGTTCTCTGCTGGATAAAAAGGTACTTTACTTTAAAGATAAAACTATGAAAAAAAACCCGGGGTTTCATTAATTTTCAGACGTAGATAGGATTATTTTACTGTAGGTGTAGTTAGTCTTTATTGGTTGATTTGTGGACAATATTTTGGACGAATTCTTTATCCGTCAAAGGCAATTTCTACCAAACATTATGCCACGGTCGATTATACACAAATTATGTACAAAACATTGCTTATTCGTGCAACGTCGTTCGAATCGGATGCATGTAGTGTATAGCACGGACGTAGTTTTTCAATTTAGTCGGGAGCATGAGGGTAGCTACCTGAAATTGGAGTTTTTATTTGGGTCGGTTGATATCAAAGTTATACCTCGTCATATGAATATTTTCCAGCAATCGACGCTCGTGCTAATTCTTGAAGTGATACCATAAAGTCGCGTTTGAGCGGCCGAGTTAGTAGAGGCTCGAAAAATAGGCATCTAGATTCGAGGTTAGGATAAGGTTGTAAGATTACCTTGCCGGATCGCCATAATTTTCTATAAGGCCAGTGATCGTATTTGAGGAGAAAACGCCAGTATCATGAATATCAAAGCCAAAACGATGGTTTTCCTGGAATAAAGGTTTTATTTTTAGATCAAGGGTTTTTCTATGCTATAAAATAGAGTACTGGACTTTTAGCAGGGGGGAGCAAATATTTTTTTCGCTTATACCTGCTAGTAATTAAAAGTGTTTTTTATAATGTTTTTAGTAGTTTTTGGATTGCTAGAAAGTTACAAAAATATTTTTAAACTTTTTTGAAGAGTCGAATTTGACCTTTCTATGCGTTTTCGGGCAGTTTCGAACACAAAGTTTTTGTGATCTATTTATGTCTAAAAACTGTGTAACTATTATGAAAATTATTTTTATTTTGTTATAGGACGGTAGAGGATTGCGGGGAAAAATTAACTTCCCTGCTAGACCCCCCCGCTAGGAGTCTAGTAACTAAAATAGAATCCGTTTTACCTGTTCAATTCTAGCATGTAAAGTTCTTTGATATCTTCTAAACGAAACACTGTACAGATACGCGGTTTGGGCGCTGTCTCGCAACAAGAAAGTCCCTAAAAATTTGGTAATTGTTTTTAGAAAAGGATAGAACCTTCCGGCTTTCCTTCCAGTAAAGCTTCAGCCTGGAAGCGGTCCATATTCCCCCAATAATACGGCGCGTTCACCACTTTTACAATGTCTTTCACAAAAAAGTTTGCGTATTCGATGATTCGATGTGCCATGGGGTATTCTGGAATTATCGAGAAGAATTTTGGGATCGGATATTGAACCTACGTGCACGAGGCTCCTGAATAAATGGCCGACCAGCATCCGGGGAGACGTTTGATCGATTTGGCAGCTCATATTCGACAAGTTCCCTAGGAAACATTTAGAATTTTTTGAAATTTAATGGGATGTACTGTTCATATTCTGATGCGCCATCATCGCTAGCTGTAGATGAGAAGCATCGACATAGCGGTTTCGGAAATCGCATAATACGGCTGGAAATGGGGGTTTTTATAATTTTAGGTGTATTTTTTATAGTTTTCTCTAATCCTGTACGGCACTTAAATTTTTTCTAGCGTTTTACACAGTTTTAGGTATAAAAACTCATAAAAATAACAAAAAAGGTTTGACCTTTTGGTCGAATATGTTTGAAAAATTACCAAAAAAGGTCAAAGTTTTCGAATTTATGTTTTCAAAAATGTCTAAAATAATTTTTGTAAGTTTCTAGCAACCAAAAACTACGAAAAACATTACCGTAGTTATTATTAAGAGGTAGGTATAGACGAAAAAACATAAAATGCTCCCCCCTGCTATCAGTACAGCAGCTAATTTTATTAAAATAAAAACCCACGTGCTATCCCGTGATGCCGTGGCTTGTGTTTGGCTGGCCTCTAAATTCAAACTAAAGTGAAAAATAAGTGGTTCTTTTGAAACCGAAAATGAGGCATGAAAACCCAAACACTTTTCCACTGGGCTTTTAGATGGACGACTTTCAAACCATTCATTTCTTTGCTGTTTTCAAGATTCGGCCGGTCCAAAAATCAATAACAAAGCCCTTCCAAGAACCGAGGAATCACTTATCGGCCACCCTCTCAGCCGGAATGATAAGGGCAGATTCACCAAAGTGAAAGGCGCTGCCAAAAAAAAATATACATTGGCGACCACTTGAAACATCTGACGGTACAGGTAAAATAACGGGGGGGATAACATAAAGTGTGGAATCAAAGTTTTTCTATACTAACAAAGTAAGACTAGTTTTAAACATGAGGTTTTTGGACGCTAAAAAGGTTTTGGTATAATATTCGTCCCTCCATCGAATCGTATTTTCAAAATATCGAAAATATTGAAAATGCCGACAATAGTTTCCTCCCCTACGGTGTGGTGACCATAATTTTCAAGCAATTTTTTTTGCGCCATAAAACTTTTTTATTACATTTTTTGGGTATAACCTAATTTTTTAGTATATTTTTCGACGCTTTATCTTATGGCACCCATGAAATTGGACCGGAACTTAGTAATAAATAATTATTCACGCGTATTTTATCCCCCCCGTTATCATACATGTACCAAATTTGTCTCTAGCCTAGCTAGCTTTAAAGGGATTTGGAAATTAATAAGATTATGTGGAGCTAAATCTAAGTAAAAAGAGTGATCACATGCTTACCTGAATTGACGAGGCGATTCTGTATACGATTGGGTGGAAAATTGGAGGCTGGAAGTTCCGGTGTCCTAAAAACGGAGGTTGGTAGGTGGCCGAGGTTTGGTTGCTAGGGCTTAGAAATCGGGGCCGCCCGGCTTAGGATTTTAGGGATTTGCGGCTGGGTCGAAAAAGTTTGCCTACAAATAGATCCATCTACCTACAAAAGCTATAAATATTAATAGTACATGCTGTAAAATTCGAGTGACCTACATAATCTCGATTTTACAGAATTCTCATTTAAAAAAACGATTTACAAATAGCCGATTTACAAAATGCCGATTTACAAAATGCCGACTTTGCAGAATCCCGATTCTCATATATACAGAATGCCGATCCTTATAATGCCGGTATTGGCGCTGTATTCATGGGGCAAAAAGTCCTATATAACCCCAAATTTTTATTTTGTAACCCGGCATCATGTAAAATCGGCATTATCAGCTTAATTTAAGCTCAAAATTCATTAACTTACATGGAAATAGGAAGAAATCGTACCAATACGGCACAAACTCGTCTTAACGCCGCTTCTAAATAATTTCCGTTAAATTATCGATTGTATAAATACAAACCCGTTCGCGAAGCTCGATTTTGCCAGACAGACTGGTGTAGATCATGTTTCCAACGACGAGCAGAATTAATGATAGAGAAATTGCGATCACCACCCCGGCTGATCCCTTGATGATCAGAGCTCCGTAATCCACTGTAGTTTCGCCCTGACGATAATTTTTAGTATTAGAGCCCTTTGTAACCCACTTGATTCGTCATCACTAACTGTTAATACCGTCGAAGATACTCTACTAGGTCTGTAAAAAATAATTAATAGGTTTTTGGGTGCAAAAATGTACCTTTGATTTGTTTCTTCCAGTTTTGCAGCGGGTTGTTGATTATAACATGGCTAAAATCTGTTTTAAGAGAATTTTTGTAATTAAAATTAAATGGAGCTTATGATTTCAAGTAATTTTCTAAAAAGAGCCATTGATGGTGTTTGAGGCGCCGGAAGTGCGTTATAATGTGATAGAGAGTTGCTAAGATGATAATTACTATTTCTGATAAAAAGAGCGCTTTTTAGCCATTATAACAAAGTTCTAAGAGACCAGACAGTTGTGTCCAAATTTGCTTTCAACGGGCCCAGGGCCTTCTCTTCGATCGATCCTCTTGAGTCCATCCACTCTCTCCTCCTCCTCTCTCCTAGACCCTCAATAGCATCATGAGGATCCTCTCGTACTGCGCCAATTCAAATTTACATCCCAACTATGCAAATTATGCAAAACTTTTATAAAGCGGTATGTCGATCGTCCCAAGAAGTTTTACGTTCATTATATAAAAATGTCAGACGGCCACTTCGTGAGATGCGATTTAAAAACCCCAAACTGTACTTTAAGTTGATAGCTTTATTTCCAATATTATGCAAAACACATAAGGCACCCGTATTCTTATTCACACTCCAAAAAAAAAATTGATAACTGCAACGGAAATGATAATTTAAAAGGTAACGGGCGCATCGAGGTATGTGGAAAATCAAGCTTACTTGATATGATACAAGATATTGGTAACGTCAGAATAGACCCGTCAAGTAATATTAAATAAAAAGAATTTACACATTAATTGGCGACAGAAAAGTTACAATAAAAAAACCCGCATTTGAATTCCTGAATCAAAAGGACCATTTGATAAACAGTAATCTTAATGGATGTATTAAATGACGTAATGCATTAACAAGAGCTTGGCGAGGACTTGGGAATAAACCACACTTCTTCAGCTTTATTTCCCCCTCTTCTTTCCCTTGTTTTTCGTCTTCTTCTTACCCTTTTTCTTCAGACTTTGGCCCTTCCCTTGGTCCTTCTCTGGGCCCTCTTCCGCTTCTTCTAACAATGGAGCTTCTAGATCTTCATCAACATCACCCAAATTAAGCCCTGCCAACTTGCCAGCTAGCGCTTCAATATCTTCGTGACTCTCTTCTTTATGAGAACTACCTACTTCAGATCTTGAGGGATCTTCCGGAATTGGCTCACCACCACCTTCCTCTCGTTGTTCAGCTACTCCCTCATCTTCAACATGGTCCACAATATAAGCCAAGCAAGCCGACTTCATAGCCCCTGGTTTCGGAGGCCGAGCTGGAGGCTCAGTGACTCCTCGAGCAGCCACCTTAGCTTCACAAAATTTGGTCGGTTGATCTGGGTTGGGGCAAGAGGCTGGTGGCTTGGGTATGGCTGGAAAATGAAGCCGTACTCGGATTGGTCCATCGTAATTTTCATCGAAATATGGCTCGAGGTCATCAGGGTCAATGCTCGGCGTTTTGAGGATCTTTTTGGGCGGAAACTTTCTTGGCGGGGCTTTGATGACCCGTTGCTCTTGAGGTAAATCCTGACTCGCTAGCCAATCTGCTAGTGGAGTAGGTTGAGCTGGAGTGGCTTTGGGCGTTGAAGTGGATGGAGTTTGCGTGTTAAGCTCGCATGGGTTTTGCGGTTCAGCTGAATTTATATTGCTAGGAATTGTAGGTTGAGCATCAGCTCCTTTTTTAGCTAGCACCGGAAGTGAATTCTCGGCGTTTTGGATAGCCGGCGAGGTTTTTTTAGCTTCTTCCTGTGATTGATCCGGTTCTGATATTAATGATATACACGGGGTTCCGACCGTTTCGCTGATATTTAGACTTGTAGGCCGTTTTCTTGGAGCTTGAAGCTCAGCTTGTAGAATGCGTTCATAGGGTGATTGAGCAGCTTCTTCGAAACCATCTTCCTCGTTCAATAACGGAGTCTGGGTAGGGCTCAATTTTTTCTTTGGTGGATTCTTTCGTGGTGGGACCCGAATTGGTTGTCGGGTTTCTTCTTCGGGCTGGGGTGGCTTTAAAGGAATCAGTTTTGGGCTTGATGGAGCTTGTGCTTCCGTCACCCCCGGTTCCGAAGACAAGCGAGCTTGCGTATCACTCTGAATTTCCTCCTGATCTGCCAGTAACGGAACTTCTGAAGGGCTAGCAGAGATAGTTTTCTTTAGAGGCTTTCTTCTGGGTGGTACCTTGAGTATCTCTTCTGGTCTATCTTCTGGATAATCAGTCAAATGAGCTATTGATGGGTCTGGCATTGGAGGCTTCTTCCGCAGCGCGTTTGTCACTGGACATTCTGTCGTACCCGGCTTCAACTTTGTAGTCGGATTGGTCGCGATGACGATCGAGTTTTTGTAGGTTTTTTCCCTAAATTAATTCATTATATCTTTCCGCGAGCTTACTCTGTCGTGAGTCCATAAGCGATATTTTCAAGTAGGGCGTTAGAATCTTCACGGAAATTATGAACCTTGAAGCCAATCGCGACCTGGAAATTTTTTACTTTTTATTGTGAATAGTTTAGTTTTACTAACTAGAATAAAATTTTACTCACTTCCGGTCGAGGTTGCTCTACTATCGGTTCCACCACTTTCTTTTCCCTTCCAATTTTAGGTGGTTTTTTGGCGGGTGCAGGCGGGGCTGGAGGGGTTGCAAGTACAGCTACAGGTTCAGGGCGTACAGCTTCTTCGAGCATTGGCGGTGGTTTTGGAGGGTCGTCAAATTGTCGGGAGGAGTAGGGCGAGCATATGTTCAGCGACACACCACCTTAAAATACAAAATGAAGAATTTTAGCGGCTCCAACAATTTTTTCTTTCCAAATTTACCTGGTCCTTTCGTTGGTTCACTGGGGGTGTAGATCGACAAATCGGTTAGCACCTGAAACCGGAGTTATTAATGAGTTCTTATAAAACTTATAAAATTTTCTAAAATTTTTTGAATTTGGGTTAAAAATATAAAAAATTACCGAAAAAAGTAAAAATTTTCGAATTTTCGAAAATATGATTTTTGTAACTTTTTAGAAATTTAATTCCAGCAAAAAGCAGGCGGAAAACCCCAATTTCCATACCCCCTGCTGATCGTTTTAGTAACTGTTTCAATCCCTACCGTAATATTTGATTTTGGGGTCTCAGCCGTAGGTGTAGGCGCCACCCATGACGCCAATCTGTCCGGCATCGGCATTGTTTCCAAAAATGGAGCCTCCAACAATGTGATTAGCCAACAACAAATCGTCCGGAATGACGGTCGATCCGTTTCCAACGTTTTCCAACAGTGCAACATTATCATATAAATCTGGAAATATTCATAAATAGAAATTTGTTAAGGAAAACTTACCTGATCTGGTGCTCCGGCCGGGCCATCAAGACGTCCTCCATTAATGATCAGCTCCATTACTTCCATATTATTCCTCCCCGGATACGGCATACAGCCCAGAGAAAAGATTTCCCAAAGTAATACCTAAAAAATACTTAATATTTAACTACTTAATTGCTTTAAATACTTAAACAACCTTGACACGACTTGACATACTTACCCCATACGACCAAACATCTGTTTTTGTCGTAAAATACCCATCTAGAAGTGCTTCCGGCGGCATCCATTTGACAGGCAGCATAGCACGACCACCTTTCCGATAATATTCCGTTCTGATAAAAATATTAAAGGAATTACCTTAAAACTCACTTATAAATATCGCGGGCCATTCCAAAATCTGCAATCTTTGCCACGCGACCTCGTGCTTTTGTTGTTAGAAGAATATTTCGAGCGGCTGTAATTTTGATTAAATTTTAAATTGGTAGTACAGCGTTAAATTTTTGTAATTTAGCGAACAAAGTAAGCAAGGGCCCTTACCGAGATCTCGATGAACGAAAAGATGATTTTCTAAAAATTCGCATCCTTTTGCAACGTCGAGTGAAATCTGCACCAAATCCATCATCAGCATTTGTAGAGGATTATTTTGGAACTGAAAATAGATAAAAATAAGGTCATAAAAACGTAAACATACTTTAGTACTTCTACTACATCTCAAAAAAGACTTCAAATCCCCTCCGGACATCAATTCGAGCACAATATAACGAGGCATCGTATCAAAATTGATCCCAATTAAGGAAACAATGTTGTAATGCCGGAACTTGCTAAAAGAAGGACGTTGTTTCCGAATTTTGAGGCTCACTTCATGATTTGCGCTTCCATTAGGAATTCATCCTGTGATTGTTTGTTGCTGCTGAAGGGTAATGTTTTGACAGCAACCTAAATAGTACGTATAATTACTCAATTACGATTTTACTTCTTGATCCATTGCTGTGCCTTTGAGCTCGGCTTGGAATACTTCACCAAAGGCTCCATTTCCAAGTCGTCTAAAATAATAGAAAAAACACCGCTTAAAATATTGCTAAACTTACTGTTTCATCACAATACTTTGACGCTCGATTTTCGGCAGTTCACCCTGCATTTGAGCCAAAAATTTAGCGTGCGCCGTGTCGAGGGCCGGATCTGATTGTTCGTCTGGGAGCCCGGAGTCTGGAATTGAAGCACGGCGAAGCGAGCTCGCCGTTTCTAATTCTTCTTCGTTTGCCACTTCTTCGACCCTGGGGTTTTGGCGTCGCTGAAAAAGCCAAAAGTGAGGCGAATTTCCGAATGACCTCTGCTAGCCACTGGACTGTTAGCAGCGGAAAAAAAACACCTTATTTTCCCTCAATTATTGATAAAAAACCCCTGTTTTTTGCTAGTAAAGCATCGATGGAAAAACAAAAACAAGTCCCCCCCCTGCTAACAGTCCAGTACCGCTTCCCCTTCCACCAACCCCAGTGCGCCGCCTCATCCTGGCTTGAAATTCGTGGTACTGACTGTACTTTAACCGACGAATTCTGCCCAAACGAAGTCGCATTCTTCCTGTAAGAACTTTGGGTGCAATTTTGTTTAAAACTTACTGTATCCGCATAAAAATCCAGCAACAAGCACGCATCCAAAGAGCAAAAGAAAAGAGAAAATATAGTGGTGGATGAAACTTCCTTGGGGAACATAGGCTGTAACAAAATAATCATATTAAGATCTAGAATTGAAAGGCTTACGTGGGCACCATACTCCAGGCTCAACGATCGATCCATCAGGGCACGTACAATGAGCATGGCCTTTTACAAAGTCCTTGAATTTGCAAGTGGCATTTGTTCGGCACTAAATTGCGTTTGTTTTCGTACTTTGTCCATAGGTTTGAAACCCCGCGAAGCGGTGAATTAATCTGGTTTTAGTAAAATAGGACCTACCCTCGGGGTACACACTTGAATCATCACATGACCATCTCCAAAATGAGCCCCCGGATGATTTTCGGCTTCGACGACCAATTTATGGCGCAGATTCGCCCATGAAGAACCACCCGTGCCAGGCTGCTTCCACCCGGGCTCACCAGCTAAATTTTTAAGAGCTATATTGCATAATTTCTTTAATACCGTAGTATCCAGCTCCTCCACCAGCTCCTCCCGGCCAACAAGCTGCACCTCCACCTCCAAACCCGCCAAGATGTCGTGAGGTTGAGTTGGTTTTTCTTAAAGTAGCGATTTTGACACTACGCTGGTTATCTTCAGCCACTTACCTTGGACATTTCCCGCCCTGAAACGTCTTTGCATTCCCGTTCATATATCGCGACCGCCCGAATTTCTGAGGAGCATGAGCATTTGGATTTTCAACTCAAAGCCTTACCGGCGCTTCGATCTCCCCAAATCCAATTCCATACCCGGCCACGTGACTCGAAAAATTTCCATAATTTTCGCCCCTATAGCTTGAGGCCCGTCGCGCTCGGGATACAACCGGTTGCTCGGCATTTACAGAATATTGGAGGCCACCCATTGCCCTAAAAAGGTGATTTGTATGTAAAAAACCTTAGATAGGCCATGTCAAATCATAGATATATTCAAATTCATTCGAAAGAAGTCTAGTAATAGAAAAACATAACATAGATGCAGACTAACTCGTTTATTTCCGCTGTTGTAAACTAGTTTTAGCTACCTAAAGCTACTAACTACGAATCCTAACTATCGTATCGTATTATCCTAAAAAGCAGAAATAGGCTGAATACAAAATTACCACTAAAACTCTACCTTTGATCTTCAAGTTCATCGAAATCCGGCTCAAACAACCCTCCACCTCCTCCAGCCACGATCAACATCCGCTCCGTATCTGCTGTGTAGACTACGGTAGCCCCACCACCACCAGTACCCACTGGAGGGGAGGCGGTCTTTGAGAGAATGTCTTCTAGCAGGGACTGTAAACAAAAAAATGTTGAAATTAAAGCCTCCATACCGTAGTTTCAGAATAGAAAGGATTTTCCGAGACTGACTGGCCGACACCTTGCTGGCCGATCAGGATGAGAAGGGCGTAGAAAGCTGGTACATCAATTACAGCATATACACAGGCTCCACCGTTGGCGAAAGTTTTGTTGTAGATTTGACCACCACTTCCGGCACATACTTCTAATCTAAAAAAAAATAAAGAAATAAAATAAGGTGGATGAAAAAAAGTGCGGGACTGTTAGCAGGGGGAGGGGAGCTAGTCTTTTTTTCCGTCTATAGCAACCTGCTAGTAATAAATATTCTATTTTCCTCATGTTTTTGGTAGTTTTTAAATACTAGAAATTTGAAAAATGTTTTTAAATTAAGTGTTTTTAAAATGCAAAAATTATTATTGGGAAAATTAGTTCCCCCTCCTGATAACAGATCAGTACCATAAAATCTTTCATACCTGTATTGCCCTTCCTCCGGAGCGATCCATTTCTGCCTCCCACTATTGTCAAAATGCTTCGTTAACGTCTCACTTGACACTTTATCCTGCCTAGCCCGATAGCTGAAATACATAAATTATAATCCCTAAAACATCCTCTACCTCGCGCATATACTCGTCCTCGGCTTCTCCGCTCCCGTCGTCCCACAACTCGTCAGCTCGTAGAAGTCGTGCAGGCTACTGTCTGAAACATCTTCTTTCCGTACCGTAACCTAACCCAAAATGGCATAAAGTTCAGCTTCAAAAATTCAATCGGTTCCCAGGCCACGCTGTATCAACCCCCATTTTCCCAGAACCAGCAAAAAAATCGCCCACTCAACATTTGTCGCCAGCTCAACCAAATTGCCGGTCAGGGCAAACAATAAAGAAAATGAAATGATATATAAAAGAGAGATAACGCGGAGGATTGAACATAAAGCTTTATTTTAAGTATGGAAAACTTAAGTTTTTCTACTATTTTTCGAATTCTGTGGCGAATTCAGGCCTAGTGGCAAAAACAGAATTTGCGTCGTCGGTCCGTTTAAGTGTCATCATCTGGTCCTAAGCCTATGCCTAAGCCTACGCCTAAGCTTAGGCTTTAAAACTAAACCTAACCTACCAAGCCTAAGCCCAAGCCTACCTAAACCCAAGCCTAAGCATAAGCTTAAGCCTAACCGAAGCCTAAGTCACCTAAGCCGCCTTAGCCTAAGCCCAATTCGACGTGGGTCCAACCTTATTTCCGAATATGCAAAACCCAAAAATTTTGTATTATTGTTTTTCAAACCGAGGTTGCGGAGGCGGAGTATCAAAATCAAAATATTTGCGTCATCGGTTCCGTTAAAGTGGCTATTCATCTGGCCACGTGTATGCAGTAGCCGAAGGGCTTTGCATAAATCTACGAACTATGCGTGGGGCGTCAAAGGCGATTAACGGGACAGCCCGGGAGCACGACCTTTTTTGGACATTCCCCTTCATTTTTTTGGGGTCGAATTTCGCGTTCCTACTCGATTCTATCTGAAACATTTTTATAAGTAGTAATTTTGGGCGGTAATTAGTTTAAACTCAAGCGTGTAAAAATGAGTAATCGAAGTATGACGAGGGGGGAATGGGTGCGGGTGAGGTGTGTGTTTTTGCGTCGAATCATTGTTAGCCGGGGATTAACGGTGTACCGGGTCCATAACCTTTCATCGGTCTCTTGCTCAATCCATATTCCCTTCCCATCAATCGGATTGTTTTTTTTAGATAAAGCTCGCGGTTTTCTAGGGTGGTAATTAGATTTTTGGAGGTTTGGGTTATTGATTTGAACGGGGTGTATTGTAGCGTTCGACGGTTCGAGCGAGCGAGCGAATTTTTGTAAATTTTGTTAAGTGTATTCTCGCGTAGTTTGTGGTAGTAATCTTTGTAAATCATAGTCCAAAGTATTTTAACATTTCTTAAAAACTGTTCTCGATGTAATGTTTGAAATTATTAATTTTGGTTATATAATACCCAATTAACAACATAAAAACGGTCTGTCTTTTGCGGTTTCTTTTTCATAAACATTCTACTGTAACTACAAAAAGTCATATTAATTTTCTAAACCGTTTCCTATACTTGTGCGAACCTCACAAACCCCAGGAGTTCAATTAACGTGAAATTAATTTGGTGCAATTTGCGCTAGAATCTGCGAATTGCGTTTGAGCTCGTGCTCCTGAACCCTGAATCCTTTTCAGCTAAAAAAAATATAAGAGTCAAGCTATCGATATTATTTCTAGTATGCGCCTGGTGCCGCTGCTCCTGTTTATCATCAGCTTGGGCAAACCGGCGTCGGGGACATGGGATGATGTGTTGAACAAAGTACAGGTATGTAATTTTGGTATTCCTACTTCTTTAAACCCCTAAAACCGGTTAATTCTCCCCCTGCTAAAAATCCCCCATGCTAACAGTCCAGTACCATTTTTTTCCAGCGCTACAGAAAACATGTCTGGCATTGGCTATATGTGAGTAGAAGCTTTTTAAGTTTCTAAAACATAAGACTCACGAGGCCTTTACTATTGGATGCAGTCGATTTTAATTTTTTTTGATGTTTTAGGGAATCCAAGATGCACTTGCCCACGGCGCAATCGAAACCAGCACACCACCGCTACCCCCGAGGGCCATGGAGGTATGGAAAATTAATGATTTAATGTGACGAGTATTTAGCTATCACCACGGTTCAACCGGGATAAATTGCGCGAAGGGATCAAGAAGCTGAACAAAAGGGCGCTGGATAAACTGCAAAAGGATCCGCCGGTGATGCAACGGATACAGACTGTAATTGCATTTTTGGCCTGATTAATATGATTTTAAGGGCACTCGACGTGATCATGTGAAGCCACTTGGGGATAATATAGTTGAAGTGAGTCAAGAAAACCTATATCTAGCTATTTGTATTTTTTAGTAAAAATAAATAGGTAAAATATGCAATTTAATTTGCTTATTTAGGTAAATGGTCAATATTCCGACAACGATATCCTATATCAACATGATATTGTTCTAACCGAGTGAGTTTTTGAAGCCCCAAATATAAAGCATCATCCCATCGTTCCAGCAGCCAACTCGAAGACATCCTAGCCAACGATGAAGTCGACAAGGCCCAACGCATTCGACGCCAAGCCGAAAACCCGAACTACGGACTATGGGCCGATAATACAGTCTACTACTCTTTTAATGATAGCATGAGATCCAGTAAGTATTCAAAGACATGGAAGAAATTGTTGATTTTCCAGACCCACTAGCCGTTGAAGCAATCCGAATGGGAATCGCCTTTTGGCAGAACAATACTTGTATCAACTTTGTGGAAGATACGGGCAATACGGCGCGGTACGTTTCTACAGTAGGCTCATGATTCTCTAAAATTTAGGGATCGCATTCTATTCGGGAGCAAAGCCGGATGTAGCTCGATGGTTGGGAGAGTCGGGGGGACTCAGGATTTGTCGATTGGGGGCGGCTGTGAATCGGTGGGTTGAAACTAAGATTGTCGAAACACATGATGTCGAAAACTGAAATGTCGAAATTTCGAAGTCTGAAAAGTTTAAAATTTCAATATGTCGTAGTTTACCATGCACAAACCTCGGGAAATCGATTTTCTAAAATGTCGGCATTATTAAATTTGGACTATACGATTTCGATATTGTGAAAATAAGCGCAAAAATCCGCAGCCCTTAATTTAGGTGGGTACGGTAGCGCATGAGCTTGGTCATGCGCTTGGATTTTGGCACCAAATGTCAAGAATGGATCGCGACAGCTTCATCACAATTCAATGGGCCAATATTAACGTAGGGTGGCTTATTACCTAAAAATAGGGGCATAATTCTAGAAAGACTATTTGGGGCAATTCACCAAACAAACGGCATCGTCAAACTACAATTATGGGATGACTTATGATTGGGGCAGTATAATGCAGTATGGGTCGACGAGGTGAGGCTGGGGAGGGTTTCATTTTGACTTTCCGGTTTTAGTGCATCCGCTTCAAACCTTCCATCAATGACAGCTACGGATGCGAATTATCAAGATGTTATGGGGAGTGATATTGTTGCATTTTATGATGTGTCGATGATGAACGAGCGGTATAAGTGTAAAGGTGAGTGTCGCATTTTGCACTTCAATTGCCTTTCACCTTCAATCTCTATCTCTCTCGCCCTCTTTCTCTATCTCTCCCGCTCTCTCTCTTTCTCGCTCTCTCTTACTCTCTCACTCTCTCACTCACTCTCTGATTCTCTCGCAGTTTCGGTCTCACTGTATCTCACTTTCTCTCACTATCTCTCACTCTCTCACTCTCACTATCTTTCACTCTCTCATTCTCTCTCACTCTCTCACTATCTCTCACTCTCTTACTCACTCGCTCTCTCTCGCTCTCTCACTCTCTCACTCTCTCACTATCTCTCACTCGCTCACTCTCTCACTCTCTCACTCTCTCGCTATCTCTCTCTCTCTCTCTCTCTCTCTCCCTTCCAAAACCACATACTTTTCTATAGCCAACTGCCCTGGTACCTCATCAGTAACCTGCCTCAACGGCGGCTATCCACACCCCAGAAATTGCCAAGTCTGCCAATGCCCAAGAGGATATGGAGGAACAAATTGTGGAGACAGAGTAAGTATTAAAGGTATAGTGACAATAGCTCTCCTAGGCCCAATTCCCTGATGGCTGCGGCCAATATATCAAGGCCACCGCCGAGAAACAAACCTTTACTGGTTCCCTCCAAGCCCAAAAAGACACCAACAATTCGAATGTCATGCTCGGCCAGGTCGACTGCTCCTACGTTTTTTATGTAAGTTTCGGAAGCTCTTGTTGAAAATTAAATCGCCAGGCTGATCCGGGGAATATCATCGAGGTCACAATACAAACAATCGCTACCCCGGCCTGTACTGATGGTTGTATCTATGGAGGTCTTGAAGTTAAGGCTCATAAAGATATTAAAATGTCTGGATACAGGTATCGCCCGACTTTTTTAAGAAACAAGACAAATTCTAGATACTGCTGCTCCAACGATGCGAACAAAGTCATCCGAAGCCCTTACAACATCCTGCCCGTGCTCCTGTGGAATAAATACCGGAGCACGAGCGTCAAGCTCAGCTACCGGGCAGTGTCTAATCAAGCACGAGTCGAGGATGGGTATGTAGCACCTGTGCTCAGTATGCTAATGGTGAATACAACGACGGCGGCAACGGCGAGGCCGGCTACGGTATCTTCCGGTTTCGGTATTTCAAGTATCTCGCAATTAACAGGTTGCATCAACGACAATCAGGACAACGTCGACACCAAAAAGGACAACCCCAACAACCACACGCCCAACAACTACTTCGCCGAAATGTCAAGACCGGAATGCGCAGTAGGTCTTAATAAATATCTATGATACTCATATTCTAGATACCTAAATAAGGATAATTTTATTGTAAAAAACATCAATTTTTTAGTTGTGCTGAATGGGACTACTACTTCAATTTCTGTCGCGTCTACCCCAAAAGCTTCCGCAATATGTATTGTCCAAGGACGTGCGGCCGGTGCCGAAGATGATACCACACTAACGGTTCTATGAAGCTGTGATTAAAGATATGTTAAAATTGTTTAAATTATCGCAATATTAATACTTCTTAGATTAATCCTTAATTCTTTAACTAAACCTAAAAACCATATCTAAATTGTCTTGCCAATCGGTTAGTGCTTTATACGCATTTTGAACTATATCGGGCATAAATTTCTACTACTACTAGAGTACTGTACCGCATATCGTAAGTAAATAGAAAGCAATAATGTAAAAATCCAATTGAAAATCGACTCACCGTTGTTAAAACATGTCGGCGACAAGCTGAGGTCATCGAACATTAACATCGTGTAGAGGCCTTGTGTCGGAAATTCCATTTTGATACGATATGCCGTTGGCTGAATCGGTTACGGTAGGAAATTCGTGTCCAGGCGCCGAACCTGGGCCCCAATATGGACAGCACCGCGTGTCCACTCGCACATATAACCCGGCAGAGCAGATGCGATTTGTAGATCGTGGTAACGTCGTTTGTGGATCTGGTTTGGAATTTAATGTTATGAAAGTGAACCTAAGCATAAGCCTTTTTTGCCATTAACTCCAAAACTACCATACCGATTCCGTTTCATTGCCATTATTTATAAAAACCTGCAACGTCTCATCAATCGCCATCCGCCCATTCAGACAATACCAGAAACGCAGCTAGAATTTCGTATTTACCACAATCTCTTGAATTTACATAGCATCGCTCCCCGGAGGCGCCGCTATAGATGTTTGTCGGGAAGAATGGAGACCAGAAATGTTGCAGGTAGCCGATTTTCGAGATTCGAAGCTCTTTTTGCACCCCAAAATACGCCCATTGGAAGTGGCCTGAAAGGGATTTAGGTAATTAACAGAAATATATACCATTCTCGCCGTGGGTCCGATCACGCATTGGAATTCGGGCGGGTGGCCAGTCATCCTAAAAACCAAAAAATAAGGAGTTTTCCAGGGAAATACGTTTTGAGTTTTTTCGCTGATGCCTTAACGGAACCTTTAAAATATTCCTAGCTAAACGCCAAAAAATATAGAAAAATAAACAATAAATCAAGAAAAATACACTTAAATAATAAAATAAAAATTTTGATGCCTACCGCTGCTTGCGTAATATTAGCTCTTTTGATGATCGCTGGAAACTGCCCAACGTCTGTCGGCCTCGCATTTTTAGTCAGCCACCCAGGGCAAAGGGGATGGTCTTCAAAGTCGCATCGACTTCCTGGGACCGTCCATTCTAAAGTTAAGGTATAGCCATATTTACATAAAATTTATTAACTCACCACACCCTTCCTCGTCATCCCCCTGTGGACAATCCTTGGTCCCATCACAAATATACGCCATGTCCATGCACACCCGCATCTCTTTGCCCCTTAAATATACCCAAATTTTCTAATGACTACGAAATACACCTACCGACATAAATATCTTGTATAATTCCCGTTACACGTCTCTTCAAAATGGGGATGTTCTAAAGTGGTTGATAGGTCAGAAATTGATGTCAAATTACCATGACAATCGAACAATGTAATGCCAATGATACCACAGAGGGTTGGTTGGTAGATGTCTTTCGGGACTCGATAGTCATCGACTTCGTTTCGATTGTGGCATTCAATGCTGAAAATTGGCATGCATCTTTAATGTACAGAATTACCGTATCCTTGCCGGTTTTGGAAAAGCTCCCAAACGGATTGGTGGTAACCTGGCGTAGCTGAAAAAAGCCTTAGTCCATCTATTAGTACACTTACTGATTGTCCAAATGATACGTTCCGTACACCCATCGTTGGGGAACGTCATCGTCTAAAATCCGAACTTTACTATTCCGTAATAAGGATTACTTGGGAAAAGTGGCTCGGCGACGACGACAATATGACTTTGACCCGCGGTACCTCGCAAATGGTAATCAAACTAAATATAAATGTTGTATTAAGTATCCCTTAAACATACTTTTAATTTACAATTCGCTGTGATTTGATCATAGTACGGGCTTGCGATGACGGCTGGGGTTGACTCATTGAGCGGAAGTCGAGCAATTGCAGCATATTCTGGAGGGTTAGACAATGTTTGTTTATTTTAATCTATGAAATTTATATAATTCACTTACCTCCGGTGATTAAAGTATCATTTTCCGAGGCAATTTCAAATTGTGGATTTGGGGTGTTATCCAAAAATTGCCAGCTGCAGGAGGTGTCATTGGAGGGGTGATATTTGCAAGTTAGATCTAAAAAGTTAATGTTTACATATTTTCTAAAATTTTTTGTAAATTCTGGACTTCAAAAAATTTTATAAACCAACTATTAGTTTCAAAATTATATCCGGCGTCGCAGTGAACGCTTTTCATCGCGATCCGCCCCACATCGCCGCATGTTTTGTTGCACGATTCTAGAAATTTAAAGTTTAAATCGTTAATCTTATATAAACTCTATTTTTATATTGGCTATATCGTACGTTATATAACTTACCAGTCCAATATTTCAACTTCAAAATCGGCTTGGTATCTGGATACCTTTTCAGGTCAATGGTTAAATTGTAGGTAGGTAGTGAAAACGGTGTAATAAATCTTAATTTAGGGTATTTTTATAGCTTTCATATTAGCTTACTCTGGTTCTGCGAGTTCTAGTTTAGCATAGAAAAAGTGTAGCCCTCGCTCCTCGGTGCACTCGGTCCATATTAACCCATTTTCATCGAGCAGTTCGGTGGTGTCGGTGCCATTCTCCGTAACGTTACCATTACAGGGTAGATATACATACACCTAAAAGTACTGTAATAGTACCTTAAGTGGTCCATTTTATGGTACAACAATTTCGGAACCTTTCCCAAACTTCTGAACCCTAGACTTTGGTACAGGACGGTTGAAAATTCCCCTCGGGACCCGCCAATTAAGCCATGTGAAACGAATGTGGTAGAATGTGGGAATAAAGTTGTTATGGGCGAACCTCCTGATCACGTAGCCCTTTGCCGGTAGATCCACAAGTATCCTCGAACAGCCACAAATCTTCCCAAGAGATTTGGTCGTCCTGAAAAAAATCTTCGTAGTCGATACCGTATATTGGTATAAGTTGCTTAACGGGCGGGGGGGGACGTGAAAATCGTCGGTTTCTATTTTAGAACGTAAAGTAAGTCATTTGGGCTAGATTTAAAGCTTTTTACATGCTTTTCTGGAAACGTTAACCTTCTCACCTTGGGGTACTGTACAAATTTCGAATACTGAAACCACGACCCGTTGCGCCCCTCAAAGTGGATGTCGTCGAAGAAGAAGTGCCGCAACTCGGGGTACTGCAATGGGAGCCTAAAATAACTGTCCACTGCCCCCCTCACCTGCTCGTCCAAATACGTGCCATATTGGAGTGTGAAGGGTAGTAATATTAAAAGCGGCCAACCGCGGATGGTCATGACATCGCGACCACTGGAAAGGATTAAAAATAAGTTGAAATTCAGGTGAAACTACCGAAATAAAAATGATAGTAGATGGAATACTGTAATTTTAAGAGGCAATCAAGATTTTTTGAGGGGACAGCAGACTTTTATAGGTTAAAGCGGCTGATTTGTGTGTGCGATTTCGTTACAAATGTGTCATGGTTTTTTTGGCGACCCCATCCCGGGAGACTCATCGAAATTTCGCCAAAGACCGGAGCCAGTCTGGTATTACAGAGAACTTAGTTGGCTCTTCTTTCTCTTTGTTATCTATGTGATGCGATCAGGTTAGAGAAATTGTGACCGACTTGGTGCGGAACACTTTTTTCTTTGCCATCCATGTCTATGCGTTTCGTGATGTCATTTCCGATCAAGAAAACGAAGCGAGGGAAAGTGCACATGGTCAGATGCGATCAGAGCGGTTACTGTAGGGATGGAGAAAACCGGAAAGCAATCAGTCAACAATTTTCAATTTTTTAGGCTTGATCGCCAATCAGTACTTTCCCCGAAAACTTGTTTCCAACCTGTATCAAGGTTATAAAAATTTACCGGCAACTGGGAAGCGGCAAATTTTATGTTTCAAAAACACGATTTAGCGTTAATTCCAAAAGATTATTCTCAAAATTAACAGGGGAATAGGGAAACCGTATTCAACCAGATTTTCAAATTAAATTAAATTATGTAGCTAAAAAACGGAGGGGCATTTTAGCGGTGGAAAAATAATTCCTGTTTTTGCGCCCGCACCTGCCTGTCAGTAGAGTGAATCGTAAGCGTAAGTGTAAATAACGTATTTTATGAGCTATTCCATAGTGTTTGTTTGCTAGTAAGTTACAAAAATACTCTAAGCATTTTTTAAAATGCGCAGATTTTTGATCTTTTTGGTTGTGTTTCATATATTTTTGGTCAGGTCAAAAAATTTTATGTTTTTTGTTTTTTATGTATTTTTTCGAATTTTTATACTTAAAAACAGTAGGAAACACGGTAAAACTGGGTTATATTGCGGGAATACTTAGAAAAATGGCTTATCTCCGCTAAATCCGCCCCCTACGTTAAGGGCCCAGTATCCCATACTAGAGCCTAGAGTCTAGAGCGGATTAATCTGGAGTGAATAAGAAAACCTAAAGCTTACGATCCCTTAATAACTCCAAGAGCTCCAAAATCGGGACAGGTGCTAACTGGTGAAGGTGGTCTCCCCCCTCTCAAGAGGTATTGGTTAGCAAAATTATAGCGGAACAAGAGAGAGGGGGAGAGGATTGGCCATGCGGGCCCCGAGTAGCAGCAGCACCGCCAAGGGGTGCTAATCTGAAGGCTAGAAGCCCCGGGAATAACGGGGGCAGCCCCAAAAAAGTGGACTGGGTCCCCCATGGCCATAACGGGGGGCCAACAGCAAAGAAAGAGGGGGGGGGGATCAGCCCCTGATTCAGGGGAATCCCCACCAATCAACCGGCACCCATGGAAACCGTCTCTCTCTCTCACAAACAACCCCCGACCACACCACTCCACATTTCCATCTCCAAAAAATATTGCCCTTTCTTTTTAACCCCCGCAGATATTTACATCATGGGGCAGGATCCCCTGGGAAATCCACTTTATTAAATGGATCAAGAAGCCGGGGGCTGTCGGGGGTTTTCTGGCACTACAGATACTGTACCTTTTCGGATATAATCTAGTTTCCGGGGAACGGGAGAAAAATAGAAGGATCGTATTTCGTCTAATCCTGAGCCTTAGATTTGTTCGATCTACAAAAATCACAAAAATACGGCCAATAGGTAATTTGTTACTAATTTTTCACATTTCCGATGGGACCAATTTCTATAATGTTTATTAACTTAATACGAGCAATACTGCTGGCGTTTTTGCAACACATAGCTATATTTCAAATATAAAAATTATCTGAAACTCTAAACGTTACGGAAAACTCCAGATTTTAGCCAAAATCGGCGATTACTGGACAAATAAATTTGTTTTTACGTTTAAGAATAGTACCCCCCCCCCCGATAATGCAAAAGAACCGGTTTTGGAGATAAACAAGGGAATTAGCAATGGAATTAGTAAAAAACGTTGAAACTTTACCACCATTTTCGTAATTTTTAAGATCAAAAATATAAGGCCCCTAATCAGAGAAAATACGGCATCGAAATTTAGCACAAAATAACTTCCAGAAAGCGTCAACCCAAACTATCGAGATTTTCACTTAATCATTGAACTACTACACCCAAAACACGCTTTTCCAGCAGTATCAAGAGCGCCGGCATTGATAATTAGGTTGACTCGTGCTTCTGCAGAACATCCAGAGATGTGAGATTTAGCAGAAAAGAGTGGGAAGAGGCGAAAAGGTCTCCGGAAATATTACCGGATTATTGGGAGCACGCATCTAGTCCAATCTAGTTTTGGGCTTTCGGCGGAGGAGTGTGAAACTTAAAATGTGCGGATCAAGGAGAAGAAAAAGAGAAGTAATAAAAACAGAGAGTCATGTGATATTTAAATTTAATTATAAAATTCAATTGGGCCGGATGACAACCTCGATAAAATAATTACTTAATGCTTGCATAATAATATCAACATAACAACTTCTAAAATTATGATATTACAAAAAATAGGAATTAAAAGAGAGTTAGAGCGAGAGAGAGATAGAGAGAGAGGAGAGAGCGAGAGAGAGAGCGAGAGAGAGAGAGAGCGAGAAAGAGAGTGCGAGATAGAGAGGGTGAGAAAGGTAGGGAGAGCGGGTGATAGATAGAAAGAGTGAGAGAGTAATCGTGAGAGTGAGAGAGACGGAGAGACGGAGAATGAGAGAGAAACAGATAGAAAGAGAGAACGAGAGCGAGTGTAAGAATGAGTGAGAGCGAGAGAGAGAAAGAAAATCATCATCAATCATCATAATCATCAAACAGGCGTATCTAAAATCTTCTGAAAAATGCCTGAACGCTTACACCTTTGATGCCTGGATTTTCACCCAGCTAATGAACCGCCCGAACTTGCAGAGCCATGGCCCCAAAAAGAGCCCCATCCGTAGCCAGAGGTTAGGGCCTTCCCTCTCCCCTTCTCTTCGTCCTCCTCCCCGCCCGGGTGAGAGTTAGAAGTGTCGAAAAAAGGAGCGACTGGATGTGTGTGGATATAAGCCACACGACGAACAAGTGGAATGCCCCCATCCTCGCGACTAATTGCTGTTGCTCGCGAAGCAAAAAGAGAGGTTGTGTATGTGTATGTGCGCGAAGGTTGGCCATAGACATGGGCCATAGCCATGGGTCCACCCTCCTTCCTTTTCCACCAACCTCCCCCTTCTCCCGGACCAATTAGCCGAGGTTGATTAACGTGCCCCGTGCGCAGTGCGAGACACCGCCGTTCGCTCATTACAGGTATCCGCTCGCATTTCTCGTGGGCCCTAGGGAGCTTGGAGATCATGGAACTTCTTGGAAAACACTCGTCTTGTTATAGTGTCTGGGTGATGAGGGGTACTGTAGAGGTGTTCAGGGTAGTGGACTGGAAACTACGATTTCAGAGCTCATAAAGGGACTGCTCTGCTCTAGCGCTGTACAGAGTAGTCCAATGTAACTTGCGATTTTAGACCACAAACAAAAATCAACGGTTTATTACGCTTTCAAGTTAGTCAGATGGTTCGATGGCCAAGCCGTGACGGTAATCGACTTCTTCCGCATGCGACCGGGGCAGAAAAAGAACCCGATCTTCGCTCGTAACTCTCGATTCCCAAATCCAATCACGAACGTATTAAAAATAGGCTTCGCAGCGAAAAGGAGATAGAAATAAAACTCGTAGCCCTTTGTAGATGTCGAGCTAAACCCAAGAAAAAAAAAATACTGTAATGAAATTGAAAACGACCTGGAAAATTCGGCACCACTCTGGGACCAAAATAAAGATAATCATGGAAAGTATAATTAAACCTAAAATACATATTTTTCAAATAGTTATACAGTGTTACTAGTCCATTTAACAGCACGCACAAAATTAGCATAGAACTGACGATTTGTTGAGGAGACGTTCGAACGGGCTTGGCTGACAAACTAAAATCACGTGTTTTTGGAATTAAATATACAAAATTATGCGTAATCTATATAATTACAAAATATGAATTTATATGTATAAATATACATATAAATATGCGTGGCATAAATTTTTTTGTATACCTTTTTAATTTGGGCAATTACAGGTAAATAGCAGAGCGCTCCAAACGTGAGCACGACAATATTGACGGCAGATTCTGTTTGGAGGACGAGCGCAGGATATCCGGAGTTTGAGCAGACCTAGTTAAACGTAAATATTAGTACCGTAATCAAATACTATTGAGGATTTTATATTTTCCACTTGGCTCCAATGGACGATGAAGCCAGCGACTACGACAACGTCGAGCAGCACAAGGCCTGAAAATGGGCGATTCAAATTTTATAAATTAAATTAAAATATTTGTATTTTGCTTCGTTCTGCCAATTTTAAATCCACCAACTTATCATGAAACGATGTACAATACGATACGTCAAAGCACGATGAAAACTCGGCGCCAAAATGACGATCAACTTTTCCAACGCCACCAATGCATTGCAAAACGGAAAGAATAAATTAATCGCGAAAAATACAGGCGGGAAAATGACGTTTAGACACCAGGATTGAGGCATTTCAACCGTATCTAAAATTGTAGTCTGTAACAGCACTATGATTTTTGTATCTTACCCCTCTTTGTTGCATAAATTGTAATTTGATATGCACAAGCAACAATCATAAAAACGGAAAATAACCCTTCTAAAGTTCGGAGCTATTAAGGCAGTTGTTCTGGTAGGCACCTGTTATTAACAAGTATAAAAGTAATGTCAACGAGACATCCTCTCTTAATACAGTATTCTTCACAATTACAATTATCATTAACGAATTTAAAGCGACCACCACTAATGCTAAAACATATAAATATTCAAATGTAATAATTGATTAACCGACCGATCATGGCCTCAATCGTCATGCTCAATATAACCTCTTCCATTTTTAGTGGCGGAACCGAAAAAATGTTTTGCCGATTTTCAAAAACGGCCTGTTTGCGATTGGCCTTGCTAAATTGGGGTGGGATCCGATTTGGTAAATTTAGAGTACCATTCACCAAAAATCTCCCAAAAAACTTTCTCAAAGCGCCTATAAAATTCTCACAAAGAGTTCAGTGTGGTCGGTGCAAGGAAAAGAGCTTTATTCTGCACGTGATAATTATTCTCTTTAAGTACATATATTTTAAATTCACAACATGATTTTGTTCTCGATTTTTTTTTGGCTTACAAAAGTGATTCTGTGCTTCTTCCGGTTTCTATGATTCTGACAATTAGGTGTGTAATTAGCGTGTTTAAATCACAGTGCATATCGTAATCACATACCGAAAAACTTATGAACTAACAACTCTATAATTATTAAAGCTGGTTCTTTGATCTAACGATGTTTTGTTATGTGATTAATTTCACATTGTATAAAGTTTTCAAAAACTGGCATTGTAGAATAGAATAATAAATATTTATCCCCAAGAACAAAGACCGAAAAACAATCTGTAAGTGCACAAAATGAGCTGTCACACCCCATTTAATATGTAATTGATGGTGTCTTGATCCTGGGTCTTATCCCAGTCACTAAAGATCGTATCTTCTTCCTCAAATCTCGATTGCCCAACCCAACCACGAACGTATTAAAAATAGGCTTTGCCGCAAACAAGACATAGACGTAAAATTCGTAGCCATAGTAGATGTCTAGCTGAATCAATTTTTTAAAATTATCATCTTTTTTTACTTACGTTTAATCTTCTACACCATTCTGGAATTAGGTTAAAAAGGACGGTGGCTAGGATGATCAGGCCTGAAAAATGGCTGTATCATCACTATTTACCCATCACAACCGCCCATGGGTTCGGTCCAGATGGTTCAAGGGAAAGGGCGTACTGTACGTGTTTTTCGCGCGTTGCGTGCGGGTGCGCGGAATAGCAACCGGTTTTTAGCTGCGCACGCCTGCTTTCGCAATTGCGCGACGCGTCTATCGCACGCGTTGCGGTCTTCCCTCCTTTCCAAAGCTACCGGACGTTTTATTAGGAGCCGGGCCGCTGTGCCATACCTGTCCATTTCACTGCCAGTGCAAAATCTGCATAAAAACGGCCACTTTGCGTGTTTCGATTTGCATGTGCTTCGTAGACAAACTAGAATTAGATCTCCTTTAATAAACATATCCATCTTTCAAACCTTTCTGATTTGCACAATGACTGGAATATAACAAACAGCGCCTGTCGTTAGCACAAAAAGGTTGCTCGTTGAAAATGTTTCCAATACCGCGTTGGGGTATGATGATGATGAACAGACCTAACAATAAGGTTTTGTGATATTTTTATGAAGATGAGTTACCATTGTCGCCATACGGTCACTAACGGTTGACCAGTGGATTGTAAAGCATATCGTAGTAATGGTAACTATCGTTACCAAACCTAAAAATTAAAAAAAATTTGATACCATATTAAAATGAATATAAGTCCAGAAAAAACTTTTCATATACTCTGGCAAGGAGGATTTTATTAGAACCGGTTTTACATATATTTAAAAACACGGAAGTAGTGAAAATAAGAAATCAAAATCAATATTGTCTAGATTTCTAGATGGATGGAATTTTTCCGTGAAAATTGTTTAAATAAATTCCGGCGTTATCAATTTTGACATTTTGACAGTAACCCTTACAAAACATAAATCGATGCACATGGTGATGGCTGAGGGTCCGGTAGAAACTGGGGGCGACGACGAACAGCAACTTTTCAACCCCGATCAGCGCGTCACAGTAGGGAATAAACAAATTGGCCCAGATCATCAGCGGCGGGAATATGGTGCGCAGACACCAATTCTGAGGCACGACTACGGTATCTAGATCGGGGTTTAGGGTACTACAGTAGATAGCATCTACCAAGTCCTGACTGGTAGATGATAATTTGGTAAACGCAAACGGCGATCATCATGGCGGCAAAGAGGCCTTCTGAAGTACGAGGCCATACAAGGTATGAAGCCAGCTAATTACCAGAAATTAATAGATATAACAGTAGTGACAGTGAGACGTCTTCACGTAAAATTCGGAATCGTAGAATCACGATAACCATGAAGAGATTTAATGATACTACCGCCATTGCTAAATTAGTCGTCATGTTTAAATTTTCCGTTTAATAACTCACCTATAATACCCTCAAAAATCATAGCTATCACCTCGCCTCCCATGTTAAACAATTTAAATCGAAAGAATCACTCCAGGCCCTAGAGGTAGGAAGAAAAATGAAGAAGATCAGGGTGTGACTTGGCATCATTTCAGCCCAAAATTACTAGGTCCAAAAACCGAGCACATAATCGCCGCTTCAAAATCTCTCGCCTCCGCATATTTGTAGACTTGGCACCGGCTATTTGCCAGGATTTTTAATGTTAACTTTCTAGTACGGCAGTGTGGTTGATGGCTTCATGTTATTTTGAGGTGGATTAGATGGTAGGTTGGGTTTACATTGTGCTATTGCGAGTGTGAGTGTTTGTTCCATGTACTTTGGAGTTGGAAAATGGATGAAAGCTTGCTTTAAGGCTTGCTCTCACAGCTGAATGCGCCGTTCTGATACTGTTCTAATAAGCCGACCTCCATGCTCTAATAAAGCTAGCTCCACGTACAAAGGCCATCGACGTACAGGACTACGGTTTTCGAGCCGTCGCCGATTTTTGACACTTCAATGCCCCTTTGAGCCATTTATTCACCAAATAGTAATCGATTTTCGGCGTTTAGCATAACCAGGGCACAAGACGAAATATAACTTCTTCCGAAGTTGTCGATTCCCAAAACCAATAAAGAAAGTGTTGAAGATTGGCTTCGCAGCAAACATGAGGTAGAACCAAAATTCATAGCCCTGGTAGAGTGGCAGCTAAATTTTTGCAACTCTCGATAATGCTTTTCCTGTAAAACCTGCAATACGCGACACCACTCTGGGCCCAGATTAAAAACTATCATCGAAAGCATGATCGGACCTAAAAATTTGATAATTTGTACGGATTTTGAAAGGTTTACTTGACCACTTGACTGCCAGTACAAAATCGGAATAGAAGCGTCGATTTGGGGAGTTCGCTTTTGACCGAGCGCGTTCAACGTACTAAAATATCTGTTGTTTCATTATAATTTACAGCAAACCGTGTGTATCCTGGCAATAACTGGTAAATAGCATAGGGTGGCGAGGGTTAGGACAACAATAGTAATAGTTGATGTTGTTTGAAGGATTATAGTCGGATAGGCGCCGCTGGAGCATGCCTAACAATAAAAAAAATTAAGGTTGAAGAAATAGCTGTACTGGACTGTTAGCAGGGGAAAAATTTTTTCAAGAGTCCTTTTTCGTCCTATAACAAAATATAAACTTATTTGATCGTATTTTACAAAGTACAACAGCTCACAAAATCGAACCAAACAAGGTCCTTTTCCAATTTTAAAAAATTCTTAAAATATTGCTTATAACTGGCTAGCAAAAATAACTGCAAAAACATTATAAAAATAGAGTATTGATTATCAACAAGTATGTACAGACGGAAAACAAATTAGTCCGTCTCTGCCAACAGTCCAGTGCAGAAATAGCTTACAATCGAGGTTTTCTTGTCGTTTTGCTGCGCCCAATAGATTATCAAAAAGGCTACCGTGATCGTATCCACTCCAAGCAGCGCTAAATCTTCTTAAGCCCCCAGAATATCGCAAAAGATACCTAGCATAAACTGATGAACATGACGATGAGTGATAGTACGATAGAATCCAGGGGCCAACACTACCGCCAGTTTTTCGAAAGCTATCAGCGCATTGCAAAACGGGAAAAACAAATTAGCCCATGTAAAAAGCGGCGGGAAGATGGCGCGTAGACACCAGGACTGCGGCACAAGGATTTCATCTGAATATCACAGGCTATAAAAATTTTGGTCGCTTTCTGTTGGTCTACAGGTCTGTAAAATATACCAAAATGTTCGCCTTGATCTGGCGAGTATTTTGGTATACATTACATCCCCATCCCACGATGAGCCGAGAAACATTAGGTTTATGTCGGCCAATTGGAGGGAGTTCAGCCAAATTCATACCCTGGTTGGTTTGATAAATGGTAATTTGATATGCGCAGGCCCCAATCATCATCCCGGAAAATAGAGCTTCTGAAAAATCACTTTGATTTGATTGATATTTTGATGTTTTACCTGAAATTAGCAGATACATCAGTAATGCTAAAGACACGTCTTCGCGTAATATATCTGATCGTGAGATCACGAAAATCATTATCACATTTAAAACGATGACAATTAGAGCTGGACAAGGTTTGAGGCTTTAATTTGAGACGTTACCAATAATTGCCTCCAGCAGCATGCTTAAAATAATTTCCTCCATTTGTTTTGGCCTAAAATTGCTTTTGAAAATTCCTTTTTACGCTTTATTTTCCAGGGCGTGAATATGTTTATTCGCCACCGATATTTAATGAGATCACGATGGAAAAACTACCCATCAGGAACAAGTCATAAACTGTTCAAAAACTCCTGGAATGAGGTGTAAAATGGAAAGTAAGGGAAAGGACCCGCTTTTTTTAATGGCATTTTCTAGAGAATCAATAAATTATTGAGGTCAAAAAGGAAATGGGCGTTTTAATCACTGAGGAAAGATATTTTGCGTTGGGTACCCAATTACCAGCACGTCAGTTTAGGACTAGTCATTCCTTGGGGACAGGTGACATTTAGGTTTGAGTCTTGATCAAATCACGCGCCCGGAAATGTTGTTTTCGGGTTCACATTCAGGGGATGTCTAGCTAATCAAGCGCTGCTAAGCTCTAGTCGTAATTTTACAAAAAAACCTCCCGTTCGTGCTGTACTATTAACGGGGAGGGTTTAACAGGGCAAGCTGACTTTTCTTTTTCCGTATATCCTTGCCTGTTATAATTAACACTGCATTTATACAATTTCAGTCACCTGCATACTTTAATCTTTTGACAATCTTTTTTGAAAACGGCTATATTTTTATTTCTAACTACTTTTAATGATGCTAATTATACTAGCAAATGATCGTCATACTCTGCCCTTCATAACAAATCACTTTTCAACGAATTTGGTCCAAAATTTTCTCAATTATCCGCTTTGCAAGCCGCCGAAATGAAAAACTTCGAAAAATAAGGCAAAATAAATACTTTGCGGTCAAAGTAATGCTATATAAGAATAAAACTATAGATAAAAAGATTGTTTAAACAAATTTAAACCGTTCTGAAGCGAGAACTTGTAAATAGAGTGTTAACGATCACCTTAAATCCTAAGTAAGAAATTTGCCATTTGCTAATTTCGGGATTTACCGAAAGCGAAACAATATTTCGCGCGTCTAGTCGGTAAGAGTTTGCTATATTTCGTCTAGTTTAACAGCCCCTGATATGATTCAGGGTCCTGTAGGTATTTAAAATTGCACCCTAACACCGTATGTACTTCAAGCAGAATCCCATTCTTTCTCCGCCCAAAAACCGCGTTATATTGATTTTCCTTTTTTGATCTAAAACTCCCCATTTTTATCGATAACCGTAAAAAGAATGTATACAACATTTTTCTAGCTTAACTTATGTATAATTTCTGACTTGTGTCACTACTGAAATTGTCTGTCCTTATTATTTTTCCATTTTTAGAGAAGCCTTGTTCGTCCGGCCCGTGCCAGGCGTGTCGCAACTTGGCGTTCAGCGGAGTACAAATGGGAGCATCGGCTGCAACACCGACTCAACGATGAGAGCGAATACGAATACTACACAACATGGGAGGGCTACCCTTCGTCGGAAAATACAAGGTAAACACAGTTTGAATTTATTTTCCTTTTTCGGAGTAAAACCCCCCATTTTTATCGATAACGGTAAAAACAATGTATACAACAATTTTCTAGCTTAACTTACTTATAATTTCTGACTTGTGTCTCTACTGAAATTGTCTGTCCTTATTATTTTTCCATTTTTAGAGAAGCCTTGTTCGTCCGGCCCGTGCCAGGCGTGTCGCAACTTGGCGTTCAGCGGAGTACAAATGGGAGCAGCGGCTGCAACACCGACTCAAAGATGAGAGCGAATACGAATACTACACAAAATGGGAGGACTACCCTTCGTCGGAAAATACAAGGTAAACACAGTTTGAATTTATTTTCCTTTTTCGGCCTAAGATTTGTCCCTTTTTATCGATAACGATAAAAACAATGTATGCAACAATTTTCTAGCTTAACTTACGTATGCGTTCTGACTTGTGCCTCTACTGAAATTGGTTGTCCTTATTATTTTTCAATTTTTAGGGAAGCCTTGTTCGTCCGGCCCGTGCCAAGCGTCGACGTCTGTCGCAACTGGGCGTTCAGCGGAGTACAAATGGGAGCAGCGGCTGCAACTCCGACTGAACGATGAGAGCGTGGAACACGAATACGACACAAAATGGGAGGGCTACCCGTCTTCGGAGAATACATGGCAAACCGTCTGCTCTTTTGTGAGTGTTTCTTTCTTGTTTGTTGTTTGTTGAATAAATTATCGATTATTGTCGAAAACTATTGTCGATTCCCAAAACCAATTAAAGGAAGTGTTGAAGATTGCGGCAAACATTAGGTAGAAATAAAATTCATAGCCTTGGTAGAGCGGTCACTAAATTTTAAACTAGCGGTAAGACATTGAACGACATCGACATTCAATTTTAATCAACGTCAATTTGGGACTAGTGGTTCCATCGGGACAGGTGCTTTTGGGTTTGATTCTTGATCAAATCACGTGCGTGTTGTTTTTCGGCTTCTTACTGCTGTTGCTTCAGCATATCTTGGTTTAGGGTCGAAACGGGCCAAGACTTTGAAGTGTACTTTTCGCTCACTTTAGAGCACCCACCACTCGGTTGGTACATTGTGATGGTTGCATTGTTAAATTGTTGTGTTCGGTCAGATTGTGGTTTGGTTCAAACCGCTTTGTCGGTTTACGCTCGCTTGCGAGTTCAATCTCCTGGTGGGATTTAAGCAGGCTTCGGCTCTTTGATATCCCCTGCTTGCAGTGGGAGACTTCTCTTTTTTATTCGATAAATTCACACTTTAGTGAAACTACTTGTTTATAGAACAAATTTACGCATTATTTAAAAAACTTTATTATTCGCATTCAACGAATGTTTACCAAGTAGCTGATTGATAAGCTCTTCGACTAATTTAGCAAAGAAATTCCGTATTTCCGGGCCATGGTTTGTATCTCTTAAAATATATAACAAATCGGGACCTGGCGTGTGAGCAAGGCCAAGATTTTTTGCAAGGGAAGGGGAAAACTAATTTGTATTTTTCCGTCTATAACCTACCGGCTGCTGCTAAATAGTGTATTTTGATAGCGTTTTTCGCAGTTTTTGATTGCTTGAAGTTACAGAAAAAAATATATTCAACATTTCTGAAAACTCCAAAATTTTGACCTTGTTGATCAATTTCACACATTTTTGAACCAAACGTCAAAACTTTTCGAACATTATACAAGTTTTTTGTATCTAAAAACTGTATAAAATACCAAAAAATGAGCTCGGTTTCGTTATAAGGCCGTATGGAATTAGTGGAGAAAATTGTTCCCCCCGTTAACAGGGAATCACCGGGTATCTGAATGATGTGTAGTGTCGGAAAGTACTTTGTAAAGGCGCCTCATAATATGATCCATACAAATTTATGGTCCATGGAAATTTACATTTCATTTCGGCTGAAATTTTTTATTGAAAAGCCGCTTCTCGATTAGATTTTCCCGATGAAAAAAATATAAAACATGATAGATAGATGACCGTTACGGCTGCCTGGAACAGGGCCGCAGTCTGGCATAGCTGGCCCCAGGTTATCTCGGGTTTCTGAAAATGCATACGACTGACCTTTTCAGGTAAAGCGATAAATTATTTTTCTATAAGGTTTTTAGTAGTTTCCGGTCCCTCAAAAATTATGCTAGTTTGATTAGAACATCCTGCAAAGCTCAAATTTTTGGCCAGTTTCGGTCATTAATCATGCGCTTCTGACCAAAAAGTCACGATTCCCAAAACCTTTGCAATTATTTTTACGATCTAGAAACAGTTTACTTACATCGTCAGCGCTTTAGGAGCCAAAAATAATTCTAGTTCTAGTTATTAATTGCAATAGATAAGCGGGAACTTCCGGCATTCACCGTAAAAATTAAGGCTCTATCCTAATATCGGGGTCCATGTACAATATCGTGGTTGGGTTCGGCAAATTTTTATTAGCATCTGAAATTCAAAAAAAATAAATTAAAATTTATGGTAGGGCTGTCGCTAGTAGTGGCCGGTAGGATGACGGGGTGGTGGCACCTATGAATTGTGGCATATGCGGGGTAAGGCAGGCATAACTTCTTGTAACGATAGGTAGAAACGGACCGGAGATCTAGGTGAGAAGAAATGGATGGTCTCCGTCGCCTTCAGAATCGCTGGAGGGCAGGGGCAGCAGATCCTGCTCTCGCATGGTCTAGACTCTAGAGATGAAATGAATAAGATAGACAATGGGAAACTAACGATCATCATCGACTGAAGAGGCCGGAGGGCGGTTTGACACTGCGACAAGCTCTGACGATTTTGCTAGCTCCTAGAGGCAAGGAAAGCGGTAAAAAAAAGAACAGGGAGGCATAATTACCTGTCGGGGACGGAAGCGGCCATAGAATCAATCTGATGCTGAAGAGTAACCACTCGCTGGCGGACAGCATCGAGTCCAGTGAGGGGACGTGTCCATCGGCGCTGGACAGTCTCGGTTGGAATGTAGGGTTCCTGGAAAGGAAAGTGATCAGGAGCATGAGGCGAAACTAACCATTTGGTGATGCAGGACGGGCAGTGGTTATAGAGGGAGCCTGAAGGTTAGATATGCTAAATTAGGAAGCCAGCAAAGAATTGCACCGAACATGACGGGGTCTGGTAAGGGATCGAGAAGAAATGGCCTGGACTTTATCGGGTACAGAAATCATAAGGGTGGATGGGAAAGAAGAATGCCGCAATGGGTGTCATATTACCTTTGGAATCTATACGATAATCAAACTGACGGCCGCGAATACGCGATGCGAAACACGTGACAGGCGCCTTTGCGCACTTCTTAGGCGTTTCCGGGTCGAGTTAGCCCCGGTAAATAGCGTGGTCCATAGCCAGGCCCGGGGGGGCATTTTCAATGGACTACGATAATGACCGGTCCCAAAATCGGGCCGACCGCCGTTTTCAAGGACCCCGATACTTGCCTTTGGACCCCGATATTTCCTAAGCACCACGTTATTTTTTAAGGGCCACAATATTTTACATGGACCCCGATATTAGGATAAAGCCTTTCTTAACGATGGCCGTAGCCCTAGCAACCTGCAAGCACGATTGGCACCCGAACTTTGCTTGTCTAAAAAATTCTGGCACCAACCAAAATTCGCTCTCAAACAACATCCTTGCCATGGGGTGCCGCAACCGCGCCCAGCGATGTAGACATGGCATCTAAACGGCGGAAATTACTCTTTCGATAACTATAAGCGCTCTTACCAATCGCCGAGAGATAGGCTTGATGTCAGGGAGCGACGACCAGCAGTCCGGCATTGAACCCAAACATGGCCCACGGCAGGCGGAGGGCTTAAATTGGGACAGTGATCGGTATTGGAAAGTGTTGAACCGGTAGCTCAGTATAACAAAAATAGTGGTGCTTCCGGTTTTGCTGGAAGGGGACAATATTTCGCCTGACACTAAGTTTTTCAGCGTAAAACAACCCATACTACCTGCTAGTAAAACATCGTGAGTTTTTGGCCCAGTTATCATATAAAGTGTTTTTACATTGTTTTTAAAAAGTTTTTACTATATATGAAAGCAAAAGAATTTTCGCAAAACTTTAGAAAATAATTGAAAAAGTCGGAAATTTGGTCTTTTGGGTCGTAAAATAAATTTCTTAATAAAAAATAAATTGCTACATTTTTTGTTAAAAGGCTAGGTTTGTCGATAACAAAACTTACTGATGAGTTGGGCTAGCTTGGTCGGCCTCGTCTTGCATGGGCGATATCGGCGGATCATCGTTTCCAGGGCGTATCCTGTTGAGGTGTTTACATCTGAAACGAAGTTTGAAAAGACAAATAATCTGTGGTACCGTTTCCGTTGGCGGTGCTGGGCAAAAAATTGGGCAAAAATGAATATGGAAATTTAACATTAAAATAGTGTTTCACAAGTTAGTCGGATTTTTCTTTTTTTTTGCCATAACTACCTTATTTACATTATTTTAGGCTGATTAAAATTCATGCTATATTTTTGATGTTTTAGCGACTGGTGCGTTAAAAATATCAAAAATAGTGAAAATCGAAAACTAGCCTTGCGCCTTAACGGGCAACCGCGTTTATATCTTGTTTATGCTGTAACTATTTTATATTATAACGCTTTATCCCCTATTACACTACAACCAGGGTTTGTCTCATCCTTGAATAGCGCTCCCACACGAGTTGGAAAAATTTTTGGTTGACGGCGGCCAGCGCTCTAACGTATACCAACATGTTTGCCTTGGTCTAATTACTAAGTATTCATTCGGTTTGGATCGGAAAAATTGCGAAATTAAAAAAAATAATTGTGGTGGAAAATCCAAATTTCGGCTGGCTGGGGGGTAACTACAGTTCATCCCAGAAATGAGTTTGGCGTACATCGATGCGGTGAGTTCAAGGATGAACGCCTTGACCCCAGATTTCTTGCCGGCTTCACCACCTTCCGGCTGACCCCTGTCAAAGCGGCGGCCACTGCACGCGCACACGCTGAAAATGCATGAGAGGTTACAAAATACTTGTGCGCCCAGATAGCAGTACACATAGGGTAACGGGGGGAGCCTCCAAAGTTTTTTATAATAAAAATAATTTTAAATATGTTTTTTTGGGCTATAAAAAGCTCTTGGTTTTTGGACCCTCTATTGAATGGCGCTCGCGTAACCCGTGCACTTTCGTGACTTTGTAAAATGGTCTTTTAAACTCTCAGACCTCTAGCTAGGGTAGTTTGCGAATTAGACTCCCCGGGCGCCGTCCCATCTATAGTTTATGCACTCTAATAGCAAATTAGTCTCTTACCGATCAACGCTTTCTTGCATCCATATGTCGTCGTTAAAGGGGTGCGCAGCAGTGCGCCGATCACGTTGCCCACCGGTAGTACCAGGTAGAGCATGCTGGTTTCCGTTGCCGTTTCCAATATTTTTCTTAAATTCCAACTTTGACAAAACAGCCTTCGGTTCTGGTTCGTTAGCGGCGGGCATTGAAATTTGGTTGTTGTTTTATGCTAATTTGCAAATATCGACTCACCATGAAGGGTGCGCTCATGCCGAATGCTGCCTTTTGCTGCACATAAACGGCCGTGTTGACCAGGAGAATGGCCACTACCATCCATTCCGGCAATCCGGCGGCTACATTCTAAAACACAGTATGCTTGACTTGTCCGAAAGATTCGCTATCGTAAGGCTACGGATTATCCCCCCCCCCCCATGACAAAAATTGTTTTCGTACGCCAAAAATTCCTAGAACATTTTTTGTAAAACTCATAAGTGCCGAAATTAATTCTCTTAGTATATTTTTTGACGCTCTATCCGATGGCAGGCTTGAATTGTCACGACATTTTCCAATAGAGGAAAACTAGTTTCCACCCCGTTATGTGCCCCCCCCCCGTTAAGCAACCGTTACCGACAATTTTCTGGCACAGTCCCATATTCTTTTTAGGGGAATCTTTTCAGTTAATGTTAGTTTTTTGCTGCTACTTAGCCATAGGTTTCCCATTTATGTACCGTGAAAAGTACCGACCGGGGTCCAATTGCATTTCTGTTGTTCGGTAGACCATTTGATTTCCAGGGGATTGTTCGTGCTTGCCGACTTTCCTTTCTGGATCAGCTTTCCATACTGGCACATTCTGTGCTTCTGCATAATTTCACAATCGGTTTCTGAAACGGGGGGAATAGGCCTGGTTTCTTCTCAATTACGGCCTACGAATAGCCCTACCCAATATTTTGCTGTATACTCTGTCAGCTGGCATTATTGATATAATTTTTGCATTGAACTCGAAGAGGTTTAATGTGGATGGGAAAACTATAAACTACCGACTACCTAACCTATAAACTAACCGATCAAACTCCATTTCACCGATCAGGTCAAATCTCGATCAGCAGCTAGGAAAATTGTAAAACAAACGATTTTTGCATCAGCAGCCAAAATATTCGCCCACGAATATTCCAATATCGTTCAAAAATATCCTCGACATTTAGATTCATCACCGCCAACGGCTCGTTCCCATCCCCGCATATAAGGCCACGGCCACTAAAATGAGAACCTACCGAGCGATTGCAATCTTTTGCCATTTTTTGTCGGGTTCATTCCTTTTGTTGCGCTTCAGATAATCAGCGAAGGTTCATCTAGAAATGCCTAATAATCTAATGGAAAGCATTTTATTTTTAGTGCTATTTCATTTTAACTTCATTTGAATTTTTAAATTTTTAAGTTTTGATTTGAAAAATAATTTGCATTTTCTTTTATGTTTAATCAGGGTTTTGAGCAGGGCTTTTGAAAAGGCGAAACTTTGGTCGAAACATCGATATTTTGTGTATTTTTAATATAACTTTGTCGAATTTGTACGCCTGGGAACAGTAAAAACAGTTTGGAAATACCTGCGCCATTTATGTTAGAAACATTGCATCCTTAGAAAACGTTGCCCTCCGCCCCGATAATGTCAAAGAACCGATTCTTCCCGTCTAATGGGGGGAAGAGCTTTTCTAGAGCAACTAACCTTTCAATTTACACTTGTTAACATCGTGGTCGTTGTCGTTGTGGTCAAAATACACCACAAAAAGACTGCCTCATTGACGAAGGCGGTGGTTGTCTTGGAAAAATTATCCAAGTTGAGACCGCAGCCTGAAATCTCACAATTGACAAAGGGGGAGCTTTTGTTTTATCGGGGGGAGGGGGGAAGAGCAAATTGAAATGTTTTAGAAGTCTAGAAAGCCAAGCAAGTATTTTAATAATACTTTTTGCTGAAAATTCACTATATTGAAGTGGAAAAAACAATGCAAGCTGAGACAATGTTAGGATGGAAAGCCTCTCGAAAAAGGGCTATTTTTGTATTTTCAACAAGAGTGAAAGTTTTTCCGTTTAGAATCCTTGGAAAAAGATGGTAAGCCCGATACCTCAAAAGTACCAAAAAGGGATTGAAGAATAAAAGGATGATGAAGGGATGTGAAGAGAGAGAGAGAGAGAGAGAGAGAGCAAGAGTGAGAGAGAAACTGAGAGAAGGAGTGAGAGAGACAGAGAGGGCGAGAGAGAGAAAAAGAGAGAGAGAAAGAGTGAAAAAGAAACTGGGAGAAGGAGTGAGAGAGAAAGAGAGAGAGAGAGAGAGAGAGAGAGAGAGGGAGAGAGAGAGAGAGGTGAGAGAGTGAGAGAGAATTAGCACGACTTTCGTATGAATGGAATGTTCCTGCATGGTGCTAGTGACCAATCGCGCGCCAAGGAGGAATACGGTCTGGTGGGCAGGTGGTATTTCGGGAGGAGGAGCAGGCGCTGAATCACTACCTCCGCCGACGCTGACGGATCGGCCGACGCTCTCCGCCCTATTCCTCTCAAAGTACACCAAAGCTTCAAAAAAATTCGCAACCCAAACTCAAAACCCAAAAATTGTGAATTCAAATCGAGCTTTGGCGGGGAAACGTTGTACAACCAGCAAAATTTTCCTAAACTTTCCTTTTTGGGCGTATTTTCCATGACGTTAATAAGTTTATTTGCCACCGATATTGAATGAGATCACAATGCAATTTGAGCAATCAGCAACAAGTCATAATTTGTTCAGAAAATCGTGGAATGAGGTGTAAAATGGAAGGTAGAGGAGGGGAAACCCGGTTTTAATGGCACTTCATAGAAAAGCAATTATAAATTTTAAATATCTGAAAAGTTATGCAAATTCGAAAATTTCGGCCTTTGTTGGTCATTAACATGCATTTTTCGCCAAAAAATGGCACAAAATTTTCAAAAATTGGCATAATTTTTTATGAGCTTTTTATATCAAAAAACCGCGTAAAATGCTATAAAAATTGTCTATACTTTGTTATAGGACCGTACAGTATTACTGGGATAAAGGAGCTTCCCCCTGCCAAAAATCGCCCATGCTAAGAGCCCACTACCAAAAATAGCTTAATGATCCGAATGTAACATCATAGGCATCGTCTCTTCGGAGCCGAGTGTAGTCGGAGTTTTTGATTCGTAGCTGGGAGGCGGGGAGTCGCGCTAAAAATGAGAGCATTTTGATAGTTAAGACATTCAAAGTTTCTGGAAACTCACTACAACAACCACTCTTTCAAACTGCGGCGCCCGTCGATAGGTGCGTCCGGAATTTTTGGTTTCTTGGAAGAGTTGCTTGAGATTTAGCCATGAGCCATGGGCTGTGAATGCCATATAGACGATGAGAAGCCATAAAATGAATAGAAGGACGGAGAGTAAGGCGTAGTAGACATAGGCGTGTGGGAGCTGAAAATAAGATTTAAATATTTTTTCTTTCTAATCTACACTTTTGTTAAGTCATCATAAAAAAAAATATTTTGATTACTTTCTAGCTTTTCCTGTTAATTCTCAATCTATTCTCGTGATCAGCCAGTTCAAAAAATACAACTCCCAGGCCATTCCCGACAAATGACGAGTGATATCGGTGTAAAAAGTGATCAGGATATGTCGGAGATGAACCCGCGAAGCTCCGCCACAAAATGTATATAAAAGAGCACGAACTGGAATCTCGAAATGATAAGCAACTTTTCTTAATAGCTACCATGAATCAATATATTCTGCTAGTTCTTGTTGCTGCACTAATTGCATTGACTACGGCTAAACCCTGGGAATGTTCCAAATGCCATGGATGGGGTAAACAAAATTTCAATTTTAATTTCATCTACTTTTTACAGGCTATCAGCACAAAGAAGGACCCATGCCTCACTTTGGCGGATAATAGCAGAATTTTGTATTTGTATCAGATTTCGAATAAAGCTCTGACCTCCTTTGCTCCATCCGTAATCTGCTGCGATATTTCAGAAATATCGTAGGAGAGGCTTCTCAATTTGTCTTCCAGATTTGATAGGGTCTGGTTGAATTGCCACAACGTTTCGTCTGTCGAATTGTCGGCGTAGGAAAGAAACTGAAAATAATATCGATAATGGGACAATTGTTCTATAAATTTACCCGACTGACATCTGCTAAGGTATCGGCGATGTTATCGATTTCTCGATCTATTGACATCTGAATAATAAAAAAAAATAGATTTAGCAGATCAAAAAAGGCCAAAATATTTTAGAGAAAATATAGAAAATAAAGGTGCGTAATCTAAATCTAATCTATATCTAAAAGAACGTGAGTCTAGTTTTTACAGTATTACTCTTGAAGGTAAGGTATTGCACTTCATGAAGTTATACCTTAGAAAATGAACTACACCGTTTTTAGACGTTTTCAAACTTTGTAGCGTTTTATTTAAACATAGCACGGCTAGAAAAATAGTTCGAAAGAATGGGAGAACGGGGGTCTCCTCTTCACACCGAAGGATAGAACCCATGAGTAAACAATCTGCGCACGCAAAACCGCACGAATTTTGCTAGTTTTTCCAGAGGGGTTTTCAAGAAACAAAATTCAAATCCAAAATTTGCTAAATAAACGGAAGTCATTTGAACCAAACAAAAAACGAGGATTAAATTTGGCTGGAAAGGGAAGGCTGAAAATATCAATTTGGAATGTCTGTGCGCGGGGCTGGGGGGCCTGGGAGACAAGCAGTGCAAACACAAGGATCAACAGACACAACCCCACCACATCAATCGGGCCAGTCCTTTCGGTGGATTCTATTCAAAACTGAAATTAAATGTTAAAAAAGGCAGAAAGTCTGTTATATAGGCATTCAACATGAAATAACGTTGGCCATGTTAAAAACTTATATTTGATTAATTTGTGAAGTCATTATAATATTACATGACGTACCGAACTTTCTCTTCCTTCCGTTTTTAATTAAGAGCAAAAGTGAAAGTCAAAACAAACTTGAAAACGAGTTGCCCAATATTTTTAAGCAATTAAAGCGTCGTAAATTTAAAAATGTAATTTTATGAATTTAAGAAAGATTTTTATTCAGAACAGTTTTTATCCTTTTACTTAAAATTAAAATCAAATGCTATGGTAAAATTAAAAAAATCTGATCACTCTATTAACATTCGAAAAGCTGGATAACCATCTACCGCTTATTAAATTAGGTTTATAAAATTCTCGTTGTGGTTTTTGCCCCAGTTTTTGTGTTGGTATACCCTAAAGCGTATAAAATCGGAAACGTAAAATATTCAAATTGTGGTGCCCGATCGAAGCGCGTTTGATTCATACTCGCATGATTCATCCTGCCCCCCACCAAATACGGGGCATAGATAAGCCGAAGGCTGATGAATCAATCGATATCTCGGAGAGGAGGCATGGGTTTTAAAGGGAGCATGACAGCTTGGAGATATGGAATTTGATTTTGCTTTCCATATGCTAATCTTCAATATTTTCCAGGGATTTTTCTCGACATACCGGAGGAGAAATGTGTGAAGAGGGTGGTGGTGCTGAAATGTAAACTACGGCTTTTTCTGCTGAAGACCTGACCCGCGTCGCCCCTAAACAACGCCATTTTTTTAGCATAAGCTTCCGAATGTTATTGAGCGTTATTTAGAAGCTTAGATGTGTTTTGAAGCTATGGTTTTTAACTAGCGAAAGCCTGAATGTTGGTGTTGGAGTTCTGTAATTATATAATTAATGCTTTGATGCTAAAAATTTTTCTTAAACCCTGGATTTCTTCATTATTCTTTTCCTGCAACTCCCTCCAACCAGGGTTTCATGTCTTCACATGGCACTTCCGTCAACAGTGGCCTGTTTTCATGGCGTCCATCCTCAGGCTCATCCCCTCGGGTCTCCTACTCCCCTCTAGACGTGGGTCACTTTCGAAAGCAAAAAAAATCGTTTCCGCCCAACCCCCCAACCAGATATTTATTGAGGCTGAGGGGGAAAACTGAGGGCAGCTGAGCCATCTCAGCCAAAAAGAGCACGAGGATGAGGGCTGGGGAGGAGGGTCTCTAGGGGATCGTGTGCCCTGGCCGCGATTCTCTCGTCCTCAAAAGCCACGGATTTCCGGTGCTCCACACGAGTTTTTAAACGCTTTTCGTTGATATTTCAGTTGTGCTTAATCAGATTCTGAGCGAGTGAAAATTCTGTATATTCAAATTCGAGGATCTAACTCTAAATAACCATCATGGCTTCTAAATTGGTTGATTTTAATTGATTTAAATTTTATTTAAATTGATTTGGCATGGGGCAATTTTTATTCAAATCAGCGCATTTTTAGAGTTTTGTAAAATCGTTCAGTTTCAGCCGAAATTGAAATATATCTCTTAATTTGAACTTCCCATTATTAATGACCATTTTTAGTTTATAGTCGATATTCAGAAATTCTTCTTCAAATCAACAGATTATTAGATTTTAATAAAATCATCGAATTGAAATTTAAATTTGACATATATCTTTTAATTTGGATTCCCTAATTTAATTTTGAGATTTAATGACTATTTTCTAGTTTATAACTATTTTTCTGCATTCGTTTGACAACAACTTTCTACGCATCGAATTTCCCCTGTAAATACCAAGGCGGCAATATACCCCAAGGCTATTTCCGGCCAATCCCTCCATGCCCCACTGCCCCCCCCCCCCCCCCCCTCTAAAAAAACAAGATTTGGCTGCTGAAAAACGAGGCGCAGCCCCCGGGACACGAATCCGGCCGGGATGAGGAGGAGGCCCAGATGTTGGGTGGATGCGGGTTTTACCTAAAAATATTCATCCGAAAGATGTGGCCCCATTCATTGGCACCGAATTCTCTCAACCCCGGCTGCACGTTGAATGAATGTATAGTGGCCCCCCCAGGATGGGGAGCCAAGGAAATTGGGTTTTGTTTTGCCGCGCGTATTTTTTTTTGTGTGGTCTTGGCAATCAGGGGGGAAGATGCGGGAAATTTGGGATTTTCTAGTTAAAGAAATGGAGGTACTGGACTGTTAGCGGGGGGGGGGGAGGAAAACGAATTTTTGTTTTTCCGTCCATATCAACCGGTTAATAATAAAGTGGATATTTTTATATCTAAAAAGCGATGTAAATTGCTATAAAAATGTCTATATTTGGTTATGAAAACATACGCGATTCCCGGAAAAAAATTTACTTTTACCACCCCTGCTAACAGTTATTTAATCCATTTATTGTAACAATTTATTTAATCGACTTTTTGATGTGTTTATTTAATTTATTTAAGTCGCCTGTAAATTGGAATTCTGTTTTAATCATTATTTAACATATTCGAGTGCCACTTTAGCTATTTTTAATTCTACACCCCTTATGTTTCTGCTTTTCTTAATTGTCTTCCGCATTCCGATATCCCAAAAATCTCCCTCAACCCTTCAAGGGCCCAAAAATCTCGCCATTGCCCCCCACCGGACCCAGCCAAAAAGCGAGTAGAAAGGCTGAGGTAAAAACAGACAAAACGCCACTCGGAAATGGGGGTCCTTGGAATTTATGGTGCGGGGCCCCGGGGCCCGGAAATGGCCAGCCCCCCAAAAACTGCCGTATGCCCCACCGCGCCACTCCACTTTCCAATTCCTTTGGCCCGGTTGCCTTGTTAAATGGGCTATTCTTCAAGAAAGCCCCTGGGTGTTGTATTTTTATTTTTATTTCTTCTTATGTTGTATTATTCGGTTTGTCCCCGGAACTTTCGAATTTTTCGGAAGTCACTAAAAAACAGGAGGGGACTTTAATTTCGGGATGCCGAGTTTTTCGGTGGGGCCTAATGAGAGGGCCCTCCGGGGAATTTTAATGGGGGTACGGTAGGGTGGAGGGGAAGTTTGTGGGGCTCGTTAAAGGGGTTGTGAAGGGGGAAAACACGTGGTTGGGTGCGTCTATAAAAGGGTTGATTTGGAAGTGAGTATAGGAAAAGGGGAGACCCATAATTTTTACTATTTTCAAGTTCTATCTAATTTCGCAAGTGCCATTTGATAGAACGTAAAAAACCGCTTAAAATAAGTAATTTTAGCCCAAAAAATGTAATCTAAAAGTTTTTTTACATAAAAAGATTGGTCGAAAACTATGGGTGCACTATGACATTCGATAGAGCGTCAAAAATTTTGCTGATAGTTTTCTATAGCTCTGAAAATCAGATTTGAAACTATCTTATGGACAAAATCTTTGAGTGCTCCCCGCTATCTCACTTGTACCCTTTTGGATGAAAATCCGCGGAAAACTACAAGATCCCGTTCACCTCCTCAAAATCACCGGACAGCTTGTTCCGCACCACGGCCGTAGCAGGAGGTGTCAAAAAAAAGTAGATGTGGTGTGGGGTCCGGCCGGGTGGTGGACAGCGGTGGTTGTTTTCCGTCCGAATGCATAGTAGATGGCCCTTTTTTTGGGGGTCCCTCTCCCCTGCTACCACCAGCAGCTCCGTTCGGTCTCCCCTCTTCAAAACCTTCCGCCGCTCCGCTCCCATTTCTGGGGGCCCTCCCTTTTTCTTTGGTGGGGTCTCGTCCTCCTCCTCGTCCTCGTCCTCCTCCTCCTCCGGGGTCCTCCCCCTTGTTGGGCCACACGCACAAATTGCCCCCCTAAAGCCCCCCTTTCCTCTGGTCCTCTCAACGATTCTCATCTTCCACTTCCACCCTTCATTCTCCCCTTAACCCGCAAGACATCCCCCACTCATGCTCGAACGCTTCTCACCATTCTTTTGGGTTTTTGAGTAATGGTTGGGGTTTTAAAAAGGGCATGACAGTAGAAATTAGAGAATTCAGTAAAATTCCACAATTTTTGTATTTTTCTAAAATTTTTTTCAACGATTATGACATATTTTGAGTTTTATTTGATTTCAATTGAATGAAAATTTTTCAAATTTAATCTACCAAATAGAAGTTTGCTAAATAACAAAAGCTAAAGAAAACTCTATTTTGCGATTAAGCAAAATTCCAAAAATGACCAATTTACAGCAAAAATAGGTTTTTCGGATACGATTCTAGCCTTATTAATACCTGAAACTTTTTGTTAGCTCATCTAGCTTTTATCGGATTACATTTATGTAGGTAAAACTACCTAGAAAATAATCATTTTTTATGATTCACAGACTAAGCAAAATTCCGTTTCCACCCAATTTACATTAGGCCCAAGTTTTTTTATGCCAGCTGATTTTCGAGTCCGCCCTCCCCCCATTTCCCCCGGTGGTCGAAATGTTGTCGGCATCTGGCTGAGGGCCCTGAGGCATCGATTTCAATGCTTCTTGTCGGCTTCCAAGCTTTGCCTTCCTTGCCTTCCCTCCGTCTCTCTCTCTCGAAATCTCGTCTATCTTGTTGTCTCGTCTTTTTATCCGGAGGGCTCCTCAAACGTCTCTTTCGATTCGCCAATCCTTCCAGTCGTTTCGGGGCATTTTGGCAACAAAAGCCACGATTTGTTGTTTATCCTGTGATTCTCGGCATGCAACGTCAAAGTTCGGCGAAAAAAAGGGGCTATTTTGAGTTGAATGTTGGGGAAAATGATCCTATTTTTAGGTTTTGGAATTGTTTATTCACTACGCTATTTTGTTTTCTTACTTTGTTGTGTTTTTTATATTCTGAAAAAATTAGAATTTATATAAATAGTTCTTTTAGTAATGGCAGTCCGTGATCGGAGACGGACAATTTTAATTACTGGCGGAACCGATGGAGTTGGCAGACAAACGGCCGCCGATCTCGCCCAACATCCAGGTAACTTTTTCTTTTTTAGGTTATTTTAAACCTTATTTTTTCAGATAACTACGTAATAATACACGGTCGTACAAAGGAAAGCTGCGAAAAGACGATAGAGCTGGTAGCCCCAAAAAGCCTTAACATGCTATTTAAGCTTTAGATTCGAAAAGAAGGCGCCCGATATGATAATATAGACTACATAGCAGTTGATTTCACTTCATTAAAAGCGGTATGAACTATAGAAACAAAAAAATTAATATATAAATATATTTAGGTTACAACAGCCGTGGAAGAAATTAAAACGCGATACCCGGCGATATCTTGTGTGGTGTGCAATGCTTCCACCGTACAGCAACGACGGCACGAGACAATGGACGGTTTTGAGAGCACTTTTCAAGTGGGTGTCGGCTATTTGTGCGTTAATGAGAGGGTTTAGGTGAATTTTTTGGCGCATTTCCTGTTCTTGAATCGGTTGCTGCCATTGTTGGAGCAGAATACGCCATCGAGGATTATTGTTATTGGGAGTACGCTGCATTCTTGGTAAGTTTTAAAGGTGTGGATAAGTGAATGATTTTTTATGTATTTTCCTGCCGCAGCGACACGCACGGCGCGCGCCTGCCTTTCTATCGCGTTATGGATAACCATTTTTTTATTGAGGCCAAGTGAATATCGCGTTGCGTATCGCGTCGCGCGTCACGTTGCGTTGCGTATCGTTTGGCGCGTTGCGTGTCGCTTGGCGTATCGCATAGTGCGTCGCGGATGCGGCAAAAACGATAGGCGCAATTACCATATTCATCGTTAATGGAAAATTTAATAATTGCCTTTAAAGCGCACGTTCAGGGAGGGGCCGTGTACTCGTCCCAACGTGTACACCCTATGGACGTAGGGACCGCGCGCACTGCCTGCCCGTGCTGTGACAGGCCATTCCCCTCCTTTGCGGCGTGGGGCGCCCCTCGCCCCCTCGCCAGGTTGTAGCTATGGCTGACTGGTATCCATCCGCGCCTCCCGAGCGGGGGGCCCGGGTTCGACCCCGGCCGCGGCAAAAATCTTTGCTTTTTTCCAAAAAAACTTCCATGAACGTGCCCTTTAAGATTAGCATAGTACGCCATTTTCAGGACGGCCATCGATTGGCAAGACCTACAAGCTGGCGCCGATTTTGAGAAATACCTCCAATTCTCCCGCACCAAATTGATGTGCCACATGATGGCCTTCGCACTGCATCGCCGCATGGCATTAACCGGCTTTAAGGTAACCCTTATCTGTCCCAGCCCCTTTAAAACCGTTTCTACAGGTTACGGTCAATGTGATGGACCTGGGCCGAGAGAGGCGGGAGACCAACAACAATTACAGATTGTAAGCTTTGGGATTTTGTGTTTAAAGGAAAGCATAGCCCACGACGCGTGCCTCGTTCGGCGTAAGTTGGAAAGTATTTGTAGCTCATGATTAAGTTTTTTTCATTCACTAGTAGATTTTTAATGCACAAATAGGAAATAATTATTGTTTTCGACGATACGTGATATTTTAGTCGATGTGCGTCGGCATTATCCACTTCTGAATCGGTATTTTCGGTTGGTCGCAGTGCTGGCGGATTAGTTCAGGTAGGAAGCCTAGATCTTATTATACTTAAGGTCTTTTAAGGTAATTTAAGTTATTCAATAGTTTAAATTTAATGAACATCCTACTATATGTAAAAAATAGTGTCTGTGTGTGTTTGTGTGTGTATGCCACTTTGCATCCACTTCCGTTTGTCTGTCCGGAGGATATCTCAAGAAGGGACGGGTATTAGGCTACATATGATACGTCATTAGGTGCGTAATGGTCATGACACGACTGCACGCATATCAGATTTTAAAAAATTAGCCATTTTCGCTATTAAATTTAGGTTTTTGTAAAAACCTGTTTGTTAGGAATAATTAGCATAGACCGGAAGTGGGCGGTCGCCTATATAAAGAGGCAGAAAGAATCGATTTTCTTTTTTTTGTCTTCTGAATAGAGGACAATTATGCAAAGGGCAGAATAGTATGGGGTCCAAGACGGGCCCAGGGTTGAAAAATCGCGAAGCGGCTTTTCAACCCTGGTTTGATTTTAATTTAGGTTGTGGAATCGCCAGCCTTAAATACGATGTCTGGAAAATATTTGGATTGCCATGGAAAGCAGCTACGGTTAGTTTTCAAATTAATCTAAATATTTTTGTGTTTTACGTGTTTTTAAAAGCTTTTTAATGTAAATTTTTTGTCTACAAAAATTATAAACGATTTTTTTCAGTTCCGGTGCCGACGCAACCAATGAACGACTACAAGAACGCTTGTGGGCTGAAGCAACAAAGCTTTGCGCCAATTATTTATTAAATTCATAGCTTATCGTAGCTATTTTCGTGTACATACTTGCTAGATCTTAAGCCAGATCTCGCTAGTGCTCTACTCATCATTCTACAACCCCGAAATTTTGCCCCTGTTTATACAATGTGCTGGCATTTAAAATACAGGTATCGTGTATCCCCCTTCTATCTTTACTCTCCCAAAATCCCCCTATTTCTTCGCATTTTTATTTTTATAATAAATGTGTTTTTGCTGACCGTTGGTGTGTCCCATGGATACGTCGTTGACCCCAGGGAAAGATTTATGAGACGCTGAATATGCAATGGGGTCTGGGATAAAAGGGATGAGAGCGAGGCCAAAAGTGCTTTCCAAAAAAATGCAGCTTAATTGCTTGATTCTGGGGCTTTGCGTAGTGGCGACTGCAGGGAAATTGTCGATGGCGCAATTCAGGCCAGGTTTTCATTGAATTTCATTTGTCATAAAACGTTGTAATCTTTAAAGCCAATCTCCTTGGCTCGGCTTCACTTCGAGTCTTGAAGCCTGAGCTGGACGCTCAAACCCTGTGGAATGACTGTAAGGGTCTAGTAGCCTTGCGCCAAGGGATTTCTGCTACTGGAGGTCGGTAATTACTATTGCTAGGTTTACGGTATGTTACGATACTGTACACAAAACGTTCCAGAAAACCGCATTTTTGTGAAACGGGTCCCGCAGGGATGGAGGGAGACGGCGATGCTCGGCTATTGTACCCAGTATCAAGAATGCAATGCAAATCAACCGATTCGGGAGTATCAAAATGGACAAGGGAATATTTTTATTAATTAGCTTTATTCAAAACTAGATAGGCTAGAATTAAACTTAAAACCTTTGATCTATAGCATCAATTCCTTGCCAGTATAGAACCGTCTGTCTAGGTCTATAGAATGGAATCTAAAGAATCGAATAAAAAAAAATCTAAAGAATCAAAAATATTTAGCCGCATAGGGGGCTCGAACCCCTGACATTCAGATTAAAAGTCTGACGCTCTACCAACTGAGCTAATGCGGCTGCGGACTGGGGGGTGGCCAGGGGTCACCATGAGGAATTGGGGGAAAGAGAAAGGCCTCCGCCCGCTCAACACAATGTTTTTCCGCCTGGAACTTATATAAACTCGAAATCTAATACTCATTAAATTTTAGGATATATCTACTCTGTAAATGGAGTCTCCGCAAGTGGAACAATGATCAAAGAAATGTGCTATGGCTGGCAATAAAAAATGAATTTTTTTTGGCTCTTATTTTCCAGGCGTATACCTCAGTCTCAAGATCACAAGTAATTTATGGTTAAAGTTTATACCATTTCCAACTGTCCATCAATTTTACAGCCAGCTTCTTCTTGAAGGCACTGCCAAACAAAGCCGAGACCACCGGCTACAGCTAACCGCGTGGCAGCAAAGTCCCCCTTTGATAAAGCCGAGAATTTTTGTTGATAAGTGCTTTATGGGCGCTGCCGTTTCGGACAGTGGGCCCGATCGCCAGATTTGAGGGCTGGAATGACAATGGGCAGAATGGGCTCGTATCCGGGTGTTGATAACCCCGTGATTCCACGAATAACAAGAAAAAACGAGATGGTTTGCCAGGTCAGAAGCTAGAAAGTGGCAATTCGTGTACTTGGGTGTCGGATGGAGGTTGAGAGATTAATTTTATTTGGTGACATACGATTGACTTTTTGATCTCGATCTGAGGTTGAATCGGTGATCTTTGTTAAAGGCGCGAGGAGCCGGACTAACAAGAAGACGTTTTTTAACGTCGCCGGAGTTTAAGTTGGAACCACATCTATCTGGTACAGAATTTTGCGCTGATTACGAATATATCTACCAAATTTGCGGAATCGAGATCTTCCGAAAGTTATCAACGATTAAAGTTAGGAAACTTAGGCCAAGAATTAGGTCGTTCATAATTTCCGGAAAATCGAAATTCGGAAAATTCGGTGACAATATTCAGAATCAGCGCAAAGTACAAGTTATTGGTCCCAACCTGAAACACCGACATGGACATTGAAAAATGTTTCCTTGTAACCCAAGCTAATTCAAATGCCATCTCAGAAACCCAAGCCCAAGCCTGCCAATGTTTGTGTAGACCTGATAAACAGAAGCTAAATCTAAGTATAAGCTAGAACTATCCAAAAATAAGTCTGCCGAAATTTAAGTAAACATAAGCCTAAGACAAAGCCGGGGCCTAAGCCTTCGTCAATCAACCTACGTCTCGGGAAGCTTGCAAAGTCTGGGGTATCCGATGACCTAAGTCAATCTAACAGTAAGTTAAGTCAGGTTTTGTTAAGTTGACGCCATCTAAAACGGTGGCTTTAGTTGACCGAAGGATGTTTTTTTTAGCTTTAAGCTCTTTGCAAGCTATCTCCGCAAAAATCAACCCTGTTTCATTTGACCCCCCCCCCCCGATAGCTGGTCCCAGTGAGCTTTGATGTTATGAAAACAGGATGGTCTCCATTCGCGGGGATGGAAACGTTTGACTCAAGGCGGGAATCGGCTCCTGACAAGTCGGCAGCGTCCGAATTTTTGCGATAAGGAGGCCGAGGGCATAAAAGGGGTGGACACCGAGGGAAAGGTGACGATCGGCCAGCTGTCCTCCAGCCATGGTGAGTGCTAGATTACTGTATTAAAACTGTATAACTCGATTACTAATTTTTGACAATTTTTTTTAGAAGTTCCTCGTCGTCGCCCTTGCCCTGCCCCTTGCCTTCCACGCGCTTACCCTGAAAGGAAGTAAGTAATAGTGACTTTAGATATCGTAATTTATATATAATTATTTAATATAAGTTGAGCTTTCTCGTAGTTTTTGTATATAATATTACAATATACTTTAAGGCGCCAAGATCAGCGATGAGGCTCGCAAGCTCTCCGGAAAGGAGCTCGTCGACTATGTGAACAGCGTGCAGTCCGCCTGGACGGCCAAGCTCAACCCCCGCTTCGCCGCCTACCCCGACAAGGTCAAGCAGAAGCTGATGGGCGTCAAGAACATTGCCGTCCCCATGGAGTACCGCGTGAATGAGGTATGTAGAAAGTAGATTACCTAGCTTAAACCTTTCCTTTCCAGGTTGACACCATCCTCGATGGAGTCCCGGCCTCGTTCGACGGACGTGTCCAGTGGGGAGCTATGTGCCCCTCGGTCAAGAACATCCGCGATCAATCTTCCTGCGGATCCTGCTGGGCCTTCGGAGCTGCTGAGGCCATGACTGACCGTACATGCATTGCTTCCCAGGGAAAATTCACCGACCCGCTGTCGGCTGACGATATCCTGGCTTGCTGCGGATTCTCGTGCGGTGACGGATGTGAGGGAGGATACCCGATTGAGGCCTGGCAATTCTGGGTCCACAAGGTGGGTTTTTAAAGCGGTTACGCAAAATAAGACGCCTCCTTGATGAAAAATCCGAACTTTTGATGAAAAAGCAAAAAGTTTTGCCGCCGCCGGGAATCGAACCCGCGTCTTATGCGCCGCAAGCGAACATAAAACCAATGAGCCAACAGGTTGATGAGGTCGGGGAAAGGGCTGGTCCTCTTCCTCCCGAGAAGACCTATCAACGCCTTAAAAACAGACCCTGCTACAGCGCGGACCTATTTTATAAAATTCAAAGCCTTAAATGCCCTTAAATCGACGCAATGACCCCCATCTTCTAGGGAGTCGTCACCGGTGGCAGCTACCAATCCAAGTCCGGATGCATGCCATATCCGTTTGCCCCCTGCGAGCACCACACCAACGCCACCCACTACCAGCCGTGCCCCGGCCAAATCTACCCCACTCCCAAGTGCCAGAAGCAGTGCCAGTCCGGATACGCCAACCAGTACTCCCAGGACAAGCACTACGGATCGTCGGCCTACTCTGTCAGCTCCAAGGTTGCCGCCATCCAGTCGGAGGTATGGAAATTATTGTAGAAAAGATGTAATAATATATTCAGGTGTACGCCAACGGACCCGTCGAGGTCGCCTACGAGGTCTACGAGGACTTCGAGCACTACACTGGAGGTGTCTACGTTCACACCGCTGGTCAGCTTCTCGGAGGACACGCCGTCAAGCTCCTCGGATGGGGAACTGACTCCGTAAGCTTAGCCATCTGAGCCTCATTTTATAATCTATATTTAGGCTTCCGGCCTCGACTACTGGCTCATTGCCAACTCGTGGAACGAGGACTGGGGAGAGAACGGATACTTCCGCATTGTCCGTGGACGTGATGAGTGCGGTATCGAGTCTGGCGTCGTCGCCGGCAAGCCGAAGGTCTAAGCCTAAGCCTCGGATGATACCCTCCAGCAACACCCATAAATATTATTCGATGCTCAGTGCACATACCTGTATTACGCGAATAAAACTCAAAAAATTATGCATATATAGTTTACATTGTATAGAAAGAAGGGGGGCTCTGAGGCGCATCGAGAGAAACTTATGTTACTCAAGAAAAATGTATGTTAAATAGTAAGTTACGGTTACTCAGGGCTCACTGTCTAATTTAAAGTTGCTTATTTATTTATTGTTTATGGCATGAAAAATTCAGCGTTACCAATAGATTTACAAAAAACCTCACAGGCAGGCTTACTTTGAAGAAAATGAAAACAGTTGGCTGTCTGAGACTAAACTGTAATGGCCGTGCCGACAGTTGGGCATAAAAACTGTTTTAAAACCGTATCCTGATATGCGTTCCAGCCATTTTCGTATATAAGGAAACGATTTTTACCCAAGTGGAAAATTGCTATATGCCATACATCGGTCGGTAGAGATCTGAAAATAAAGGTGATGCCCCGTTCATAGTTGTTTCTCGACCTTTGAGAAGCCAATTGGTGACGCAAATTTATTCTGAAATCAAACCTGTATTGAAAGTTGTAAATATTCTGTATCTAAAGTCTATTCTGTCACCAGATTTGAAAACATTTTGGCCCGCAAGTGGCGTGTAGTGCTGCAAAGTCTTCTATGTAGTGCTTCAGTGATCGGCGAACTTCCATTATCCTCTAGAATCCACGGAATATCTCTCTGTGTCCATTTTATTAAATCTCAATCTGGTGCAAACATCTTTCCCTAACCACTCGTCTCAAAGTACTTTCGCCCGGCGAAGTCTGTTTTCTTGATAAGCGGCTTCCAAGATCCATCCCAAAAAATAATTGCCTATCAAGGGGAGGGGGGCATAATCCGAGAAAACCAATAGCCGGCCACTCGTCACGACTAAAGACCGGTTAAGATAAGGGTCTGGTCATAAACAGGGTGTAGGGCAGTTTTTGCAAGCGAACGGTTAGCATTGAAAGTACTGAAAGTGTAGCGATTCGTTGCCTAGGTGCTTCGCAGATATAAAAACCATTTTGTGATTTGCGAAAATTCCTCTATAATAAATAAAACTGGAAAGCTCTGGAATTTAGCTAGAAACAGTCGAAAGTGTCTTATTTAAAAAAGAGACCTTTGCTATTTTCAGTTTTCACAGAACGTTACTATTCCAAGACTATTTTTTTTGTTCTTCTTCTCAAAAATAACTCCAATATAGTCCCCCAGCCTCAAAATCTACTTCCGTCGTACAGTCCATCACATGACTTACTACAATCTAAAAAACACCACCAAATCAGCCAGGGGCAACTGCCCAGACCACCCGTGGTCACGAGGACCTCAGATGACGGCAGCCAACCGGCAGCTTATCAAATAACGCCGACGTCGCGGAAGCAGCGATGGTAAAAAAACGCGCGGTACCTGCCTGGCACCTCGCTGATATGGAGAAGAAGCCGGCCAACTGCAATAAGATTGATACAATGCAAACTGACAAAGGGATCTGTGCCACCAAATAATGGCAGTGAGAGGGACGGAGAGCCGGGGAATTCTAGAAAGCACAAACTAGAGGCAACAAACATCGGTTTAGCATAGAAAATTTTTTTAAGAGAATTTGATCAAAAATTGTCAAAACTCCACAAAAAATGGTAGATTGCAGTCGTGTTTAGCTGCTCAAACCCGCTATCATAATTTTAATCCGACGCAGGCAATTAGCTTTTAAAGGGTTTCATTTTAAAGGGTTTCATTCATTCACGGAAGCAGGTACGCTGAACCGAATGATAAAAACTCAAGGCTTGGCCTAACTCGGTGGAGATGAAAGAAGACAGGGTAACCTAACCCTGGTGCGCTGAACCTCTTATATTCTGGAAAATTAAAAGAAAGTATACCGTAGATCTGTTTTATAAAATCCAGAGCTAAAAAGATTTTCAAAATCTATTTCAATACTTGCCACCTGTCGAAATTTCACCTACCATTGTCCTTTCTTTTCTTTTCTTCTATCCACTTGTGATTTCTTTCTTCAGCACCTGAAGATAAAGCCGAGTGGCCTCCCCCCGTTGGCGGCCGGTTCGCTGGGTCCGAAGGAGAAGCTGATAATGAACAGCGTGTATAAAAGGGCGATGGGTCGGCAGACAGATCAGCTTTGTGCTCCACCCAAGCATGGTAAGTCACTTTAATGTATTCTAGTAAATAGGATACGGTAGCCAGGATACAGTATTCTGCTACCAGCCTTTTTCGCCTCATTCTAGATGGAATTCTTTTAGGAATAATAGCCATAATTAGAATTAATCCAAAACAACCATGTACAGTAGCCCCTAAACAACCTTTTCGCGCCTAACTCTAGACAGCATTTTGGATACCTTAGCTCTTATACTATAAATAGAGCCCAATCCGGAAATAATATTCCGCTTCAGAAGTCCCTCTTCCTGACCGCCGCGGCCTTGGCCGCTGTGTTGGCCGCCCCGGCCCCCGAACAGCTTTCGGGCCAAGCCCTTGTTGACTACGTCAACGCTAACACGAACCTGTGGAAGGCCGAATTGAACACCAAATGGACCCTTCCTCAATTCAAGAAGCGTTTGATGAAGTCTCAGTACGTCAAGGTCCCAGCTGGAGTCCCAGAGGTCACTCACTCTGATGTTGTCTTCGCTGCCCCAGCCACCTTTGATGCCCGTACTGCTTGGCCCCAATGCAAGTCCATCCAGTAAGTTGTCATCTATTAATTCCATATACAAATCTATTGAATAGATGGATCCGTGACCAGTCTGACTGCGGATCTTGCTGGGCTTTCGCTGCTGCCGAAATCGCATCTGACCGTCATTGCATTGCCAACGACAAGGTCCCGTTCAACTCGATGCTTTCGTCTCAGGATGTTCTCTCGTGCTGCGGATACAAATGCGGAGATGGATGCGAGGGTATGTTATTAATAGTGACTCAATAATTATACAATTCATTCCAGGTGGATACCCGATTGCTGCCATGCAGTACTGGCAATCCGATGGACTTGTGACTGGAACCTCTTTCCTCGACCATCAGGGATGCCTGCCGTACTCGATTGCCCCGTGCGGAGCCCACAACGGAACCTACAACAAGAAGTGCCCGGATGACATCTACCCGACCCCCAAGTGCGACAAGAAGTGCCAGTCTGGATACTCCAACAGCTGGACCGCCGATAAGCACTACGCTTCTTCCGCCTACAAGGTCTCCCGTCAGCCAGCTGCCATCCAGGCTGAGATCCAGAAGAACGGACCAGTTGAGGCTGCCTTCATCGTCTACGAGGACTTCTACCACTACTCCTCGGGAGTCTACCACGTAAGTATCACGCTTGGCTCAATTATAATTCATAGAATTCAAATAATATTTTCTATTTTTAGCACGTCTCTGGACAGGAGCTCGGAGGACACGCCGTCAAGATCCTTGGCTGGGGAACCGAGTCTGGAACTGACTACTGGCTTGTTGCCAACTCCTGGGACACTGACTGGGGAATGTCCGGATACTTCAAGATCCGTCGTGGAAACGACGAGTGCGGTATGGAGGACGGTATTGTCGCTGGACTGCCCAAGGTCAGCAAATAAACGCACGACCACTCGACCACCGTTGTATAAACGTATATGCCCTAATAATAATTATTTACTCAAAACGCTCTATGCACTGCATAAGGATAATTGACACCAGAAACCAATTGTAACACAATACGCTACAGACACTGTTACTTTGGCTTTTCGAAACGTTTTAAAAAATAATCGGCGCACTTCCTGGCGAAGTGAAAGTAAGCAAGCTCATCAAAGCTGCGAAATCTTGTGCAGCCTTTGAAATTTTCTTCCCAGAATAGGGTTTTGTAGTTGAGAAGTGTTTTCTGAACATTCCCGTTAAAGGGAACGTCCCTTTCCCTTTAGAGGGGCTGGGAAATCCAAATTGGGGCGTGCGAGGATTGGAACTACTAAACAAACAACAAAGGGTCACTGCCGAAAACTACTAGAAAAGTGATTTCATTGCGAGAAAACGTAGAAATATTTGAGTAAAAGCGGAATTTTCTCGGTGCGAAAACGAGTTTTTGAGATCGCGACGATTACATGTCGTAATGCCGTTTACGGTACCCAATCATCCTGGGAGTTCTCTGGCCAATTTTCATCACTAAAACGTCTAGAATGATCAAAAATCCTGAGAAAATCCAGAAATAGGATGAGAATTTTTGAATTCAAGCGTTTTCACGTCGAATCAGGGGTAGAAAGGATCATGCGGCGCGGCCGCGTTGCGGTTGCATCGTGCTATCTGCCAGGAGCAACGCAAGGGCCGTAGACCTGACTTCGGAACCTCTTTAAAGGAGCTAAGCAGCCAAAATTAAGGTGTGTGTAGGCTAATAACCTAGCTGTCAAAAAATGAAATAGAGCCTGCCTAAATTTTCAATTTTCAAAATGAAAAAGGTAGAAGGGTCTAAGCGTCTAAGGATCCCAGGACTGACATTTTTTTGGTTGTATTTTCCTGGTGGTTGTAAAGGCAGTTATATTATTGACAAGACGACCAAGGGACGCTATTATAAAGCTATATTCTGAATCGACGCACAACATTGAACCCTTTGGCTTCGGATGATTTTCAGAAAGCGAAAATTTCTAAGGAATGACTAGCAACTTTTCGCCTTTCGCGATGCAAATCTTCAGAACCCGTTTTAAGTCCAAGGACCAGACGAGTCGGAAATCCGTTAGTTGGAGGATACACCGCGCTACCATTTAAATTTTAGCTCACCAGGGTGTGTACGCAGTATACACCCAGGAAATGGTCTATGAAGAAAAATGGAGACGCCAGCACGCACCGCGGGCTGATTCTTGATGCCGATTTCAGTCCAGAGTGATCTTCGTTGTATGAGAAAATTTCTTAAAGCTACGCGGTGTACTGTATTGCAGTGTGTTATAGTTTGTAGGTTGTCAATATACAGTGTATAGAGCGTTTTGAGTAAATAATTATTATTAGGGCATATACGTTTATACAACGGTGGTCGAGTGGTCGTGCGTTTATTTGCTGACCTTGGGCAGTCCAGCGACAATACCGTCCTCCATACCGCACTCGTCGTTTCCACGACGGATCTTGAAGTATCCGGACATTCCCCAGTCAGTGTCCCAGGAGTTGGCAACAAGCCAGTAGTCAGTTCCAGACTCGGTTCCCCAGCCAAGGATCTTGACGGCGTGTCCTCCGAGCTCCTGTCCAGAGACGTGCTAAAAATAGAAAATATTATTTGAATTCTATGAATTATAATTGAGCCAAGCGTGATACTTACGTGGTAGACTCCCGAGGAGTAGTGGTAGAAGTCCTCGTAGACGATGAAGGCAGCCTCAACTGGTCCGTTCTTCTGGATCTCAGCCTGGATGGCAGCTGGCTGACGGGAGACCTTGTAGGCGGAAGAAGCGTAGTGCTTATCGGCGGTCCAGCTGTTGGAGTATCCAGACTGGCACTTCTTGTCGCACTTGGGGGTCGGGTAGATGTCATCCGGGCACTTCTTGTTGTAGGTTCCGTTGTGGGCTCCGCACGGGGCAATCGAGTACGGCAGGCATCCCTGATGGTCGAGGAAAGAGGTTCCAGTCACAAGTCCATCGGATTGCCAGTACTGCATGGCAGCAATCGGGTATCCACCTGGAATGAATTGTATAATTATTGAGTCACTATTAATAACATACCCTCGCATCCATCTCCGCATTTGTATCCGCAGCACGAGAGAACATCCTGAGACGAAAGCATCGAGTTGAACGGGACCTTGTCGTTGGCAATGCAATGACGGTCAGATGCGATTTCGGCAGCAGCGAAAGCCCAGCAAGATCCGCAGTCAGACTGGTCACGGATCCATCTATTCAATAGATTTGTATATGGAATTAATAGATGACAACTTACTGGATGGACTTGCATTGGGGCCAAGCAGTACGGGCATCAAAGGTGGCTGGGGCAGCGAAGACAACATCAGAGTGAGTGACCTCTGGGACTCCAGCTGGGACCTTGACGTACTGAGACTTCATCAAACGCTTCTTGAATTGAGGAAGGGTCCATTTGGTGTTCAATTCGGCCTTCCACAGGTTCGTGTTAGCGTTGACGTAGTCAACAAGGGCTTGGCCCGAAAGCTGTTCGGGGGCCGGGGCGGCCAACACAGCGGCCAAGGCCGCGGCGGTCAGGAAGAGGGACTTCTAAAGCGGAATATTATTTCCGGTTAGGGTCTATTTATAGTAATTCTAGCTAAAGTACTCCAAATACTGTCTAGAATTAGGCGAGAAAGCGTTATTTAGGGATATGGTTGTTTTGGATGTTTTCTAATTCTGGTTAGAACACTCAAACTGCTGTCTAAGATTAGGCGAAAAAGGGCTATTTAGGAATACTGTATATGGCTGTTTTTCATCTGTTTATAGTAATTCTAACTAAAGTTCTTTTGCTGTCTAGAATTAGGCGGTAAAGGCTGGTAGAAGCATACTGTATTCTAGCTACCGTATCCTAATTACTAGAATATATTAAAGTGACTTACCATGCTTGGGTGGAGCACAAAGCTGATCTGTCTGCCGACCCATCGCCCTTTTATACACGCTGTTCATTATCAGCTTCTCCTTCGGACCCAGCGAACCGGCCGCCAGGGCTCTTCGCATTATCAGCTATGGATAATGAAACGCCGAAAAAATGAAAAAGACGGAGAGAGACAGAAAGAAAGGTAGAATATTCTTCAAACGCGTGCAGAAATGCTGGGGGTGGTGGGCTTTGATGCCGAACAAAGCGAGTCCACGGGGAGCGGGTGGGTCCGTATTTGAGATTAGCTTGACCGGTTGGTGGGGAGAATGAAATTGGATGGGGTCTTTGTTTGGTATTCAGAAAAAATAAGGGGGCTAGACTTGGGGTGTACTGTTTGGGGAGGGAAATTTCGTATAGCTGTGTGGTAGGGCAGATGTACTATTTTTAGGTCTTGATCAAAAGAATTGAGAAAGCAGGGCAGTTGCTATAAATCTTGGATTAATTTTGGAATTGCGCAAGGGAGTCGATGCCTTAATGAGAGGGTGTCTAGCATGACGTTTTAGAGCTTTTCGAGAATTGGAAAATCGATGGTGATGTTTTATACAGTACCCGATTTTTTGCTAGACTCTATCAGCGGTTTAGATAAGTTTTATTTTCATATCGAAATGTCACCGGTAGTCGGTTTATTTGTAACCTTGTTTTAACTTTGTAGAGCGTTTGAAAATATACTGTTTCTTAATTTTACAATCGTCATTTCACGGGCTTTGCTTCCTCATAAATACAGTATTTTATGGATTGATTTCACGTCTTATCCACTACAGTACCCTGCTACCGTAACAAGCACCGTTTTGTCCTGTTTTTAACGCTTTAAAAAATGTTTGTGTACCGTATCCAACTTCATTCCCCATCCTACTGTGTACTTTGGTTTGTTGTCGACCCGGACCTAGCCCAAATTGCCCCCTCCGAAAATGGCTAACGTCACCGAAAATCGGCGATATCAGTTGGGGACAGAAGCCGCTTTTCGGCCACCATCCATCCCCTGCCATTTCAGCAATTTACAGCCCCGGCCATTGCCTTGTTGGGGGCCTTGTTGGGGCGAGCGCTTGGCGATAACGGGGCCAAATTCTTTATTTACATAGAAAAGAATGGGAGGTGGAACCGTTTTTTCCGAGATGCAACCCGTGACGGCGAGGGTCGGCGCGTGACAATGAATATTTGGGGTGGAAAAATATGATATTTGGATCACTTTGCGAACAGGGCGGCTAGGATTGCCAAGATGTTGCCAAAGAACAGTAGGCTGAACATTACCTGAAATTTTTTATTTGGTAATTATTAGATTCCAATGGAGGACTCAGCATGATTATGCGGTTCTTTCGCAGCATCGGAGGGGTGTGGCAAATTTTTTTTTACATAGGTCTAGAAATTTCCAGTAACTTGATAGCAAGTGTTTGAATAATGTTTTTGGTAACATATAACTAAAATTCCATCACAAAAATTATCTAAAAACATTAAAATTATTTAAAATTGTCAAAATTTTCGTCAAAAATCGGACAATTTTGGTAGAAAAATCAATTTTTTTTTGCCATTTTTGACAAAAATTGGTACAGATTTCACGTTTACAAACAGCCAAAACCATTTAAAAACTCTTACACTATTGTATTTGGCAAATTTAGTCCTAAGAAAAAAAATTGGTCCCCCCCCCCGATAATGCGAAAGAACCGATTATGCCAATTAATGTTTGTGTGACCTACAGCATGTGCCGTTTCCGTATTTAACCGCAGGAAGCGAAGGCATTGCATTTTATGTTCCGGAGCTCGTGCTCGTTCTATCATATTGGTGGCGATAGGAAAGAGCTGGAAATATGAATACTATTATACCTTTGAGGTTTCCTAACATACCCTAGCGTCTTTGTTGAGCCAGATTGCCGAATGGAGGACATGATCGGCACTTTCCTGGATTAATTCGTTGACGGTGGCGGGGGTCTGTAGCAATATTCCCAGCAAAACACCCGTCATAATTAGGAGGCCAATCATCTCGGCAATCTCGCCCCGGGTCAGAAAGGAGCGGAAACCGACGTTTATTGCCATTGCATCTACCTAAATTAGTGGTTCAGTAATGTAAAACCGTGCAACGCTACTATGCTCTCTCTCTCTCTCTCTCTCTCTCTCTCTCTCTCTAGCTCACGCTCTCGCTCTCTCTCTCTCGCTCTCTCTTACTCTCTCTCTCTCTCTATCTTGATCGCTTTGTCTCTATCACTCTCTCTCTCTATCTCTCTCTCACTCGATCTCTCTCCCTCTCTCCCTCTCCCTCTCTCTCTCTCAACGTCTTTCTCTCTTTAATTACCCAAATTCTTACATGAGCTATAAAAGCTCCCAATGCTGCCACATTCGCTAGTCTTCCAAAAGTACGATAAACAAAACGCGACAGAGACAGCAATTCACGCTGCTTTTCTGACATCAACACTATCCGATCATAGTTCTAAAAACAAAATCTTTCATTTAACCGTAAACTTACACAATCCTCATCAAGCACACCCCTCAGTTCTTTATTAAAGAACCGAAGCTGACCCGCTGTGGCACCAAAGGCAAGCATGAAAATTATTGTGGAAAGTGTGGAGAAGATTCCTTAAATTCGTATTAAAATTTGGGATAATTAGCACCAGATATAATCCGGACGAAGGGATCGGCGCCCCAAAGGTTGTCGAAAGAGACGGGCGAGCCACTGGAGTACGGTAATTTTTCGGGCGTTTTTAGGAAACGAACGCTTTGACCCATTTGGAGGTGTCATCTGCCGCCAGGGCGACGATCACAAGCATAAGACAAATTGTGAAGATGAACATAAAGGCTAGGCCGATCGCCTTTTTTTGGGTGTTTGGAGGGGCGGGCTGAAAAACATTAGACTTTTTTAATAAAAAGGATATTTGCGACGCAGAGTAAGGATAGAGTTTAACACTTACGGTAGGTAGAGCAGCGTATCGCTGTTCAAGCTGCACAAAAGCTCCTTGACACGTTATTATAGCCATATAAATAGCTGAAGCCGCTCCGTGAATCGCCAAGCCGAGCTTCACATTCAGAAGAAACCAGGGCAACGTGAAAGTCTAGAAATACAGTTTTAGAATTAAAATACCGACAATTCAATAGCCGTAATCATCTAAAAGTTGATGCACAGACCTTACTCTCCTGCTGGATAATTGAGATCACTTCCATAATTAGAATCACTACAATAGTGGCCGTAGTGATCGAGAAAAATATGGCTTGGCATTTTGTCCCTCGCTCTTTCGCCGATTTCCAGCTGGAAGTGGGATTAAAAGGATTGGGAAGGGAAACGTACTCTAGAATCGAATTTCCCAGGTCGAGCCCGCACACTTTAACCAATAATTGGAATGAGGCGAAAAAGCGGGCCGGCCGCGCGACAGGTGGTTCGCCCATACCTGGAAAAACAACCGGAATAAATAATGAGCAGCTTAAAATGGCTAGAACAAAAAATAAGTCCTAGATTATTCTATAATCTAATCGGAATAAGATTTCCGATGGCTAAAAACCTACTAGATGCCGATTTGACCATCGAATCTGTACCAACGGACATCCCTGAATCCGAGTTACCCCCGACTGAGCCGTTCGGTGACATTTTGTGGCCAATAAATTAGGATATGGGAATTTATGAAGAACGCGTCACCGACGACTCCAATCTGAGGTATCCCAGGAAACCCACCGCGAAAAACCAGACAGGAAATTTGTCGGGGAAACCACGGGAAAAAGCTGGGCCCCCGGTGGGCCCCCTCGGGGGGTGGTTGGTTGGCTAATTGTGGTCTCGGACCTCGGCGGGTGGGAGGGAGTGAGTCGCGGTGATTTCCGTGTTTTTAGTACAACTGGAGGAATGAGGTATTGGACTGTTAGCGGGGGGGGGGGCGTTCGTAGGGCGAAATAATTTTTGGGTTCCAGTCTATAGCTACCTGTTAATAATTCAAAGTGTATTTTTATGATGTTTTTTGTGGATTAAAATGCTAGAAAGTTATAAAAAACTATTTAGGGATTTTTGAAAATTCGAATATTTGAATTTATTGGTCCTTTTTCATACATTTGTGATCAAGGCAAAATTTTTCGAGAATTTTCTGTGTTTTTATAAGCTTTTTACATTCAAAAACCGTGTAAAACGCCATAAAATAATTTATATGTCATGATTACTAAAAAAATTAGATCACCCCCTCCGATAACAGTGCATACCGGGAAATTTGGTTTGAAAACTTGAGATCTCTTGGATGGACCTTAATATAAAAACCTAATTATAAATAAATTAATTAATATATAAGCTTGTAAAATAATAAGTTGAGAAGGGGTTGCCTGCAAGGTTCAGCCACATAAAAATTGCGGTTAGTACGTGGATGGTAGAGTATATATGGTGGACGGTTTGATGAGTCAGCGAGTTGGATGAGGGATGAGAGGCGGAGAGGGGGCCAGGGGTAAATTTGCGCAGCGCGAAATGGCCGATCACTTTTTTAGCGCAGGTCCCGGCTTGCATATGTTGACCAGAAAAAGATCGGGGTGATTTCGAAACGTGAGGAATAAAACTGAGTTCTGACTAAAGTTTGATTCTGACTAAAATCGAATATAAAGTAAGAGAGCAAAATTCACGATGTAAAAAAGCAATTAAATGGAATTTGGATAAAAATAAAACCCATAAAAAGTGCCGTAGTGAAAAATTATGCTTAAAGCTTTAAAGGTTACCAAAAGCGTAAATTTAAAATGTAAACAAAATGTTGTTCCCAAGCTCCAGATCATTGGTCAGCCCCCAGAGGTCGACATCAACATTTCGCCACAGTATTGGTTGACCTAGTGTCGTCGGCTACCCGAACAAATAGATCGTGACTCAACTCCAACCATGTTAACACAGTTCACTGTAGTACGGTAGGTCCTTGGTTCCGCCAACGTCATGCTCCCCCCAAAAGCCAATGTGGTTTCTAAATTTCGCTGCTTGGAATCAACGACCACATGGGTGCTCAAGATCAAGAAAAATTGTGGGGGCCCAGGGAAAATGATAGGTATTTGATGGGAGCGACGGCTTGTACAAATAGTCGAACCTCGTGTACTAAGCGCACCGTTTTCTTTGTGTTTCGAGAGCACTTTTGGGTTTAGGTTCAGGTTTTGGTGCTGGACTGTTAGCGGGGGGGGAGGACTTTAACAGTGGAAAGTAATTTTTGGCTTTAAGCCTATGCCCGTCTGTTGAGAATGTAAAATGCGTCTTTAGAAAAGAAAATTGTGACCTTTTCGGTCATTTTTCATACATTTTTGACCAAAAACCCAATCATTTAAAAAAATTTATGATTATTTTGTGAGTTTTTACATCAGGAAACTATGTAAAATATAATAAAAATTATTGATATTTCGTTATAGGGCCGTACGGGATTACTCGGGAAAATTTTCCCGCCCCCGCTAACAGTCCAGAACCCAGATTTCACGGGAATCGATTTAAATGAATGAAAACATTCGCTAACTGATAGATTGGATATCCTGAAAAAGCGAGAAATCTCATAAACATCATTGGGCGTAATCAGCCGTCGGACGTTCTCAATTCGAATGGCCCAACGTGGGATAGCCAAACACAAACTGTCTGTGCCACGGAATTGAGCATGGGCAAACAGTCAAATGGCCCAAGGTAGACGCACTACGCATCGGAGGGAAAAGCGGCAACTTTCACACCAGGAAGGCCGCCGAGTAAAAGTTCAACAATCACTTTTCAAGGTCGCTTTATAAGGCGGGTGAAGCTCAAAAAACGTCGACCTCTTTCATTTTTAAGGGAAACTATCAGAATCTCGAAAATCGGAATCTCGAAAATCCAGACCAAAATACACTGTTTTTAGGCAGATGGGAGTTGTACAGCCGCTTCCTAACTTTTTTTTGATAGGCAAGAAGTAGAAATTTTCGAGATTCTAATTTTCGAGAGTCCGATTTTCGAGATTCTGAATTTTCGAGATTCTGATAGCAAATCCATTTTTAATGCATCATTGGTGACGTATTCCTGTTCAGCTGCTCCAATATTTATTTGAATCTTAGAAAATAGATTAAAGCTTCGGCAAGAACGTGGGGTAATCGCTAATGGTGGTGCCGGTGATGCCGGCATCAGTTTTCCGTCTTGGCATCGTCGTATTGGAGCCCGGGGTGACAACGGAAACTGGAGGAACGGTTGGCAGTGTTGTGGTGGATTGGGCTGAAATCCGTGGGAGTAAAATCTGGGTGCTGCTTCGATAGTATCTGGTTTTTTGCCAGAAATATAGTGAATTTGAAATGCCATTAATGACTTTATAGTTCATTTCAAAGGCTTACTTTCTCATACTGTGAACATTCTTACCAGGGACAGATGGTGCTGAAGGGAAAGTCATTGTCGATTGTTCAGCCGGGGTGGTTGGAGCCATTGTGGTAGTAGTAGTAGTAGTAGTGGTGGTTGTCGTAGTCGTCGTAGTTGTAGGAGTCGGCGGAACAAATGGAGGAATCGTCATGGGATTCCCTAAATTCTGTGGTCATTTTTAATTTGTGAACCTACCTGGCACCCTCTCACAGATGAATGGCAACGAAGTCTCACAAGTTTCAGCCATCCATTTCTGCGGAGAAAGGAAACTAGCGGTAGCCATCGCGTAGCAAGTGATCGATTGGTATGGTCCGCCTAGATTCGAGATTCGTCGAAGCATACTACCGTACTTTGGAAATTGGCATAGTTGAAGTCGGAGCCATCAGCCCAGATATTTGTCTTGCTGTCGGCCCCATAAAGCCCAATCCAGCCGGCCGTTCCGATGCCCATGCTTTTCATTAAGTTATAGATGAATGTATTTTCCTGGAAATGTGTCGATTACGCTTGTTAAGTTAGATTTTTTCTGAATTGAATTAGTAATAAATAAATAAGCTAAGTAAACACAAGAGCTGACCAAAATATTATGAATTGATGGCAAATGTCCTCCTTCCTGAGAGCAGACCATTTCCGCGGAAGCCCAGGTTTTCCGGTCGTGATACTAAATTATTTTCTAAGCTAAACCTAGAGCGTATGAATACCTTATAGCACAACCCATTGAATTCTTCATAATCACCGCATGTTGGAACACCTGAAATTGTATATTCCCATTTATTTCAATAAATTTATTTGATTCGTACTAACTTTACTGTCGTCCCCCTAAATTCAAACCTTAATTAGAGCCCTACCAGCCGGCACTTCCTCGCAAAGCGCATTATCCACAGCAGTCTGACAACTCTTCGGTGCCCAACCGTTATAAACATCTCGAACTCGAGGCAATGACGTCAACCCGGCCCTTAGCATCACACAATTCTGTCCATTCGAGAAGTCAGGGCTCGCTGTATCTTAATCTCAAACAGTAGTGGTAATTCTTCATACCGTTAAAATTGGTGTAGTCATAAGGTGTGCCATCATCCCAAAAACAGCCGGTTTGTGTCTGGCACTGCAGTCCGATCCACGATTCTTCCCATAGGTTGCTGGCAAGGTAGTTGCCGATGGCGTCGTTGTCAGCTAAAAGAAGCACGCAATTTCCAATAATTCCAAGCTCTCACCTTTACTATGAAGCGTCGCAAGTTGTCCCTTCTGTTGCTGACAAGCCTCAGCAGCACGGAAATACGTAAAAGAGCCCTCGATCAACTAAAATCTCAAGATAGATAGGACTAAGATAGGAATAAAATATTAAGATAGGACTTCGTATTCTAGGAAAATGGCAGAGAATTTCAAAAACCCACCTTGTAACATTTCCCATTGCTCAATTTTTGGAAGCCGGCGTTCTGACACGCTGCCAGCGAACTTCCAACAAGCGCAAATAGTACACAAGCTGTCCGCATCGCACTCGGTGAGCGTGTAGAGGCAATTAGCCGGAACCATCTGGAGTTTTATACTAGCCTTATCTTCAGGCCTGCCCGCTCATTGACCGGGGATTAGAAAGGTGCGATTCGCGGGGGCTTGTCAACCTTGTGAATTGTCAGCACGGACATCCGGAGGGTTAGCAAGCCTACTCATGGATTAGTCATGCTAAAATCAGAAGTGTATACGTATCTAACAGTCTGTGCAACCTCTGTGAGCGAAGGCCTCGACCCGTTTTGTTCGGCAATTATCCACGGCGACAAAAAAAAACCTGGTTGATGATCGCACGATCAATCCTTACCAGGTGAAACGCTCTTTTCATAGGCCGAAGTTCTTTCGTATGTAACAACCAGAAAATTAAGGGTTTATTTTTCGAGACCGGGGGCCGCCTTATGGGCGGCGAGAACAACAGTTTGTTTGGCGAGGGCGAGTTTAAGGGAAACGAGTACGACGAGTGCTAGCTACACCGTATTGGCGATGGTGTTATCCAACCGGGGCGAGGTGAATGGAGAACTTCTGGGAGGGCACGCGGGCATGCGGGCGGCATAGGGGTGGGGGATGGGGGGGGTGGGGGACGGGGGGACGTACAATTTGGCTGCGGTTCGGGCGTTTTGGCTTTGGGCCAAGCGGCCCTAGATACGAGACTGCATGGGCCTGGGCCCCAGCGTCACCACTGAGGAATAACAGCAGGACAGGGGCACCAGGTGGTCTAACTTAAGGAGGCGCCGTTGATTACTTTGGATGGTGATGGCTTAGGCTTGTGGGTGTTTTTATTTTTGAATTGGCGAATGTTTTGTAAAGCCCGCACACTGATTCCGAAATGTACACCTCACCAAAAATTTGGGGTAACTCGCAAAAAGTATTTGATTGGCAAGGTGGCAGCACTCCCCTTTGGGCCCACACATGCATGCGATAACACGGGGGCAACACAAAGGAGATGCAGCTAAAATATTCCAGCTACGCAGCTACCGCTGCTTCGGCGCCGTCAAGGACAAGGGCAAACCGTGACGTGGCTACCAAAGCGGGCGGCAGCTAGACGCAGACCTAGTTCGGAATCAGCGTGCGGATACTCTACGAAGCCCAAACCATCCCCAGCCTCCGTGATCGCGGGCATAAGGTCAGCGGCTGGAGTACAGCACGCCTCTGATCCACGGTCGAGAGCGGGTGTGAGATCAGGTATTAAGCTTAACTAGCGTCCGGGGATTCCAGATCTCACTTGGAATCCCCCATCATGAAGACAAGACGTTGGAGTATCGAGGGGGGTTAGGGGGACGGGGAGGAGGGGGTTAGTTAGGGGAAGAGGATGGGAAGGAGGGGGCGGCAAACGTGCAGTATCGGGAAGAACACAGTGAACGACTAGAGAAAGCGACACGAATGAAGGATGGGATCAAGTGACGTAGAGCCGGCTTCAGGCAGCACAATTTGTTCTCGTCGAGCCCAGAGATCTGCGACGTGCACGTGTCGGACCACCATCGCTTCTGCCGGAGCGCCGACGCCTGAAAAAAAAAGTAATTTAGAACCGAACGGTACGTTATAAACACGGACAGGGTAGCAAAGCTAACTAAGCCGGCCCGGTAGTTAACTCCAATCAAGCCTAGCAGCTAAGTTAGCAAGTTCGTTAGATAAAGGCACTTGTTAAAGGGATCCATCCCGGGAGATTAGCCGTTAGTCACCAAAAACACCATGCCCCCACAAGGATTCGCAAGCTATCACACGACTACCAACTCATTTCCCATCGCATAGAGATCGAGGAGGGATAAGGGGCGCGAAGCCTTTCATGAATTTCGACACCCTTTCTCATCAGAATCCCGGCGAGAATCTAGGCCCGTTGGGTGGCTGGGGAAATGTAAATGCCCGTAGAGGGCTCCTTACCCAAGATGTTGAAGTCGAGAAGTAATCGGTACGTCCACTCAACGGTGAAGAAGGTGGCCGCGTTGGAAGGGAAGGCTCTGGAGAAAAAAATTATCCATACACCAAGACAACAACTACCTCAACATCGTAGATCCGAGGCCGGCGTAGAAGCTGCGAAGCCCTCGCTCGGCGTAAGTCTTCCGTATGCAATCCCAGTAACTCTAAATTTCAGATAATTAAATGGATGAATTCCAATCGTACCCTGTATGTATCGTCCGCCTGGAAGCGTGTCTTGATCACGTCGGCTGGGTAGTTGGGCAACCACGAGAACATGCCAGCAAGGCCTGAAAAAAAAGAATGATTGGGAAACGAGGATGCAACCAACCACTAAAGCCAAAAATCTTTACCTCCAGCAAGGAGCAGCTGTGGCGCTGTCAGAGATTCCATGGTGCCGTCCTTGCTCAGTTGACGCGCCAGAAGATCGTATGAAGCAAAGTAGATGCCCCAGGCCGGACAGTCTCGAGTGATGGTCATCAAGAAGCCTCTACAAAAAGTATTTAAATAATGTCAAAAGTTGGGTTGAAAACTGTTGTTCGATTCGAGAAACCTTTACCGATTCATCGAAAGCCATCCCTTCTCCTTCACCATCAATTGCGCCGCGTGGATCGGGTTTCGGTAGACGGCACTTTTGCTATCACTCTAAAAAAAGTAGATTTAGCAGCCAACATTACAAAACCGACTTGCAGTTGCATTTTCAGCTTTAACCTTTCCGACGGCGACGCGATGATCGATTGGGCAGCTCCAGCTGCACATCCTCCCCAAAATTGAGCACTCAAACTCTGGTGATCGCGGAATTCCTAAAACAAAATAAGTGAGATCAGGAAAACAATGTATACCTTGGTAACCGCAGCTTGTACGCCGAAGGCTGTCGCGTTGATGAGGCAGAGTGAGGCCAACGGAGCGGAGAGTCCTGGAAATGTAAGAATTAAAGGGGATTTTGCCGCAGTTGACACCAACACGAACTCCCATAACCAATCAAGACTAGAATTTTAATAAAATTCGCGTGATCATTGCCAATCCGTGATCCCATTTGCCGAAAGCTGTCCGATTTCTCTCACACGCGCAACTTCCGCCATTTTTTGGCTGCTTCTTTTCGGCCATCAGCCCTCGTACCGCGTGGAGGGGTCACGGGGGTGTTTGGGGGGAGAGTTTGTAGATGCTGTCTGTACGTCGGTCCGCTTGCCTGGTGTCTGTCCGCAGAAGGGCAAGCGGTGTCGTCGACAGCCGCAATATGGAACCTCCCCTACCCAGCGCATCTCTAATCTTTTCTTTTTCTTTGTTTTCAATCATCTTCCTTCTCCTTTCGGTCTTCATCAGCCCATAAATCACCCCCGTTGGCGTCCCGATCCCCCACGCAGCGCCCCTCCGTCATGCCACTTATCGACCCCCAATCGGGAGCAGCCAACACCCGACAATTAAAAGTTTGAAATTGATTGGGGTCGGCATTTCGAAGTTCCGCAGGACCTGAACATCCCAGCCAAAACTAAACGCTCAGCCGCGAGCCGAAAAACACGATTCCCACCCAATAAAAAGCGAGAGCTAACCCGGGTCGAGCGCAGTACGAAAAATTTCGAAACCGCGCCAGAAACGAACCTTTGTACAAGCCAGTGAAGCCTTCCTTTTGAACGATCATCGAAAAGCAGTGAAAAGTCCCTCTGTAGATTGGCGCCGCTCCGTGTGCATGTTGGGTCTGTAGCCGTACCTTCACCGTATCCATAGGATGGCCGGCGAGCACGCCCGCGGCCCCTGAAAAAAAAATAGATGTTATTTTGAAGTCAAAATTCGAGGAAGTGTGATTTTTTCGCTAGTGTTTTCGAAAAATCAACCGCCTATCGATCGACGTGACTTACTAGAAAAAGGTACGAGTTTGGTGGTGTCCCAGTATCCAAAACTATATCGAAGCATATGTCATGGATCCCTAGGCTTTCTACATGCTCCAGGCAGATTTCTGCTCAACACCGAAATCCCCCATTTCGTCCCAGTGATACGGAGCGATTTCCATGAAACATGGCAGCTGCTTGCCAAATATCGACTGCGCCCGAGGCTATGTCTGCCCAAAAGGAGCATCCATTCCTCAAGAGGTCAAAGGCTAGTCTTGCTCAAGGTGTCCGAAAATAACTGATTTTTACCGTGATAATGGGGGGTCAATCGATAGGTGCGCTAGACGCCTAGGTGGTCTACCTAGCAAAACCAGTCGGGTCAACCGGATTGAGCTATCGCCCAAACTGTGAAAGCAGCATGATGCCTTGTCCATAGAGAGACCTCTGTAAGTTTAGTTGGCCGGGCGCAAAAAAAAAACTAAGAAAATAGCTTGGTGGGCGCAGACTTAAAGAGGCACATCAGTAGGGTAGGTAAGCATGTGCTACAGTCATGTAGAACGCTAGAATTATTACCGCCAAAGCATCCAGCTACAAAATCCAAAGCTTCGAGCCCCATATTAGAGAATCAGGTAGATGATGTGATGGGACAAACAGTCCGGCCAAATCGGCCGCTACTGGGCAGCGGTGGCTTAAAAACGATGCCGCAATTGAATATTAGCCGTGAGGATTAGCGGAATGTGTTGATCGGGGGATAGCTGGCTGGTTGAGCGGAACTTCGACGTCGTTCGGCCAATTCTCGTCACCCGAGTAGCGCTACCTGCACCTCCAGAACCGCCAGCACACTATCCTCCTCTCTAATCACACGCCCAATCACCATCCAAAAATGAACCCGCCCATCTGCCCCCCCCCCCCCCCCCTTTTGGCGATCTCGAGATAGTGTGCCATCAACTGAACCCTCATCCCCCAGTCAATCCATAACCGATCAGTTATATCTCAGTGGGAAAATTTGTGTACTGGGTTTTTGTGCTTGGTCCGTCAGCCTTGGTCTGAATGAAATTAGCGCCAAGCGTTTGGAACTCAAGCCTCCGAACACTCCTGCGCATACCTATTGCTATTGCGAGCCAAGGAGCGAACACATTTCATCGCTACGACTAAAATCCGGGCACTACTTGGTTTTCAAAGCGGGGCATTGGAGCCGTAAGAAGAGACCTGAGGAGCAGGCTAAGCTAGCAAGCTTCAAAACAAGCTAAGTGTAGCCCTATAGCGCAATGATATAAGCATAAGTAAGATAGTTGACGGAAAAACGCCAGAAAGCCAGGGGGACCTCTTGAACCTGGATAGCAGCGCTTCATCCTGACCAATCTACAACTCTAATGTGTACTACTGACTACTGTAAGGTAATGTATCTAGTAGCCACCACGCTAGGCTAGCCAGCTATCCCCGCTAGCCCTAGAATATAGTCTACGAAACTTAGAAAGTATGCCGGTTCAGTGCCATCAAATCAGAGACCCAGTCACAAGTCATCCCACTAAAGCCTGGGATGTCAACACACAATCCAAGGCCAAGTTCTTCCAAACTCACCCCCGAAGTTTCCAGCAAAGAAGTGGACGAGTCGCTCGAAGTGGGGGTGTTTCTTCCCGTCAACGGCTGGTCGTGGTGGTGTTGGTGTGTCCGCTTGCTCACAGCCGCAGTCGAAACCCTGAAAAAGCAATGTAACAAAAAAAATTGGAATAGTTTGTCAAAAATCGGAAAAATTCGGAAAAGAAAAATCGGAAAGTTTTCCGGGAAATTCTGTGAGGCCGCCGAAGTGCTCCAAAGTACGCCCAAATAGTGCGCGGCTTTTCGTGCCGTAACTCAACCGCTTACTACTTTTAAAGTTCTAAACAAAAAAACTAAAACTAATAAAATAAAAGCCAAAAGAAAGCGCGATGCTACTTTTTAGACTTTAGAAAACTTTAGAACTTTAGAAGAATAAAAAAGCGCACTTGGATACTCCCGATGTTCTCATTGGGCGGCAACACTGCGACCGGAGGTGCTGGCCCGGCTGCTTTTGGTGGCATCTGGAAAATCAGAATTGCAAAATTTGCATACCAAACTCACAATAACGGAAGAGGGAAGAGGCAAAATAAACGCACCCGTTCAGCCAAGCCGCATCTCGCGAATGACGAGAAAATGGGGATCGAGGAGCTAATTAGGGATAGCCGGAAGTGCTGCCGTATTATAATTTCATGCTAAATTTTCGGATTTCGTCCGGGGTTTTGCTATTATCGATTCGTGGTTTAGAAAGGTGTACTTTTTGAGGGCGGCTGTGTAAACTTGTCAGCGCGGGGCCACTGGGCCCTAGTAAATTTTCACTTTCACCTATAAAATGTAGTTTAGTGGATAATTTCATAGTGTGGGAAGGGTTCAAGCGTCAGTTTTCAGTCGCTTTGTAAGGTTTTACAAGCGATTTCAAGCTTCATTGTTTATTATTATTAGGGTAGTTGCGGAAATATAGAAAAAAGCGAACTTTCAGACGATTCAAAGCACGAGTTAATAAACAAAATCTCAGCGAAGGCAAGACAAGCGACCGTTAGAAGCGGATTAAGTATTCCAGGCAGAGCTCTACGGGCAGGTCAAAGAAAGGGCCAGCGGAAGCGGCAGCAATGGAAGCTGGCTGTAGGGAAACGAGAGGAATGGTAGTATTCATTTGGTGACATCACCAGCTGTATATCCACAGACGACGGTGCCGTTGACGACAACACGAATCAGGCCGTTACCGCATGGGATACGAGGGAACACGCATGGAGTATCGTTGCAGAGTGACCATTGGACGAATGGGCCACTGTAATAGCATTGTTTAGACAATTTCTTTTCGATGAATACGGTTTTTGCCTGAAACATGCCTGCAGCTGCAGTTGCTCACACAATTGCGAATCATCTTCTGCACGCCGTATCCGCCACACGTATCGTTACAACCACCGCGCAGCATCCAGGACGTGTAGATTTCGGAGCAATCCGAGTAAACGGCCACGAACATGACGCTGGCTAAAATTAACCAATAAATTATTGTATTCTACCCTCCGCTTACCGGCAAGGATGAAGAAGATTGGGGCGTTCATTTTGAAAATGTTTAGGATTTGAGGGGGTTTCCGGGAGTGAATGCTTGGAACCGCTGACTGATGCTCCACGTACCGAACCCTGTCGTTTTATAGAAGAAGCCTCCGAGTTTTCGGGCCCCTATTTGCACAAACCGAGCCGAGAGCCCACCCCCGTGTCCTGGGCCCCACGGCGCCGTGTGTCCGATTTGTCCAGATGCCACAATCTACGATCAGATACAGCCCAGGCTGACCAACCATCGGATGGGAGGCACAGTCTTTTTTTGCAGGATTCGGGGAGTGAAGCCGGGATTGGCTATTTTTAGGGCTGTATTTGGTGGAGCTGGGGTTGCAGGATTTGCTAGTTGGACATCAATGGACAGTTTGCAGGGTGCACCGAAGCTAGGAGGTTGAGGAGCTATTTTGGGAAATTGGTTAGGGTTTTGGATGTGGGATTTCATCAGAGGAATGCGGTTAAGCATACGGTAATAATGATCTGTAATAACAATTAGGCTAGGATCGGGTAGGTGATTACAACTAGGTTTTTTCAGGTAATTCCGAAATACCGCACGGAGGGTACGGTAAACTTTGTACAATAAAATAAGGAACATAGATTGTGCATTGAGACACCGTAATAAGTAATTTCGGGTATCAGATCATACTTTAAACGTAAGGTAAGTTACTCTCGGATATAAAGACTACTAATTAATTGCACTACTACAACCGTGCGAACCGTGCAAGATTTGATAAGTGCTGAGCTTTTTATAGAGAAACTTATACATTAAATGCTGGAATGTACGATCGAATTACCAATACTTTTTACATAAAATCCTTTATATTCTTTAGATTTACACGAATTTTCCATAAACGCAATCTGACGCCTTACGAAAAGCCCCCAAACGTTCCTTCATGCGATTTCTGACCACTACGTGATGCACCTTAACCCTTTTTCCAACATCCAGTACACTCCCCATGCCGATTTTCGAACACTTCCTGTCCAAAACCCCGTAAACAGCTCGATGATCAGACAATAATTTCACAGCCTCCCCACGTGTACGGGGGATGAGTTTCAGGAAAAAGTTTAATTCAAACAGATCGGGGGCCCAGACGAGTTCTTTTTCACTATTTGCCAAGCCATAGGGGGGCATACTACAAGCGTGATGACGCACGTCGATGTTGGCTTTAACGTGGACCGTTTTTTCAGGCATTGAAGATGCGGGGATTTTGATTCTTTCGTTAAGTTTGTTTTCATTAATCGATACGATACAATATAATTATATGCAAGGACGGAAGCATCGTAGATAAAATTTGAAACTCGATAGTTTGCTTGTGTTATATTGGATAAAGCAAAAGGTCGCGCGTTTTTCATGGCTTTTCGGTAACTCAAAACTGAAACTTTTTACGGAAATTTCGCAAGTTTTTGGCAATCTGTAGCCCTAATAAACGCATTGGTAGAAAATTACTGCCTTTTGGCTGTACCTATGATTTTCCACGGTTTTAGGTGTATTTTGTAGTCCACTATTTTCAAAAGAAACAGGCACAATTTTATTGATACACACAATAATAGTGGTTGGGCGTTAATTCGGTGCCTAGATTCCGTTGCCGAAGCCGCAGTACCAGTTTGTGCCGAAGAGGTATTTGGCGAGGCCCTGGAATCGAGGATTTTAGTGAAAAAATGTAGATAAATACGATTGAATTCTTTATTAATTATTGCTAAATTCCTACCACTGATGTGTCGCACGTGGCACGTGGGAATTCGCAAAGTGCCTGGGCGCATCGGATTTGCATTTGGAAGGGGCCCCTGAATAATGGTATGATTTCAGACTTTAGACTGTATCTCGGCTCGCTGTTTGTCTACAGGTGTGTAAAGTATTCCAAAATGTTCGTCTTGCTCTGGTGAGTATTAAGAAAATATAATAATTTAAAAAAATAGCTTACTCGCATGTACATCCAGTCAGACAAGCCCTGACGAGCTGCATTTGGCCGTATCCTCCGCAAGTATCATTGCAGACACCACGGGTCATCCAGGGTGAATACTGCTCTACGCATGAACGCATCGTGGTTCCTGACGTCGCAGAAGCAGCGGTGGAGCCCGTGACAGCAGCTGTCGAGCCGGCTATAACGGAAAAATAAATATCTATTTTTGATTTACTAAAGTAATAATGAAAACTGATTAGGCGGAAAATACGAATAATCCTCTTTATATTGAAAAATTTGTCCGGATTCTAGGCGTTTTGGATTAATAGCAAGCCAAATTTCTGCATAAAAGACTTCGGTATAACCAATTTCTAAATGTAAGAGCTCTAGTTTTCAATTCTAACCTTTAGCAGTGGTCCCAGTAGCACCGACTGTACTCGTCACTACAGCCGAACTCGCTGCTGTCGACGCCTTTGTCGTTTCCGTTGTATTTGCCCCAGAAGAGATGCTGGGAAGAACGGCTAAAACCATATTCTCATATTTTCCCTTAACAACTATTAAATATAAATATAACTCTAGCCACATAACTAACTTACCAAGGGACAAAACTACGAGACAATACTTCTGCATGGCCATATCGATATGAGAGGAGGAAATGGCCGGGCTGCCGATATATGTATTCGCACAAGCCAACGACCCGCCCAAGTCCCAAACCTCCCCACCTCGACGAGATCCCCCGGAAAAAACGATGTACTGTGTGCACAGATGGGGGGTATTACTACAACATCGTGTCCCTCCTGCCACTCCGCCTCTATCTGGGCCCGCCGGCTTGAATTCCGCTTCACCCCCCTTTCCGGAATGTGGCTTTTGAACGGCTAATTTGTGCAAAAAGGGCCGATGCAAACACGGTGGTTCGTATTTTGGAGGGCAGGGGATGTGCAGGGTTGCACGCAGGAGATTCTGCAGATTGTGGATGTTTATTTTTAGGGGATTGACCGGGAATGGAGGGGAATATTTGACTGGTCAGGGAGCTAAATTTAGGCTGATGGGGGCTGCAGGGAGATTGTTGGTTGATCATTGTGGGAGGAGTAGGTACGAAGGTATTTGGACTACGTATACACCTATGTACGTATGGAGAGTGAGACAGACAAAGAGAGCGAGAGAGAGAGACAAGAGAGAGGGAGAGAGCGTGAGAGCGAGATAGGGAGAGACAGTGAGACAGAGAGCGGGAAGGAGCGAGAGAGAGCGAGCGAGATAGGGAGAGACAGAGAGCGAGAGAGAGCGAGAGAAAGAGAGAGAGAGAGAGAGAGAGAGAGAGAGAGAGAGAGACGGGAGAGAGAGCGTGAGAGAGCGAAAGAGAGAGAGCGAAAGAGAGAGAGCGACCCGAAGCCCAAGCCTAAGCGTAAGCCTATAAAGTGATAATGAGCGTGCGAGAGAGTGAGAGAGTAAGAGCGAGAGAGAGATAGCGCGCAGCCGAAACCTCAACCGAGACTTAAGCCTATAGTGCGAGTGAAAGATAGCGAGAGAGAGGTGCGGGAGTGAGAGAGAGAGAGAGAGAGAGAGCGAGATAGAGAGACGCAGAGGGAGCGCGAGAAAGAGACGAAAGCCATTTTTTCTGCTATCCCTAAATTTTTATCGCGATTATTGTATTTTATAAATCTATATTCTAGCTTTTAATTTAGTTTTACAGGCTACTTCACCTCACTCTAGTATACCTCATTTACACAACCCCATTTCCCGTACATTGCTCCCTGTTTTCCTGAAACCTGGCTGCACGCCACCGGCCTAAAATTCCGCACTCGTGCCCCAAACTTGACTATATGCACCGGATCCCCCTAGATCAACTAGCTATTTGTTTTTGGGACGGATAACATTTTCAGCGGGATTTAGGCGAAGTCGTCCGTCCAAAAAAAAGTTGACCGGGTGCCGGCCGGTTGCGCATACATCCGCTGGACATGGGCTAGGGTTCAGTCTGATGCTTGTTTAGGGGGGATGGCATCGGCGATTCGGGTGCTAATGGACCGGGACGGGCTCGACAAGTGAAGTCAGCAATTGGAGTCTAAAAATATCTCACATATAATAGATGGCAGAATTCCGGCAGAATTTTGACTCTCTAAATGTTCTATCGAATGGGTTGCAAAAATACTGAGAAACAAACGATAATAGCTTAACCGCCCTGACTACATTAACACCCTAGGGTGTTAATGTAAGTTCATATTAAATGTAATTTTATGTCTACTAATCGATAACAAATTTTTATTTGACGTTATTAAGCACATCGCTGGTTTCTGTCCGGGAAATAGGTCCTTTTTCTTGGTCCGCAACACGACGGGTGCGGGAACCAGCACAGGGAATAGTTGCAATTTTCCACGCGTTCTAAGCGGCCACTGAAAGTAGAGTATGTAGTTAAAATTTTTGCCTAAATTTTACGTGCAGACACATTCTGGGGCACAGGTTCTTCGGATTTTCCAGGTTCCACATCCTCCACATTCTTCTGTGCATTCGGTGACTGGTTCCCAGGGCGTGTAGACGTCTAGGCAGGTGGGGGCTTCTGAAAATGGTGGTTTACTGGGGTATGATTTTAAGGACCCACTTGGAGGTATGGTAGTAGTTGTCGCTGTAGTCGTCGTCGTACTTGTTGTAGTCGGCGTATTTGCTGTAGACGTCGTGGTCGTCGTACTTGTTGTAGTCGTTGTACTCGTTGTCGTCGTCTTACTTGTTGTCGTCGTCGTCGTACTCGTAGTAGTCGTTGTAGTCGTCGTACTCGTTGTATTCGTTGTCGTCCTCGTGGTCGTCGTTGTAGTTGTACTTGTTTTAGTCGTCGTCCTCTTTGTCGTAGTAGTATTCGGATAATAAATCGAAAACGTTAAGACCGGAATCGGGTCTATCTGTCGAGTGACAGCATCCGTTTCCGGTGCATCACTAAGCGTTGTCACTGCCCTCCTTGTTTCATCCTAAAGCCTCAACTCAAGACTAACCCATTGAACAAACCTCTACAGCTGGCGTGAAAAAACCGACCCATTGTGTTATTCCATGACTCTTTGGGGATGATGTTACCTAAATTTTTGGTACTGGACTGTTAGCGGGGGGGATTTTTAGCAGGGGGAACTAATTTGGTTTTCCGTTTTATCCTTTTTAATTCCCACTTTCTGTATTTCATCCTCAATCGCTGGTGTTGCTTGCATAACCCATTGCGTAATTCCTAAGAAAATAATTTCTAGACGGACGACGTTACCTGAGCTCTTCGACTGCCCGGAGTTTCCCTAAAAACATGGTATCATCAAAACTGTAACTGAACAACCGACCCCAACCGGTTTCCCTCGACGACATTTCAGCTGCTTCGGGTTTACCGCACAACTCTTGGAACCGAAATTTAATTTTATGGCTTGTAGAAAGTTTGAAAAAACCCGCTAGAGCCTTTTGCCTCGGTTTGTAGCACTTGATCGGCTGAGGTCAAGGCTTGAAGGAAGACAGTGGCTAAATATGTTGTAAAGAGTGAAGAAAAGAGGAATTAAGGGCTTATTTAAAAAAAATTACCAAATATGATAGAAAAATGTCGCATTGGGGTGGGAGGAAAGAGTGTGCGACTTCGATTTTCCCAGCATGGAGGAGCTGATTTTTTGAATATTTATGGATTGTTGCCGTGGCGTAAAAGTGTGAAAGAAATGTGAAAGAAGCTAAAAAATGTTGTTTTAAAGTGATGGTATCATCACTAAGAGGTCATGATAATATAGGTACGGAACATTTTAAGGCATGAACTCGGCTTGAAAATGGTATGAATGTGAATTGGAAGCCTCGGTCAAAGCCACGACTATGGTGGAGGCAAAGCGTAAGCCTAAGCCTAAACTTAAGCCTGAAGCTTAAATCTAAGCTTAAATCTAAGCCTAATTCCAAGCTAAGCCTAAGCCTGATCTTAAGCCTAGGCCTGAACATAAACCTAAGCTTCGCCCTGACTGAATTTCGACATTCCCATCCCCATCTCCCATTCCCTCCCTAACACTCCAACTTACGCTTACTAGTTTGAGAGGTGCTGTGGATATCTGTGGCCCTGCCCCCCATACCCGATAGATGGCCAAGTCAATCTACGGATGCCTGGCCGGTACTCGGGGTTTATGGCCCCGACTCGTCTGGGATTTGGGTTAGAAGGGGGACCTCTTGTGGAGAGATTCGATTCGGAACTCATCCACCCTTCTCGTCCTTCCCCCTTCTCTACTGGCCATCACTTGGGGGAGGCCCATTTATACAATTCTGTTGGGGGCTTCACTGGCGGTTAGGTTCCTAGGTCTCGAATAGGGAGGAGCAGCGCTTCCGTGTTCCACGCCGGTGAACGGATTTTGTCATCGGAGAGCTGGGTTTCCGGGCGAACGTCCCTTTTTTGAGCGTAGGGATTTTTGGCTTGTTTTGTGGTGTAGTAAACATGACTATTTACCTTGAACTTTTTGTGTTTCTCTCTCTCTCTCTCTCTCTCTCTCTCTCTCGCTCTCGCCTAACCGTCTCTATCTATCGCTCTTTCACACTCGCAAAACTTTTTTCCGTTGAAGCTCACTGAGTTTAAGATTCGTGTATAAAGGGTCTTTTGATCGTGCTCACTTCTCTCTCTCCCTATCTCTCGTTCTTTCTCGCTCTCTCTCCCTCTCTCTCTCCCTTTTTCTCTCTCACTTTCTCTCTTTCACTCTTTCTCTCTCTCTATCTCGCTCTCTCTCTCTCTCTCTTTCTGTTCTTCGGCTCGAAGTTCACTGAACTTGAGTGTTTTAAAGGGAGAACTACATCGGAACTATCCCTCTCTCGCTCTCGCTCTATCTTTCTCTCTCTCTGTCTCTCTCTCTCTCTCTCCATTTCCCGTCTCATCGTATGTTGAATGTGCTATGTCTCTCCCTCTCTCCCTCCCTTGGTTGCCCATGATGAGATGAGCCATTCAGCTCCTCCTTGCCTCTCCAAAGAATCTGTTACAATAAATTTGCATAAGGAGCCGGGGCGGGAAAGCGAATTTCCGCCGCGCCTGGTTTGGTGGCAGGGGAAGGGCCCGGGCGGCGCGGACACAAATATCGGCCCTCAAGGCTTTTTTTAGCATTTGGGTGGGGGATTTGTTTCCAGTTGATGGGATCGGGGTTTGATCAGTAGTGGGGTAGTACTTTAAAGCCTAGTCTTGGACTTAGGCTTAAGTTTAAGCTGAGTTTTATGCTTAAGTCTAAGCTCAGCTACTTGAAAGATCCTAAACTTCGAAACCATAACTTTTTTCTTGAAGTTTTGACCATCCACGAACACCAAGTCACTCACCCCTTAAACCTAGTCAGGGTGTCACTCCCCACCCGGATGCCTCGACCTTAGATATTCGATATGAGGCTTTCCGGGGAGCCCGAGGTGGCTTCTCTCTCTTGGTTATATGTGTGGATGATTGAATGATAGGGCCTTGTCCCAGGAGGGCCTTCTCCAGATTGGCTCTCAAGCATCGCCATCCCCCCTATCCTTCCTTCTAACACCTCATCCTCCCTTATGCTTTTATTCACGGCTAGGAGGTACTCTCGGTTAAGCATACGCCTAAACCTAAGCCTAAACCTAAGCCTAAGCTTGACAATCAGCCTAAACCTAAGCTGAAGCCGTAGCCTAAGCCTAAACATAAGCCTGAGCTTAAGAATGCCAAAGCCGAAGCCTAACCGGAGAGGGGGCTGTTTTTGGATCTCAAAAATCCTAAAAATGTGTCTAGATTTTTCTGTTTCTAGGAGACATTCTCCTGGAAATTCGTGCATATCATTAAAATAGGATGTAAAAATCCCCGATTTTGGGGTGCATCCGAATTTGGCATTTCGTAAGCTCTTGATCATCACTAGCTCGATCTCACTTTTCCACCCCCGAGCACCGCCACTGTTAATTCAATCTGTACGTTTGTTTCCTAACGACATGCTAATGTAAGGGTGGGGTGTGTGTGTTGTGGCACCCCGCGTGGCGGCCAGCCATTTGTCCTATGCCTTCAGGGCTTCATCCTCAATCTCCATCTAAAGGGATAGGGAAAGAAGGGTGGGAGAGAGCGAGAGAGAGAGAGATCTCTATGGTCAGACTGCGATGGCCTCTGGCAGCAATCTGCTTAGTTTTCTGACACTGATTGGCGGGGATGCGCTTCATTTGATGGTGGTGGGACCTCGTATGTCGTTCCATAAGGTCGCATTTGCTCTTTTCGATCTATATTATATCTAATTTGCAATATTACGCATTTTTATTCCAAGTTTTATACCTTGAACTCAACGATATAGGTTAATAACTATTATAATTCCAGAATTATGGACGAAGAAGAACAACTGGACCTTGAACAGCTTCGAAACCTTTCCAGTGGCGCGAATTGCCAAGAAGTCAGCTTATTTATGGAAGGGGATATTACATTTCGGACCGATATTAGGGTACCGTCTTAATTGTATAGCTTAGTAAATTGCTAATATTTAGATAATTTTTACATTACTTTACGGCATGTTCTTCTTCGTTGGAATTATTGGAAACGGGCTGCTGATCTCGTCGACAATGAGGAGGAGACGGATCTCGGTCGCCAATATATTTTTGATCAATTTGGCGATATCGGACTTGGTTGGTATTAAAAATAAGCTATAATATTTCACTTTTTCTGCTTTAGCTACTTTGCATCACCGCAATCCCGATTACCCCCACATTGGCCTTTTTCAAGAAGTGGATGTTCGGGAATTTTATGTGCAAATTTTTGCCGGCTTGTCAGGCCGTGTCAGGTTTGTTTTTAATCGGCACCTTTAAGTTAGACTGCCTTAAAAAAATAATAGAAAATATTTTCCAGTACTAATTTCTTCCTACAGTCTTTGCTTCATCGCTGTTGACCGGTACCGCAGTATAGTGACACCATTAAAAGAGCCATGGACGATTAATCATGCACAGGTGGGAGCAATTTTTTATTTAAGTTTTATTAAAATTATGATAAAATTATTGTTGTTTAATATCTTAATCAACTACATTTTAGATGATAATGGCCGCAACGTGGACACTCGCAAGTTCTGTGGCACTACCGCTTTATTTCACCCAAAAACTAACCCAAATCGCGACAAACACGATTGTATTATGTGGAGATGTAAGTGACATCATTAAATAGTTATTTACAGCTAAAGTAGTTTATGAATTTATGCTGATTCTTAATAACATAAAAATACAAAGTATATTTTCAGTTCTGCGGAGAGTACAACTGGCCGGAAGGGGCTGAACATCTCAAACTCGGCTACGGCTTTGCCCTTTTCATCTTGACCTTCACAATTCCGGCGTGCATTATGAGCTATTGCTATATGAAGATACTGCAAAAGGTTGAAAATCTAGAATTATTACTGTAAAGGGAATTTTCAGGTTCGTCGGGAGTGGATTGTTACGGAGGGGTCGATGCTTACGCAGGCTCAACAAGTTCAGACGGCTGGTAGGTTTAAGGGGGGTCTTAATGATTTGCTACTTTATACCACGGGAAATAATGGCCTACGCAATTAAATGGAATATGTGCGCGTTGCGTGTCACGGGGTGCCGCACAAAATAGGCATGCCGCTCCCTTAAAATCTGTGCATCCTAATGGCTATGAATTTCCTATGGATACACAACATGCAGCGCGACACGCAACGCGACTGCAAATTGACACGTAACGCCGCACGCAACGCGGCACACAACTCGGCACGCAACACGGCACGCGAGGTGACGCACGATGCAGCACGCAACGCGACACGCACCGCGACCGCAACATACCTTTAACGTGGCGTAATCAATTACGCAGAAAATTACGAATCAACCTGCGCGTTGCGTTTTTAATGTCCCTTTGAAAGAACCTTCCTAATCCCTTTTTAGCGCGAAAAAAACGCGTCATGTACGTCCTTATCCTGATGGTCGTGGTATTCATGTTATGCTGGCTCCCACTAACCGTTGCCAACCTTCTACGAGACTTGAATATTTTTGAGGTAATAACTTTGGATTACCTTTAACAAGGCTATTCAAGTTGCACGCAATTCGAAATGAATTAACAAGTTATTAGGTTGAAAACCAAATGTACTTTACCCTCCTCTCTTCTCACGCTATCGCCATGACGTCGGTGCTGTGGAACCCGATTCTATATTTCTGGATGAGCAAGGTAGATCAGCTACAAAACCCGGTATCCCATTCTTGTAGCGTCACCGGCGGGCGTTAAAAGATGACATGTTTTGGCTGACAAACGCAAAACGACAGCCCGCCAGTAGCGCATTGAGCAGGTAGGAAAAGCTCTGGATTTTTTGAAGATGCTTTTTAGATTTGCCCCTTCACCCTCCGTTTCTGTTGTTTATAAAAGAGCCCTGGAGCGTCATTTAATTAATAATAACTATCGGTATTTAAATGTTACTGTAGAGTTTAATAAATTTTAGCCGCGGTACCCTGGCCGATCCGACGTGTATGTCTCGAGAAAGGGCTTTGGAGGAAATGCATGCAAATTGCTTTTTACTGGTTTGTTTTTAGGAAATTACTTTAAATATTGTATTCTAGGTTCCTTTAATGCCTCTATGTCAAAATGTGCGTCGGAATTCACATTTGAAAATTGAACACCGGCATATTATAAGGTTAGTTCGGTTAAAAATATATTAAAATATACTTTTCAAGGCATAATTCTCAAAAATACACCTAAGATTTTTAATAAATATAGTTGATTTAGTAATAAATGAAGATTTAATAAGGATTTTCAGGCATTCCTCAGCTGGTGATCATCAGCGACGCCTTTCCAACAATACAATCACAACCCGAGACTCCATCACAAAAGAAAGCCAGGGACAAAATCCCTAAAAACATCTTTTTACAACCCCTCTCCCAAAAATACCAAATGACCAAACTGGATCCAATGATCTCGGCCTAAATATCTCGCCCTCACCCCACCCCATCGATCTGTCCCTTTTAAATTGGTTTTATTGTTTGTATTCTTGATAGTTCATATCGCCGATGCTATTCCTTGAAAGACGTGTACCCGCTTGACCGGATAAAAGTTTTCAGCTGACGTTTTTTAGGGTAAAAATCTAGACTTTCAATCACCTCTCGATCATCTGCCGTTCACGTGGATCGGCTTGTTTTCGGGTTCCCCCCTTTGCAAGGAGCCAACTGTCCGAAAAGTTCATTTCTGGTTGCAGGCCCAGCAAAACAGTCTGCCCGGGCTTTCGATAAAAATCGTCTGCTTTTCCGATTTCATCCTGGCTACGTGTGGTTTGCTAGTTTTTCAGCCTTGATTCCACTCTCCACTCTTGCACCTTGTTAATAGAGATATTGGCGTAAGATTTCTGGGTACTGTTCTGTTAGTAGCGGGCAATTTAGCAGTAGAGAAATTAGATTTTCCCAGTAATCCTGTACGGCCCTTTAACAAAATATGCATTTTCAACAATTTTAAGTATATCAAAAACCTGTAAAAAATTTCGAAAAACTTAAACTTTGGGGTTAAAATGTATGAAAAATGACCGAAAACCATCTCATTTTCCAAATTTCAAACTGTTTGAAATACTTTTGTAGCTCTCTATCACCCAAAACTTCCAAAAAAAAACCCAGAAAAGTACCCTTTTCATTATCAACGAGTTGATATAGACGGAAAAACAAAAATTCATTCGCCCCCCCCCGCTAATAGTCCAGTACAAACTTAAGACTACAACTATTTTATCCATGCCTGTTCTCTGTACTAACGCGCCACTTTTTGGGGGCGTAGTTCTTATGGGGTAATTTGCAGTGATGGATGAGAAATCGCCTGGGGGGCAGCTTTTTGCTCCGGACTCTGGGCCTCTCCGCCAATCTCTGCGCTTTGTCGTTGGCCTTGGAAGAAGCCAGTTTTTGGGGGTGATTTCGACACCAATCGAAATGCGAATTATCAGCAAGGCTTTTGCTTTTCTTAAGGCTGAGACAAGGATGTTAGAATTTTGGGGATTTTAAGCAAGCTTGGCGTCGGGTTTATATGACAACTTTGTTTACGCATAGTATGCATTTGTACTTTGCCCCCTGAGGCGACTGGCCTGGGGGCAGCTCTCTAAAGATTGTTGTGCTCGTGACGTCGCCTGATCGGCGTGATCGCGCCCCTTTCCTCATCCTTTAAAGATCACTAGGGCTGTCTGGTTGTGGTCTCTATCTCTCTCTCTCTCTATCTCTCTCTCTCTTCCTCTCTCTCTAGCTAGGCTCTATCTGCCTTGTTTTGATGTCCTTTGTGGGTTTGATTCTCGGGCCATACGCGGGGTTTATTTTTGGCTTTGAGCCTCGGCTTCCATGCTAGTTACATTTCGATTCTTTTTGATCAGAACAAGGTGTTCTTTGCATTAGCGGAGGGAATCAACTTTTTTTTCTTAGGCTCTAATTTTTTGATAGATAATAGTAGAGGTGTTTCTAAATGGGTCTTATTGTTCCTACACGTGAACCCTTTATAAAATTTTTGATTAAAAACTATGAAAAACACCGGTTTATCTATCAAAAATAAACGGTTTTCTACATCAGAGAAATTTTTTAAAAGACAGTTTTTAAAAAAGTTTGAAAAGTTTAAAAGTTAAAATTTCCAGTTGAAATACACCTTATTTTGCTAAAAAATCTATGAAAACACTTCCCATTAAGTTACTAGACATTTCTAGATAAAATCCGGGCCCCCCGACAATGCTAAAAAAACCGGATAGCCTTTAATGCGGCGTCAGCGACTTCAAAATTCCTTTAATGCAAGTCTTGCGAGCAATTTTTTATAGTTTTTTGATTTGAAATCTAGTTTTTTTTGCTATTTCCACATTCGAATATCTACGAAAACCAAATGCTGTCTTTACAGACCCCTTAACTGGTCAAAAAGTGAGAAAAAAATCGGTTCCGTCTTTCGACCAGTCCCGTTGATGTTTGTCTTATTTGTACGTGCGTCTGCCGGCCATCACAGCCTTTCTTTCCGCGATTTGTCTGTCCATCTCTCTTTCTACAATCTTGTCATTTTACTGCTTTTCCTCTGGTCAGCCACCCTCTCTCTTTTGCTGATCAGCTCCATTGATCGGGCTGAGAAACGGGGCGAGTCAGTTGGGGTGAGACGACAGACAAAAGTCTATCACACTTTATGACGGTGGCCAGCCGGCTTTTCTTTGTCTTTGTGACCTGGGTCTGGTGGTGTTAGTTGGTTCTTATTAGTCAGGTGAGGCTTGGAAAGGTTTAATTTTAAATTTAGGGTTTGTTAATTATCCTTATTTTAATGGCCGTTCTAAGCAATAACTGTTTTGGTATGGCATTGGTAAGGACCTAACTGTTATCAATAAATACTGTATTCTTATACTGTTTTTAATTGTTTTTGTGTCCTAAAAGCAACAAAAGATTTTACACATTTTTTGACAATCCTAAAATTTTGAGTCTTTTGGTCGTTTTTCATGCGATTTTTACTAAAAAATCAAAAATGTTCGACGTTTTATAAACTTTTCCACTCAAAAATTCTGTAAAGCGCTCTAAAAACCTTTTATACTTTGCTATAAAGCCATGGGACAAGATTACTGGGAAAAATTAGTTCTTCCCCTGCTAACAGTCCAGTACCGGAAAAGGTCTCGAAGCTAACGTCTCAAGCTATTTTTTTAGTCTCAAGCCATCTTAGAGAGAATGGTTCTGAAATATTACCACTTACAGACCTAGCTATCATGATCTCAGGTTCATTGAACCCAAAATTCCCGTTCCGCCAATCCCTCCCCTTCTAGCCCAGCCAACCCAAACGGTATCAGTCTGGGCCCCACGAAAATCGGGCGATCGCCTGCCATGGCTCTCTCTCTCTCTCTCTCTCTCTCCCCCCCCCCTCTCTCTCTCTCTCTCTCTCTCTTTCTCCGCCGCCAATTTATGTGGATTTTAAGGGGAAAACTGGCAGGGTCCTCCCACGTGTTCCCCCAACACCCCACGTGAGCCATCCTCGCCGGTTCCCACCCAAAAAAACGGAATGTTGCACAAAGATCCCTCCCACTTTCCCATCCCCTCCCCTCGAACCGTTCTCACCTTTTTATTCGTGGCTTTGGAATTTCTGTACACCGACAATGACCATGTACAGCCGACGACCACGACCCTACAGTATCGACGACAATATGATGCACAACCGGAGGGGTGTCGTTTACAATTTGAATGAAGCTGGGATTGCTAGGATTATTATGGACAAGGAGAATTCGACGTTTCAGGTAAGGGTTTTGGATTTAGGTAAGACTAAATCTATAACGAGGTAAAGAGGCGTAGTGAAAGAAGGGAAGAGAGAGAGAGAGAGAGAGAGAGAGAGAGAGAGAGAGAGAGAGAGAGAGAGAGAGAGAGTGAGAGCGAGAGAGAGAAAGAGAGCGTGAGAGAGAAAGAGAGCGTGCGAGAGTGAGAGAGAGGGGGAGGGAGAGACGAGAGAGAGAGAGAGAGAGAGAGAGAGAGAGAGAGAGAGAGAGAGAAGGGAGAGAGACATAAAGTTAAAGAGTATAAGCGTTATCGCAACGTCATAGTACAATAGAAACCTACCTTAAATTCAATCTAAAAACAAGAAATCTTGCAAAACAAGAATTAACAAATGTTTTAGGGAATTCTCGAAACCCGAGGTGGAGAAGTCTTCTCCCTTCGCGGCCAAATCAACCCGGCGGATGGACTGAAAAAGGGGAATGAAGGCCAGGTAATTTTTGCAGAATTCGATGATATTATTTTTCGCTAGTTAATGGAGATCTATCTCGTTGATGGTGAGGCCGGCACGTCGTTTCAGTTGGACAAGTACGAATTTTCCAAATTACAGCTTGATAACCTGAGATTTAGAGTGCCGGTGCTGGCTGATGGGCAACATTTGAATATTCAACATACGGCTATCAATTTTGTATCTAAAGAGCGTTTGGTGGGAGTTAGGTGGGTATAAATTATAGTTTAACCTTTGCAGATCAACCTTGTATGGATTTCAGTAAAAAATAAAAAAATTACAAATAAAAAATTATTCAATTAATACCCGAAAACCCGGAAATTTAAAAAACTTTTTTTTCGACCATGTGATACCCCAAAATTTTTTTTCAATTTTATGAAAACAAATAGATTTTCTAAAAAAAATTTTGTTAAAACGGAAACATTTTTTTTTTCTTAATTTTCAATTTAGAACGCGAAAAATTAAAAAAAAACAAATGAAAAAATAAAACAGCGAAAACCCAAATTCGCAAAAAAAACATTTCGAAAATAGGATTAAAAAGTTAGCATTTTTTTTTTTTTCTCTCTATTCTAATTCTTTTAAAATTCTCTTTTTTTAACTTTTTCCCCCCTTTCCCCGACCTACTTTTTTCTAACAAATCTCTTAAAAAATTTTTTTTATGATTAAAAAATAAAAATGAAATTATTTTCTAAAAAAAATTTTTTTTATTTTTAATAAATTTCAAATTTCGAACAGGAAAAAGGGGATTTACTTTTTTTATTATGAATTGATGAATTTCTAGAGCCCTCCAAGAAGTGCAGCAATTTTTTAACCCGGAAAGCTTAACCCAAGCCGGGATGGAGGTTTATGTCGGTCCCATGCAAGTTCAGGCATGTTTTTCGAAATTTTCGAAATTTTCTGTTTTGATTATATGGTAGTATAAATAGTATCACACATATTTTAATATTTTCAGCTAATGGCCAGCAAGCGAACCCGGGCCCCCAGTCGCCGCGAAAGTCTCTCAACCGACGCCAGTGTCACAATTCTTGAACTTTCCGATGATTTTTTGGCCTAATTCACTTGTCTATTAGATTTTGATTATCAATTCTTATATCACTTCCTATGCTCACCCTCGCTAGTTTAGTTCGATTTGTCCCTTTTTTTCCAAGCGGGTTGCAAGGCCATTGTCTTTTAATAAGCAACTATTATTTTTCTACTATATTTGTTTTACGGTATTTGTCTAATTTTGCAATGAAAGTCAATTCATATTGTGCAAATCTTCTTTTGAAAATTTTTAAAATAAAATTAACGATTCCACACTTTTATTGCACATTGTCAAGAATACATCGATCCGGGGGGAGACTAGAAATTGAGCTTTTGTTAGGGAAATTGGGAGGGGGAGAATGAGATCTTGGATGGGAGTTTGAGATTCAGATATTGAGATTCCGATGCACAACCCTAGACGGTTCCATTGGATAAATTGAAATAGATAGAAAAATTGTGAGATACTTTTAAGGAGGAGGGTACGTGTTTAGCTGGCCATTGATATTTGAGGGCAGCGATGTGGGGTTGGATAGATTTGGGACATTGACGCCCTGGGCGGACATTCGGGAGAGAAGAGATTTTTGGTAAAAATCTTCATCGGCGGTTCCAGTGGAGAATGAAGCGATCGATTGGGAGAAGCTGGAAAAGGTTGTTAAAATCGGGTATAAAAAGTCGGGGAACTGCTCTGTTAGCAGGGGGATTTTCAGCAGGGGGTAAATTCATTTTTTATTTTTCCGCCCATACCTACCCGTTGATAATAAAAACTGTATTTTTTAACGTTTTTCGTAGTTTTTGATTGCTAGAAAGTTACAAAAATTTCATTAAAATTTTCTCTTTTAAATTCAGCTAAACACATTTAAAATTTCAAACAATCGTCGAGTTTTCCCCCTGCTAACAGTCAAGTACCAAAATAAGAACTAAAATAGGAGAGTAAAGATCCGATTACGATAGGTGATAGACTTACTTTGTAAGGGCTGGGTTGGAGAAGGCTGCTGGGGTGGAGTACGGTGGAGTAGCAGCCGGATATGTCATCTGTGGTGGGTATCGAGTAGGATACCTGGAAAAGGTATCTATTATTTGGCGGTAATATCTACCGCTATATTCTCAGTATACTATATAACAGGTAACATTCTCTCTATCTCTCTCTCTCTCTCTCTCTCTCGCTCTCTCCCACAAAACCCAATTATCCCTGTACTACCCACCAATCAACGGGGGCATTGTTTTGGCGATAGTCTCCCCTTGGTGGCCAGGGGTAAGGGGATAACCCCAGGGTATAAGAATGGCAGCCACTAACCCAATGATTGGCCCCTTTCTTACGCAACGCAACCCCGGACAGGTCAGCCGGAAAGTTCGCGCCAGCCGGCGAGATAGCCTGGGAGTCCATTCGTGGATTTGGAACGTTAAAGGTTTCGTGAGGCATTACTACCTATACACCTAATTCCGCAGTGAGCCCGTGACAAGGAGAGTTCGTAAATCTATACACGCGCTTTAAAATATACTGAAAAACTTACCAAAAAGCATCTCGGCCTGGCACAGTCCCAAAAGCAGCTCCCGGATAGACACCCTGACGCATGATCGATCCAGCTTGGCTGGTGTTGAACGGGTTGATGGCCTTGTTCAGCTGCTTCTCCTGTTTCCGGTGCTTGGCACGTCGGTTTTGGAACCACACCTGGAATGGGAATACTGATGATGCTGTCGAAGTCAGCGTCAGTAAGTCACTAAGTCAGTGCTAAGCAGAATAGAAAGGGACGTCGAAACCAGGGTTCAATGGCGTATCTCGTAGCTATTCGGGATGTTAGGTACCTCCTACTTAGCATTGAAACTATTTGGGTTCCTGGTGTATCGCGTAGTTATCTCGACTATTAGATACTTTTTACGTAAAATTAAAATGAGTGGTTGAAACCAGCGTTCATTGGTGTGTCTTGTAGCTCTACGGACTATTAGTTACTTTCTACGCAGTATTAAAATGGGTACGTTAATTGGCGTGTCACGTAGCTATATTAGTTTTTGGGAACTTTCCACGTTAAATAGGATAGGTTGTCGCAATCAACGTTCATTGGTGTGTTTTGTAGCTATTCGGGCTGTGGGTACCTTCTTCGTAAAATTGAAACGAGCTGCGTGCACTGGAGTATTTTGTAGTCATCCTGGATATTAGATACCTTCTAAGTGAAATTAAAACGATTTGTGTTCCTTGGTGTAGCTTGCAGTTCACTGCGATTTTGGGCCCCTTCTACGTCCCTGATCGAACTGTTTATAGCCGGGATTTACAGCGCTAACCTTGTCAAATCACTACCGTAATCATTTAATCAGCTCTAACACCTCCCGTCCCCCAATTTCCATACCTCTCATCCACATACCCCTATCCTCCCAGATTTTCCCACGCCAATCCCAACTCTCCCACGCCACAAACAAAATTCCCTCCCCCCTCCCGATTACATTGAGGAATTCGGTTTCGCCGCCAAAAAGAACCCTTCCACAAGCTGAGACTCTTCTCCCCCCTTCCCTGCCAGCAGGCGATGATGAGATTTTTGGCCCGGGGATTCCGTTAGTTTTATAAAATTTGGGTCCCCCTGGCCGGGCCCTTGGCCAACACCCCCAGCTACTCCCCCAGAAGCTATCGAGCTGGGCGGGGGGGGGATGGAGAGATGTTGTGAGGGTGAAGCCCGGGCGGTGGCTGCGCTTAACTCAATTTTGTCGGGGCTGGCAGAAGGGGGAAAGGGCCCCTTTCCCCTACCCCGAAAAGCCTCGAATGATTGGGGAGCACTGACGAATGGGGTACGGTAGTCGGCACCCCCGAGGGGGGAGAAGGCTTTCTCGTTGGACACCAAAATAAGCTGTGTGGTTCGGGGGGGGGGTACGGTAGATGGTGGTGACGTTTAGGGTTGATGTAGGGAATGGGGGAAGAAGGAACTTGGTGTAAAATTTTATCGGAAAAAATGTAAAAGTTACGGAATTAGTGGTTTAGTGGACTTTAGGGTGCATTTTAGTGTGATAAAGATGATGCCAGTAAAAGAAGAAAATGGCTGGGATGTTAAGAAGAAGATAAATAGCTAAAGGGAATTTCTAAGCCTATTTTTAAACGGTAGGCTTAAATTGTTAGGAAAATAGATGTTTAGAACGTACGAAATAAATTTAAAATCATAAATTTTTACGAAATTTGAGAATTCATAAAATAAATTTTACAAGTTTTCGTAAATTCTGGAGTATAATTAACTTATAACTAAATTCCTTAAGAACTCCTGCAACTCCTCAAATAATTCTCCCCAAAGATGCGCCAAAACATAAACCCCAAACACGCGCAGCTGGGTGGCAACAATAGATGGTATTAAGCAAGGGATGCAACTTTTGTCTCCCGCTATTCATCGCCACTCCCTAATTTGCTCGTTCTCAACTCCCCTCTATACCATCTCCCCCCCTCCCCAAACCCACCAGATCTTCACCCGGCGATAATTGGCGCGTTTTGTAAGAGACTGCCCCCCACCAACACCACCACCATGGTCCTGCTCCTGCCAGCAGATGGCCAAATTGGGCGCAAAACCTGGGTGGGCGAGAAGGAGGAAGAGGAGGAGGAGGAGGAGGAGGATTATCCTCTACCATCCCGCACTCCCGCAGCGTTCGCGAAATCTGCCGGGGCTTATGGGAAATTGTAAGTGGAATTTTTGAAATATTGGGTGGATAGTTTTTGGGATATATGAAGGTATAAGATCTACTGAAACTTGCGGGAGCCTAAGCCTAAGCCGAAGCCGAAGTCGAAGCCTAAGCCTAGGCCTAAGCCAAGCCAATTCCTAAGCCAAAGCCTAAGCTAAGCCTAGGCCTAACAAAAAGCTTAAGCCTAAGCCTAAGCATGAGCCTAAGCCGAAGCCGAAGCTTAATCGTATGCTCAGCTTTTTATACTATTTCAGAATGATATCTTAATTCCTCCTACCCATCACTCCCAAAATTCCCTCCTACCACCCAGCCTCACCCTGCCATGTGCGCTAATTGTCTACCACCCACCAGCGAAAGATTCTTAAGGAGGATCATCGATGAGGTGCAAGTGCCCTCCCCCAATTGACTTGACCACTTCAACCCCACCATTTAGCGGATTTGTGGCCATTTGGGCCCCCTCCACAGGCCAAGGGCCCAAGCTGTTGTCTGTTTTTGGGCAAGCGGAAGCTACAAGTGCTGACAGCCGAGGATAGAGCTTCATGATTTTTAGGGCCAACCTGGATGCGCGCTTCGTTTAGCCCGGTGGCCTTGGCCAGCTCCTCGCGAACGTAAATATCCGGATAGTGGCTCCTCTGAAAAGCGGCATCCAGTTGGCCGAGTTGTTCTTGGGTGAAGGTGGTGCGATGGCGACGGCGAGAGATGCTGTAGTAGGGATCATGGTATAGATTAGGTTTTGGGTAAAGTACCTGGCTGGGGTGCTTGGTACTGCGCCGAGGTTGGCGGAAAACACTGACTCGGCTTTGATCTTTTTGAAGGCGCTGTCGGCAAAGTCGAAGGCGAGGTCTGGAAGGATGGATTATTAGGCGTAGGCTTCATTGAGCTTAGGTTTAGGGTCAGACTTAGGCATAGGCTTAGGTTTCGGGCTTAGGCTGAGGTTTAAGTTCAGTCATAGGCATAGACTTGGATAAGGCTTGAGCTTACGCTTAAGTTTAGGCTTGGGATTTGGATTTGGCTTGGGCTTAGGTATAGACTTAGGTTTGAAGCTGGGCTTCGGCTTCGGCTTAAGCTTAGGCTTAGGACTAGATTAGGACTAGGCTTAGGCTTGGGCTTACAAGCTTGTCAGCTTAAGCCTAAGCGCCTAAGCCCCCTTTAAGCCCTAAGCCTCTATTCCGGGCGAACCCTAAATTCCATTAACAACCCGATTATCCCCTGCTTACACCTACCATCTTAACAGCCAAAATGCCTAGCAGATAAATGTAGGTCCAGCCCAAACCTAGAGTCACCGAGAATGAAATGAGCACGGGCGAAGAAGGGGGGAGATGGAAGGACTGCGGGACCCCGGGGCCGTGTCCCTCCCTGTACCAATCGAATTTCATAAATCAGATATGGTGTATTCGGTTGGCACGGGGGGAGTGATTGCATTTTCCTGCACACCCCCGCTGAGGACGAGAAGCCCCCCAACAAAGACATCAGGGGGGCTTAAGGAAAGGGAGATGTGGGTTTTTTGGGCTTTCCGTTAAGGGGTGGATTAATAGGTTATTGATTTAGTGTAATCGGGTTTGGAAATTGGATTAAAGGGCCAAGTGGGACGATTTTCTATGTATTCCCAATGTTTCACAGATGCCGCGACACGCAACGCGTTGCGTTTTGAGCATGAAAGAATCTCCGCTGAATTTGAGTCAGATGTAATCACACTTTTTAACTATTTTGGGAGAAATTCTTAGAGGATGATTGGGTCCTAAATTAATCTTTTTTTTTCTATACTGATTTTACCATTTTCGGAAGTTAATTAAAAAATTACTAATTCGAGCATGCTTTTTGACACACGTCTCCTAGGCAGATTTTAGTTTTTTTAGGCCTTTAAGGTTTTAAAAATATGCAGCTCTACTGATTCGAGCCTGCTCTTTCAGATACCATAAAGAAGCAGAAAATCAGCAAGCAGAAAAAGCTATATTCGGGCTTTTCAGGTGACTGTTCCACCCTCAGCCTCCGTTAATTCCCTAATTTTTACTAAACCAATAAACCCTAGTAATCCACTTGTGTTGATAGGTGCTAATTGTTATGTTTGCGAAACGCGAGCCCCCGGTCTCTTCTCACTTTAGGGCATTGGGTGTATCGCATCGCGAAGAGTGTCAATGTCTATACCCCTCAACCACTTGGGCATCACGATTATGCATGCGGGAAGCCGCCTTTATTTGGACATCCCAACAATTGCTATCCCTTCGGCCACCCTTCACCCCGAAAGTTGCGTCAAATTAGGTGGAGTTGTTGCAGGAATTTTTGTGGAGGAAGGGTATGCTTGGTAAGCTGGGCGGCATTTAGGCCATCGATGACTTTACCCCGGCCCGAAAGTTTAATCAAAATTTTCAATATTTTCGCTATTTTTTGGGGTTTTCTCGGCGCGATTTGATAGGGCGTCGGAAAATATACTTAGAGTTTTAAACAAATACTGTATTATAAAATAGTTATGGCAAAAAAAAACAAAAATAACCTTTGAAAATGTGCTCAAAAACCTAATTTTGTTCATATGTTTGCCATTTTTCGATATTTTTACGTTGCTATGCGATAGAACTTTTGAAAATGTATGTAAATATATGGCAGCGGAAAGTAGTGTCATATAAAATAGTTACAGCTGATCAGCTCGGCATTTTCCGGCTGGAGGGAAAGATATGCAAACTCTAACCAAATGAATAACCCAAAAAAATTAAGAATAGAACCAAAGAAAGTCACGTACTGTATCGATACTCACTTTCTCCGAGCGGCCGCAGACTCGTCGCCACCGTATCCAGTGTGGTAGTGTAGGGCAAAATCGGGTATTGGAATTCTTGTAGTGTCGCTGTCGCATCTTTTACTTTTGTATCGTCGTGCTAAAAACAGAATTCTTCAAAGCTTGAAAGCCATCTAAAAATTTCCCAAAAACCCAACCACCGCCCGAAAACCAACGACGAGACTGAAGTGTCTTCCCAATCCGACCCCGAGCTCCTCCTCCCCCCTCCTCATACACAAAACAAATTAATTACGCAAAGTGAATTTTTGGTTGCACGTCGGGCTTCGGAGGCCGAGGAGGCAGAGCCAGGGCTTCCCGGGGAGCCCAAGCCTAACTAGGTTTGCCTCGCTCTCCACCCCAACACACAGCCCTTACACAGACCTGTTCGAATATGCGCTTTGGGGGAGCTCCACCGTTTACGCAATTACCTAATTGCATAACCCCGGCCCGGGGCTGGGTGGGGACCCGGGATGAGATGTAATTCGATTGAAAGGAGGGCTGTCAGTAATTCGATCAGTCGGAGGAGCTGATGCTCCTTTTTGGGGGCATCTTAGTCCGCTCATCCTCACCTGGGGACTGTCGGCGGCGTTGGTGTTGTGGTCGCTCATGGTGGAGTAGATTGAAGCAAGGAGCTGCGTCGTACTCTGACTGTCGGCCAGAATGAGGGTCTGCTGCTCACGGGGGGTGGGCGGACGATCCTTCGGGCCACCCGGCTAGGCCCTCAAGACGCTTTCAGCGGGGATACGGTAGAAGGGGGGAGGAGGGGGGCGGGACCCAAGATGGGTGGGCTGCCCCCGACGCGATGGGTGGATACCTGCCTTTGTGGCGCCTTGAGGAGGGAAGTGCCGTGCTTGATTGGGCCCTCACCAGCCTTCCGACGGCCAGGGGCCCCAGATGGGATTATGCCCGCCCCGAGAATTTGATTACCGCCGTGTCCGCGCTGTCGCTAACCTCTGAAGGAGAAGAGGAGGAGGAGGAGGACGAGGAGGACGAGGGGTGGGAGAGAGTGATGGAGAACGATCTGAAAATGATTATTGCCGGGGGAGGGAGCAAAAACTTTGTAGAACGACCGGGTGTACTGTATTTTTTACATTCAGGCTCTTTACAACGTGTTAGTACGTTTACAGAAGACGTCTTTTCGATTCTTATACATTGTCAAGAGCATTCTCATCCTAAAATTACCTTAAAAGCTCACAAAACAAAAATAAAATCAAAATACAACGTAGCAAAACTTCTTACATTATTACAGTAATCCACATCTCTTAAAACAGGCTTCCAACACCATTTTTCGCCGCTAACCACCCGGTAATGTGCTGTTAGCAGGGGGAGGGGATTTTTAACAGAGGGGAAACTATTTTTTCAGTATTCCTGTACGGTCCAATAGCATGATCTTAAAATTAAGATAGCATTTTGAACAGTTTTTAGATATCAAAGCTCAAAAAATGCGTCTCACATTTTCGAAAGTTGGGGCCTTTTTGTAAAAAATGCATGACAAGCGACCAAAAATGCCGACTAGATGGAATAGAAAAATTAGTTTCCCCGTTGCTAACAGTCCAGTACCAAATCAGGGAAATCCGAATCCATCAAGTCAAAGCAAAACAATGTAATATAACATAGACATGCCATAACAAGCTTTAAACGCGGCTGGCAAGTTTGAGTGTATAGCCTTTTTGAATAAACAATAATACGGGAAATCGACAGGTATAATTTGTAGTTTACATCTTAATCCTTCTAATAAAGTCCGCTAGCCCAAACACATGCCCATATCCATAACGAATCAATTGGGCCCTTGAAACCATGGATCGACGGCCACCCGCAGAGATTTTGATGACCCCCACTTGGCGGCATCCTAAAGAATAGAAACATATAGCCAACCGAACCCTATCCCCTTGAACACCCTTCTATACAATCCTTGACCACCATTCTTCACCTTTCGACAAGCCACGCAATATAGTTAAAGGGATCGGTAACGAACATACGAGGCAGTGAAATTAAGAACAAAGAAAATCTCTCGATGTCTCGGTCTCTCACTCTCGCTCTCTTTCACTCACTCACTCACTCTCTCTCACTCGCTCACTCTCTATAGCTTTCTCTCTCTCCCTTTCTCTCTCTCTCTCTCTCTCTCTCTCTCTCTCTCTCTCTCTGTCTCTGCCTCGTTCTCTCACTCCCTGTCTCTCGTGCTCTCCCTCTCCCTTTCTCTCTCATTCTCACACACTCTCTCTCTATCTCTCTCTCTCTCTCTCTCTCTCTCTCTCTCTCTCTCTCTCTCTCTCTCTGTCTCTGCCTCGTTCACTCACTCCCTGTCTCTCGTGCTCTCACTCTCGCTTTCTCTCTCATTCTCACACTCTCTCTCTCACTCTCGCACTCTATGTCGGCACTCGTGCTCCACTCTCGCTTTCTCTCACTCGCTCCCCCTTCTCTCTCGCTCTCTCTTTCTCTCACACCCACTCGCCCTCACCCTCTATCTCATCACTCTCTTTCTTTCTCTCACTCTCGCTCTCTCTATCTCTCTCGCTCTCTCTTTCTCTCTCTCGCACTCTCTTTCCCTATCTCTTTCACTCTCTCACTCCCTGTCTCTCTCTCGTGCCCTCACTCTCACTCACTCTCTCGCTCCACGCCACACGAGTTTATAGATATTTTAAAGATATCATACCTCTTTCTTCGGCGATCAAAGCTGATCTCCACATGACAAAAAAAAATTCCCCAACTCCTGATTTATGTCAGTCCAATTTTTTTGGTTGCTTTACTCCAAGCGTGGTGAGCACCATCTCTCGACTTTTATTCACCACCAAAAATAATGGTGATATCGATAATGGTTCGTTGACCTCTGACCTACCGCCATTTCAGATAAGATACCATCTGCAACGCAGTGGTTCGTTGTTTGGCGCCCCCTGGCTCGTATCCAATCCCCATGCGGTTGCGCTGCGGTCACACTCTTTCCCGCGGCTGCACCGAATCCAAACATTCGGTCATTCATTCAACCATTCCATCCCAATGCCATCCAATCCTCAACCCAATCCCAACCACTTTCAAACCATCACATACCCCTGATTTTTAGCATCAAATCCTCTAAATTTTAAGTGCTAAGAATAACGTGAAAATCACCGATTTTCGAATTTCACAATTCATCGCAGACCGAATTAAAACGCGAGCGCATTTTTGAAAATTGTAAATCCGTACTTAATTTTTGAAGATGGCGCGTACAATTTATTCGCAGTTTTTAAATTTCCGGCGGAGCTTTGTTGGCTCGGTTTTCGTGGTTACGTAAAAAGCAGCACTTGAAGCCTAAGCTTACTAGCCGACTAGCTTAACTTTACTTGAGCTTGGCTTATAACGCGGTTCAAGCCCACGCCTTATGACCTCAGTTATCCTTAAATTGCCCTACCAGCCAGAAAAACAATTTTTTATAATAGTTCAGCTTGGAACTTAGTTTAACGTAACTTCTTAATTTAACTTAATTCTAAGCCGGTCTGGCTTCGGCTTAGCTGTTTGTGAAACCGCTATTCCTCTTCTTCTCATTCTAGTTTATCGAAACACCGGAATTATTTAAGAAAAATCCAACAATGGCTGACCAAGAGGTTCAAGAAACCCCCGCTGAGGTCCCGACCACCACCGATGTCCCCATGGAGAAAGCCGACGAGGAAATGAACTGGAGGGTAAGTACATTCAGCTAAAAACATCTTGAAAAAATAGAGAAAATAAATATCTTACTTTCAGGCGGATTCCCCCAAGGATGGCACCCAGGCTTCCAGCACCACCGAGGTAAGTATTTAGAATAATGTCATACTCTTGCTTCCTAGGCTGCGTCGACCAACGAGACTGCTCAACCGGCCGCTGGTGAAACCGAGAAAGAACCGGAAAAGGAGAACTCGGCACCTCCGTAAGTTGCAAAAACAAATCATCAATTCCGCCTTTAAGCCCCGCTGCGAAGGAGCCGGCTCCTCGTGCAGCCCCCACTGTCCCCACCCGGCAATATCTGGACCAAGCCATCGTTCCTATTCTCCTCCAAGGCCTCGGTAAGCTCAGTTAACTTAGACCTATAAATCCTCCTTTCAGGTGCCCTCGCCAAGGAACGACCGGAGGACCCCATCACCTTCCTCGCCAATTTCTTGCTCCGCGAGAAGGACAAGTACCACGCCGGCAGCAGCAACTGATTAATGAACCGGTGTATCAACCATACCTCCCCACTTTTTCACCGAAATTTTCCTCCGAAACAGCTCGTAATGTTTTAAGCTTTCCCTCAATATTCATTTTACGAATAAAGTTTTGTTTTGTTAAATATGCACAACTAATAGAATGGTGGCAGCACAAACAGTATTACAGACTTAGATCCTAAGACAATAAGGAGATTCATAGCCGAGCCTCGATTCGTAAAAATTTCAAAATTTCAAATCGGTGACTGGATTGGCCCCCTTGGATAGTTTTAAGCTTTGGCAACGGCTATAAACCCTTCTAGGATGACGTTTTTGTGAATTCAACGATCCGGTAGTTTGCACGAACTTCCAATTTTTTGTATATTTTAATTGTACAACGTTACAAAAAAAGCTCCATAAATTTATTAGACCTGCCTCCGCGACGCTCCTATGCGCGGCATAATTGTAGCGTAACAGCACATGGGAACACGCACACCCGCTTCTCTCGTCTATCTAATTTTTTCAGTTTATAAATTGCATGTTTGCCCCCTCGCAGCACGTTTTTGTCAGAAACCAAGTATTTATAAAAACTATGGACTCGCGCGTTTGTTGTTCTTTTTGTTATAAACAAGTTTAATGCCGAAAGAGCCCTGAGAACTTTTGCTTGAACGCGCTCTTCCTCGATAAATGCTACCAAGAACGGTTTCCCGGCTTTCTGTTTTCACCGAATCTCTATTTTCATTACACTTATTTCAGGACTCGCTCTGACTATGGATGGTAAGATGGGTAGCCAATCTCTGAGTGGTCTCGCCAACAAACTATTCGTCGGCAACCTTCCTGAGCATTGCGATCCCGTCAAATTGAAGCAAATCTTTTCGTGCCACATCCGGGTGACCCATGTCGATATTGTCAAGAACTATGCTTTTGTGGTACGTATTTTCTAATTTTCTACTTAGCTATTACCCCGGCTTGGATTTTTCTTCCGGGTTTTGAGCCTGGCAGGCCCTAGCTGGTTTTCTTAGTTTTTTATGTAGTGTAGAGGCTTACCTACATATGACTAACAATTATATTTTTTTCAGCATGTACAAGAGGAGGACACACCGCGCATCGACGAGATCATCCGCAAGCTCGACGGCTACCAATTTGAGGGTCACCTCTTGAACATGAAAAAGTATTGCTTTTTACGTTATGCAGTACTCGCTACGCTAGGTCGACCTCAAAGATGCGCGGCACCGTCCTTGGGCAAGATACCACGTGCTTCCGATGTGGATCAGCCATTCACAAGACCGTTAGCTGTCCACATGCTGAACCACCGCGCCCTACCGCCATCGGGTCCACCGAAGTTTTTCGTGTCGATTTGACGAAACGTCCCTCGTGAGTTTTTTGCGGGTTTCGTAGCCGCTGAGTTTGGTTCGGCTTTTTCATGTTATACTGGCTTTATTTTCAGCGACGGGCTTGGTGGACCTGAGCCCAAGCGCCCGGCTGTGAACACTCCTGTCGACGTTGACCAAGAACTATCTCAGCCGATCGACCAGTAACGATCATTTTTCAATATTGTACGTTTTACAGTGAGGTGATACCGGCCTACCAGCAGTACATGGAAACGCGTTATAAATACATGTATCTCAAGTACGTTATTATTCTTTTTTTTAGCTATTTTCGTTCAGGGACCGTTTGATTCGGGAGCAGCAGGCTCGCCAGCGTGTCGTCACTTATAGTACCGGACAAATTGTTCCTTTGATGCACATTCCGTAAGTTGCAGATCCCTTTGTGAGGTTGATTTGTATCTTAGATTGCCCCCGCAGGCGGCTGCATGTGCATATCATACGGGTCAGCCGAACTACGCGCCTTCTACCTTTACGGCTCCTGCTCCAGCGCCGGTACTCATATTTTCTTGACTTATTCTCGATTTAGTCGGCGCCTTATGTTTCTGCCCTGAACTCTGGCGTGACCTCTACTAGCGCCTATGGTCAGGTACTTTTTCCGGCTTTTATAACTACACTCGCCACGATGTTTTATCCAAAAAATTGCGGCTTGCAGATATTAATTTTTGCAGGCTCCCACTGCTCCGTATGCCTCTCAGGCGCCGACCTACAATAGTCAAGTGGTGGAGCAGAAGCCCTACAGTTACCAGCAAATTCCGGTAGAGTATTTTTTGTATTTTGAACTGCGTGGATTTAGGTGATCCCGTCTCTCCATGCTCCATACCAGGCTGCTAACACTGCGTTCCCTACGCCTTCGAATTCGTAAGTCTGCTTTCTGCTTATGATATTGATGGTTTCTTTAGCAACGAATCTCTACTGGACACTAGTCGTCCATCGAACGATTATGGCGACCAGAGAGTTGTGCATTTGCAGGTGAATTATTTAATGCAGCGATGAGCTAATCTTGTCTTTTTCTAGCTATTTTTGCTCTTCCTTACATTTTGTGTTTAGAGATCGGTACCCGCCGGCCACGCGGGCTGGCTTGTGCCGCCGCCGATCTCCCAGCCGCGCGGAAATTGAGACGCCCGCCGGATGAATGCTAGAACTAACAAGGGAACCTCAACTTGGCACGGTGGAGTTTCGACAAACGGTCGCGGCTACCCCCAGGTTATCGACTATGGCGATTCCAGTGGTCTAGTCAGAATTTTCTAAATGGGCCTCTGGACAGAGCTACATCACATCCGGAAATTACAATTTGCGTCTCAGAAATTAGCATTAGCGATAGGTTTATGAGGCTTTCTCATCACATAGGAATCACCAGTGGAATGGCCGAGAAGGCTCATCTCTGTCCAGAGGCCCATTTAGGAAATTCTGACTAGACCGTTGGAATCGCCATAGTCGAAAACCTGGGGGTAGCCGCGAGCGTTCTTCGAAACTCCGCCGTGCCAACCTGAGGTTCTCTTGTAAATTAACTAGCAAACTTACACGTTGTTTCTTTTTAATTTATTCATTTTGGATTTACTTGATCTCGTTCACCATTTGATAAATATTTTCGCTCGTATTTTCTCGTGGAAAATAAGACTGGGAGTTGCGATCCGAGTATTTGCGCTACTTTCCACATAAAGTCAAATATCTGTTAGGTTCGATGCTGGGAAGGCTCTACAAACGGCATGACTCAAAAGGTAGCCTTTTCATCTTTTTTTTTTGTTAGGGAAAGGCTAAAGGGTTTCCGGGAATGATCTGGGTTTCCTCTGTAATATTTGGGTCAGGCTTTACGGAATATGAATTGCTAGGTGGTTCACATACATTTTATTGGTATGCCTCATCATAGTACAATTGTAAATGTGATGACCGAAATCCCGATGAACGCGATACCAATGACGCCGGCGCTAAAATTAGTTAGATACGCTGACACCGTAGCTCTTACAAGATTATAGCTGCTGCGTAAAATAGGCTCTTCTGGTCGAGTGGTTCAGGAAATGCCCTAAATTTGGATCGTGTTTTAAATTCCTAGCTTCGCGCACCTGTTACGCACGACGGGATTCTTGCGGCGCCGCGGTTGTTGTTTCTAAGAATTAGGTTTTTCTAGTACTCGGATTTTCCGGAGAAAACAGATTCCTTTCGTGATGACCGCTTTGTGGAACCAACCTTTTGCGTAACCTCCACTAGTTCGACCATATCGTCGACGATCAATGACTCAAGTTCGTCGCTATTGCCAGCAAGCTTGTTAAAGCTATCCGCGTTGCCGGTTTCTTCAACAGTCGCTTCTCCCCGGCATCCACGAAGGTTTTTGTTTGCTTTTTCGTCAGGCCCCAACCGGGGACTCTCATTGATGCTGGCTAGTTCGTTGTAGCCTTTTTGCGGCTTTTTCGTCCAGCGCATCACATATTTTGCGTGTGAAGCTTCTGTAGTTGACCTAGAATAAAAGCCTGTAATTCGTTTCTCTTCGTTTAGTACGCCCAGTTTAGTTCAGTTTAACCAGTTTCCTCTCAATAGACTTACCGTGTGAGTACCTGAACACCGCTACACGCGGTATCTTCAAGCCATTTGGCGACGTTGTCTGAAGCGCGTTTTGACCATTTCGCATAAATTTTTGCGCGATTTGAAGACTCTTCCGAAACTTCAGTAAATCCGGATCGTATGTGCCGATGTCGATTTTGGACTTTTGTCTGAGTTGACGGGGCTGTAATTTACTCAAATGACCGATTTTAGCAATCTTACCTCTTCTGTGTCGAGATCCATCAAAATTATTATGGCGGGGATGGCATCGATGCGCGTGGCCCTTTCTGAGTCGTCGTATTCGGGGGTTTTCATCAGGGGATCGCCTCCACTTTTTGTAATTCATGGTTAGCATGGAGGTCCCACATCGACTACCAACTATCAAATTCTGTCCTAAAACATATTTCGATGCAACGAATTGCTAGAACGGGATCAATAATGTTAGGCTGTAGTTGAACGTCATTTAGTAACTCACTGTGCTCGGTTCTGTGCCGTTGGAATCCAGATTCGGGTAATATCAGTTTCCGAATACTCATTGGAAGTTTCAGCAAGGTCAATAATATTTGTGGATGCTGGTGGTGTTGTGCACCCGGGGCGGGAGGTCGTTAGGTAAATATTGGTGGGACTGGTGCTATCCCCTTGGGCCAAACATGGATATGATCGTGAATTCACGCAATTACAATTAGTTGAAGGACAGATTGGGTTTTGGAGTGTTGGTGGCCGGATTCTTATATCGAGTATTTATTGGATACACCTTCAAACATTAATTTCTAATTTCAGCAGTGTTGAATGCGCTCCGGTTTCGTCGTTCCTACCATGCTGGCGTCGGCGTTTTTGGCCACCTCCCGGAGCCGCCCAAGAGTACTTTTGAACCAACAGGTTGCATTTCTACATAGGCAATAATCTCTTTTTTTCAGCCGGGATGTCTCCAGAACAAGCGCAACGCATTCATTTGATAAATGCTTATCGACGCTATGGGTACTTGCGCGCTGATCTCGACCCACTGGGCTTAGCAAAGCGGAAGGAGTAAGTTTATAGATTTAAAATGGAATCTGCTATTTTACCTATTTCAATGTCATTGTTTAGGGTTCCAGAGTTGGATCCAGCTGTCTACGGATTGGCTGCCGAAGATGATCTTCCCGGAAAAAGTCTGACTCTCAACGACCTGAACGCGCAGCTGGCAAATATTTATTGCGGGCCCATCGCCTGCGAGTTTATGCACATAAACGTTCGTGATAATTTGCGCTATTTCAAAATATGTTTAGAGCTGGGAAGAACGGCAATGGTTCGCATCAGCATTTGAGGACAGCGTTGCTTCCGAGCTGCAAAATGGTGACCGGAAGAAGTTGGCCGAATTGATGCTACGTTGTGAGGTGGTTGTACTTGATCAAGTCTTTACGGATTTCTAGAATTTTGACCACTTCTTGGCTTTGAAATTCCCGACGGTGAAGCGTTATGGCAGCGAGGGAGCGGAAGCGATGTACGGTTTTTTCTCGGAAATTTTCCATGGTGCGCCGGAGAAGGGAATCCAGCAGGTTGGGTTGTTGCTCGCAAAAATATTTTTCTTTAGGTGGTGGTTGCCATCGCGCACAGAGGTCGTCTGAATCTGTTGGCGGAGATGATGGAATTCCCCCTAACCCAGATGTTCCGCAAGGTTTGACTCTTCCTCGAATTTGTAGTTTTTTTTATAGATGCGTGGAAAGACCGAATTCCCACCGGGCGTCCAGGGAAGCGGAGATGTGCTCTCACATTTGAGTATGCCATTCATGTTTGATCTGTGATATTTGTGTTTTAGCTTCATCTTTTGACCACGCGAGCGCTGAGGGCAAAGTCCATGTCACTATGCTTCCGAATCCTTCTCACCTGGAGGCCGTGAATCCAGTGGCGATGGGGAAGGCTAGGGGAAGAAGTCGTTCGCTCTCGCTGGGTGAATATTCTGAGGAACGAGGTGCTCGTGTTGGAGACGGTGTGCTGTGCGTACAGGTTCACGGTGATGGTGCTTTCACGGGTCAGGTTAGCCTTAAATCTTAAAGATGTCTACATGCTTTTTAAGGGTGTCGTTTGGGAGTCGATCGCCCTCTCGCAGGCTCCTCATTTTCGCCTAGGCGGCTCAGTCCACTTGGTGACCAACAATCAGGTTTTTCATATTTGCTAATTGATCAATGGTATCTTTAGGTGGCGTTTACCGCTGAGGCTCACGTTGGCCGATCCACTACACACACTACCGATATCGCCAAGGCCTTTGAATGTCCTGTCATCCATGTTAATGGTGAAAATCCGGAGGTATCCATGCACTTTACTTCATTTTTGCGTTTTTACAGGAGGTCGTAAAAGCAACCCGCCTTGCCATGGCGTACCGTGAGAAGTTCCGCAAAGATGTTTTTGTAAATCTGATTTGCTATCGTCTGCGTGGTCACAATGAGCTCGACGACCCCACTTTCACAAACCCTAGGATCTATAAGGTACGGATTAGACCTAATATCGCACGACCAAGATTTTAGCAAGTGCAATCTCGCGAATCGGTGCCTAGGATGTATGCTGATGAGCTGATTTCCGAAGGATTGACGACTGAGGAGGAGGTGTGGCTTCTGATCGTTGTCATACGTTTTTTTTTAGATTAAAAAACTTAAAGATGAGCACACTGCGAAGCTGATGGACGTGTTCAAGTCGGTAGATAAATCGGAGCCGAGGTAATGACTCCTTTTCAACCTAAACGCGCATTTTAGTGTGAAGCATCTGCAGGGACTATGGTCTGGATTCAAGCAGGCGCCGCCTTCCGTCGAACGTTGGGATACAGGTGTCGACTCCGATCTGCTACGATTCGTTGGGGCTGCTAGCGTAAAAACACCTGATGGCTTCGTGAGTTTCTTGTACTTTTTGTTAGATTATTGTTTGTTCTAGAACTTGCACAGCCATTTGAAGAAAACCCATGTCGAGGCTCGCATCAACAAATTGACTCAAGGAGAAGGGCTTGATTGGGCAACCGCAGAGGTAAAAGAGCTCATTTTTTCATCAACACCGATTCAGGCACTTGCTTTTGGAAGCATCTTGCTTGATGGCCAAGACGTTCGTATATCGGGTCAAGATGTCGGGCGCGGTACCTTCAATCATCGGTATTTAACAACTTTTCTACTGACACATGGATATCAGGCATGCCATGCTCGTTGACCAGGAGGGCGACAACATTTTCGTGCCGCTGAATAACATTGAGGCTGCGCAAAAGGGAAAAATCGAGGTTGCCAACAACTTGCTTTCCGAAGAAGCTATTTTGGGCTACGAATTCGGGATGAGCATCGAAAACCCCAATCGGTAAGGGTTTCCTTGGTCGAGAAAAACTGCTTTCTTCTATGCTTTGCATCTGGGAAGCTCAATTTGGTGATTTCTTCAACGGTGCCCAGATCATCATCGACACGTTTATAGCGTCGGCTGAGAGTAAATATACCGTATTTCGCTCTTGAACATCCGTTTAGGCAAATGGCTGACCCAGAGCGGCTTGGTAATGCTTCTGCCACATGGGTTCGATGGTGCTGGCCCGGAGCATTCCAGTTGTCGAATGGAGCGCTTCTTACAGATCTGTGACTCTAGGTAATATACCGACAGATATCCAGAAATCTTGTGTAGGGAGGATCAAATCCCTGTCGACGGCGAGAATGTGAACATGCGAGTGGTCAATCCAACAACGGCTGCCCAGTACTTCCATCTTTTGCGTAGACAGGTATTAACTGCATGTTATTTTGTCACTTTCTATTTTTAGACGATCACGCCCTACCGTAAGCCGCTGATTGTTGTGGCGCCGAAAATCCTTCTCCGGCACCCACAGGTTCGTCGTGTTTTTAAAAATTATAATCTTGGCTTAGGCTGCTTCCACGCTAGCAGAATTGGCCCCCGGAACATCGTTCCAACCCGTTATTGATGACAAGTCGAAAACGGCTGAGAAGGTAAAAGCTTTTGCATTGTAGGTTTTATACAGTATAGGTTATTTTTGTCTCGGGCAAACACTGGATCGCGGTCAACAAGGCTCGCGAGGAACGAGGTCTCGTTGACAAGGTTGGCTTTTCTATCGGAGCTCAAAACTGTTCAGGTGGCTATCGTCCGCGTCGAACAATTGTGCCCCTTCCCGGTCAGCGAGCTATCCGCTGTCATGAAGAAATATCCGAATGCCAAAAGTAAGTATTATTACTCACACCAGTTTTACGCCATTTTTCTAGAGTTTGTTTGGTCACAAGAAGAGCCTCGTAACGCCGGTGCTTGGAGCTTCATGCGACCTCGTTTTGAGAATGCGCTCGGCGTCCGGCTCCAATTTGCCGGCCGACCGGAACTTGCTTGGACCGCCACGGCTATCGGCGAGCACCACCAAGCCGAAAATCAAAAAGTACGCCTTTATCTAACTTCCTTATGATTGAATTCTTTCAGGTGATCGACGACACGTTCCGTGATTAGTTCATCTCCTGCTCGTCATAAAAATTAATTGCTGTTCGAGAACCGTGCTTGTGCTCAATTGTGAATTTAATTAATGTGCATCTTACAAAAGTGATTCCTCCTTATACCCGAGTGCCTTTTAGATACAGTTAGGCAAAGATTTTAGTACTTGTAGAACTTTTATGTACTCGATTCCCAATAAATATTTAACAGAACTTTTATGGAATATAGTTGTACATGAACATACGGCAGCCAACTTGTCTCTAGCGATCGCCAACGTGTCGTTGATTGACTTCAATAAGTATACAAAACCCAAAGGCGGCGGAATAAAGATGAGATCACAGGGTCGATGTCACAGAATGGGGGTGAAAATAAAGAATGGCAGGCCCTGGGGGCGTGTCTTTCATGCTCGGGTTGGAGCATTTGGACCGGTATCGGCGACTGAGCAGCACATAATAATTTGGAAAGCCCTATTTTGATATCTGAATTGCACAATGGAATTTTGGACCGGAACGTCCACTTCCGATCGCTCGTTCTGTACACATGACTAGGGGATTTTCAGCGAAAGACTAATGGCCTGAGCCCGGCAAAGAGCAAGGGATAAGCTAAGATGAAGGGGAAGAAAGAATTTGGCAAGTAGTGTCACAGTCGCCGTTATAGTCATACTTCCTGGCTTCGTAGACTTCGCGTCGTGTACGCGGCCGACCCGGAGTCCAAATGATAAACGCCTTGTCGTCCATTTTCGATTTGATTTGGGTCTAAAATTTGTGGTATTTCTTCGTTTGCTGATATACTAATCTATACAGGAGAAGATGAGCTCGAACTTTCGAAAATTCTTCGAGTAACAACTGACCTATTCGCCGCTGCATAGCTACTGGAGGTTGATTGTCGCTGAAGCTCGTATCGCCGCCAACCACTAAAGGTAATTATTGAATCAGGAACTTGAACCAGATCGAAAAATCAAAACAGCCACACAATTCGCACAGCACCCGGTTGGGGTTAGATGGAAAATTGAACTAAGGGGAGCGGAATGGAATTGGGAAAAGGCTAAGGGGGGAGTGATTGGGAGGAATTGGCATCATGATGATCATGATCAGACACCTGGCGACGTGGCCCATGGGGATGGACTACGAGCCGTGCTAGCAGCATCTGTGATTATCGTATGGTAGGGACGGAACAACGAATCCCACATCACCGTTTCTCGCGCGTCGACTATACGTAAGCTGGGTACTCATTTTTCGGATCGATAATTTGTCCGCTAGTTTTAGTAAGCGCTTTTTAATGAGATATTCGCGAATATTAGTATTTTTTTGCGCGTGATTTAGATAACATTAAAAACTTTGGCTTATCTGTCCCTGTTTTTGGTGGTCAAGCCTATTCAATGAAAGCAAACTAAGTAGGGGAAATCGAGGTGTCTGCTCAAAGAATTAGTTTAAAATATGGTTTTTTGGCATAAAAAAGAGCCTCTATCGAATGACATTTTCAAAATATGTTGAAAACGCCGAAATCGTTTTCCTGTATCCAAAACCCCAAGCAAAACCCAAAAATACTTCAGCGCGCTCATTCAGTAAGTACCTTGTGCCCTTGGCGGATAGTCGAAGCTGTTGTTGTGGACGCCAAAACGTCGCGGTGGTTCGTATTCGATGGGTAGCGCGACGTGGGCTTGTCGCGCCTTATAAACAGCACCCGGTTGTTGCTCATCAAATGATGGTCGTGCACCGGGTGGTGTACGCCGTTCATCGTAAAGATCGTCGAGTATCGGCTGCTTGTCCACGTCTGAAATGGGCACCACGGCTAAACGGGGCAAGGACAACATCCCAGAATGATTATTGCATGCTTGTTTTGAGAATTGGCTGACTGGTGGGATCTAAGAAGTAATACCGAATACCGAATTTTTTAAATAAAAACAATAAAAACATTTTCCTAATTTTTCTAGTAGTTGCCGATTGCTATAGAGCTAAAAATGTTGAAATTTGGGTTCCGGACTGTTAGCCGGGGGACTACTGTTTGTCTTTAGGCCTAGACCTTACTGTTGATAATACGTAACGTACTTTTATGGCGTTTTTAGTGGGTTTTAATCGCCAAAAAGTTACAAAAATGTTTAAAAAAAATTGGAAATTTCGAGAATTTTTACCTTTTTGATCATTTTTCCTACAGTTTTGCACAAAATTAAAAATATTCGAAAATGCCAATAATTTTTAAAAGTGTTTTTATATCTGAATACGGTGAAAACGTTAAGCCCCCCGATAACAGTCGAGTACCGTGTAGTTTGGAATTTTCGGTCCCGCCACCAGCTAACCAAAAAAGCCCAAGTTAAGGTCATCGGCGATAGGAAAGAAACGGAAAATAGGAGCTAGATGTTCAAAATCCCGGTCCATGCTTGGGCCTACCTCGGCCTTTGAAGATTACATAGATGGCGTGGGCTTTTGTGACCAGATTCAAGCTGAGCACGACTGAGAGGAGGATGAAGACGATGCATAGGGTGATGAGGAGGAGGTAGAATACCCAGGAATTCGGCACCTGAAGGTAATAGCGTAATAATAGAGGGGTAATTGTTGTCATACCTGCGATACGGTGTCTGTGATTTGCCCGGTGACGGAAGAGGCGTCACCTGCGACTCGTGCTACCGACTAAAAAATGTTTTTTTAATTTTTGGGTTTTAAAAAAGTGTCTTAAATAATTCTATATACAAATACAGTATTTTTAAAGCACAAACCCCGTCAAAATTGTCGAGCGTCTGGTTGATCCGCCCCGTAATGCCGGCAATCTGGGAGTTGATGTGCCCGACAAGACGACCAAGTTCGGACAGCGTATTCGAGAGCTCATTTACCGTATTGTCTATGGACATGTGGAGGAGAGCCCTGAAAAACGGAAATTTTGAAAGGCCAGAAAAAAGTAGACATCAAAGCACAAAAAGTGAAAGTGAAAAAAACACGCAACTGTCAAAAAGAGCACCCAACAAACCCGGCAGATTTGCATTGATTAACACCCGCATGGAGAATCACACTTTTAAAACCTTCTAAAGCATGAAGGTACTAAACTTTTAGCGGGGGGGGGTTAGCAGGGGGAAATCTAGTTTTTCCCAGTAATCCTGTTCGATCCTATAACAAAATATAACCCCATTTTTAAAGCATTCTATGCAGTATTTTAGATATAAATAGTCAATAGAAAACTTATGAAATATTAGCGTTTTGTCTTGTTGGTCAAAAATAAAGGAAAATAACCAAAAAGGTAAAAATCGTCGAATTTTCAAGAATGTGTAAAACGCTTTTGTGACCTTCTAGCAGTCCAAATTGCTCAAACACCATGAAAATAGCCTAAAGGCTAGAAAAACAAACTTAGTTTTCTCCTGTAACCCCCCCCCCCCGGATAACAGCCCAGTACCAACATGAAATCACGACAAAAATTGGTGCTACACCAACCGATACCCATATCGGGTTTTGGTGTGGACAAAAAGTCGAGGCGGCTGCTGACCATTCATTTCAACTCGGCCCGGGCGGGCGACCCTCTATTCAGCACAGCTTTTCGTTCCAACTATTCACTACTAGATCCCGATTCAAATACGATAGAGGGGAAAGTTTCGAAATTTTTAAATCAGTGTTTAAAAGTGTTCCTCTAGTTTTCAAAAGACGGAATTGTATCGTAAAGTGCGGGAGGAGAAAATGTTAGTACTGTTTCCGGGCGCCAGATGTCAATTTTCTTCATGAATATTTGATCGAGTTCGATTGGAATTCAGGGGTGGGGGGAGGGGGTGGTCTTGAAAGCTTGGAAAAGAAGATTGGAGAGTTTTGAGGGGAAGATGGTTAAAAATGCCAAATTCTAGGTATGAAAAGAGCATTCCCCGAATAACCTTTAGAATTGGGAAGGGCATGAAAATAGACAGCAACACAGCTGTATTTACCATCCAAAGAGTCCGAAGAGTCAGAATTCGGGCGACAACTTCGAAAAGCGCTTCGCTCTGACGCATCAATCCTTGAGGAAACGGTATCAGATGACGATAGTGGATAGTTCTAGAGAAGGGGGGATGGAAGGGGGAAGAAGCCTTGTTGGTTGAGTCACGAAGTGCAAATATAGGGTGGTAAGGCGGTGGAATAAAGAAAAGAAAGACATAAATCGGCAACAGGGTATTCTCATATCTGAGTTTAGGACGGGGCACAATGCAAAAAGAAGCGCCCCCCTCCCACTCATCAGAGGAGTCACGGCTACGGCATTTTGGGTTAATCGATTTCTTCAATAATTTGCCTGAAAAAATATATTATTCTAGAAATAGTAATGAAATATTGTAGAAATAAAAGGTATCGAGCATTTTAATAGATACCGCGGTACCGGACTGTTAGCGGGGGGAAGCTAATTTTTGTATTTTTCCGCCTATGGTTGATTTCCGCCCATTGATAATAGTCTTTACGGTGTTTGTAGTGGTTTTTGCTTGCTAAAAAGTCCCAAACCATTCCCTAAAAAATTTCGGAAACTCGAAAATTGTGACTATTATGGCCATTTTCATACATCGTTGACCAAAAACCAACAATTTTCGGAAACTGTCTAATTTTTGTAGACTTTTTGTATCAGAAAACCGTGTCAAGTTCCATAAAAATTGTTTTCGAAAAATTACTTGCTACGGGCTTACTGAGAAAAATTTGATCCACTCGCTAACAGTCCAGTACCAAATAGAAAGAGAGAGTTGGTATGGTTAAGAAAATTGAGCTAGAGAGAGAAAGAGAGAGAGCGAGATAGCGAGAGAGAGAGAGCGCGTGGTAAAAAACGTATAAATATATAATATGTAATATTTGTTGGAAGCTGGGAGGCTACTGCACGCCCGACCGGGACCGCTGCATCGATTTCCTATCCATCCTGAAGCCTGTCCCAGCACTCCGTTGTCCCAAAGCCCTAAAATTCTGATAACGAATTCGTTGGCTCGTGATTCAGTGCTCGAACACTCCCTTATGGCAAGTCATTGGCATTCCAGTTGTTAATGTATAGTTACTTAAGAAAAATTAATTTACAAAAATCGGCTTCTACCCTACGTATAGATAAAACCCTACCAAAAACACCTATTTACGCAGAGAGAGAAAAAAAAAGAGAGAGAGAGAGAAAGAGAGAGAGGGTTAGAGAGAGAGATAGATAGAGAGAGAGAGACGAAAGTGTTGATAGGTGTATACGTACAGTTCCCTGAACTTGCACTTTAAAGGGATAGTGACAGCTAGTAAAAAAATTGACGGAGCTAACGTGGGATCAAAAAAATTGCGTATCTAGTGGGATATATCGACGAAACATCGGAAACTGAGGCTCGTAACCGTCGGGTCTGCCCCCCCACGGCCATTGTGCCCCGATTTTATGCGTGGCTTCGATGGGCGACAAAAAGTGGCTGCGGCTCCGTTCAAACGCAAACAAATATCCAGGAGGGATGTATCATAAAATATGGGATACGGTAGATAAAATGGAAAATCGGGATTTTTAGAATATAGAACTTAATAGCTACCGGATTTCCGTTAAAGCTCCGGACCACAATTTTTTCGATTTTTTTGAGTGAAGTATCAAAATTTCGAATTTCTAAGGTAGAAATGTTTAATTGATTCAATTGATTTTCACCTTTGAAATTGCCTAAAATTAAACGGAAAAACCTGGGGCTACGACCAATACCACTAATAAAGGCCTTTAATCAGAAGAAGTACGGTATTTTTAAGGCTATGCAAATTCTGGATAAGCCACCACACATTAATAGACCCTCAAATCGTACACAACCAGAAAGTTGCCCAATTTGGTGAGGGGTGTGGATGAAAGGTAGCACCCGAGGACCAAGGGCCCACCAACACAGACACAGAGACAAGGGGCTCTATCCACCGGATAGAGTTTCTGGTCGAGCCGATGAAGGGGGGGAGGAGGGCTGGAATACCTGGAGGGTACGGGGCTTGGAACACCCGATGGCTTATAGTGGGGATGGCTGGGTTTTCTCTGCGATGGTTCCCGGGGGCCCTCCCCGACGTGCACCACATCTATTTGCACTTCCACTACCCACCCCTGGGCCCCCAACCCTGCAACCACAACCACCACTAGCTAGCCCTTTTGCTCTTGATATCTATCGGCTCTCTCGGTTGGTGGTGCTCTTCTGGTACAGATCGTTGTGGGCAGCCGGGTGGTATGTAGAGGAAGTTGGAAACTGAAGGTACTGGGCTGTTAGCAGGGCCAATTAACTTAATGAGTAACCCTGCACGACCCTATAACAAAATACAGACTATTTTTATAGGATTTTAAACAGTTTTTAGGAATATAAAAAGCTCGTAAAACCTCAAATTTTTTGCTTTTTTTGGTCGAAATGTATCAAAATTACCAAAAAAAGTCAAAATTTTTGAATTTTCAAACATTTTCCAAAGATTTTCGGTAGCTCGCTCGCAATCAAAAATTACTAAAAACATGGCAAAAATACACACTTATTATTAACAGCTAGGCGCCGAGGAAAACAAAAATTCTGAGCAAATTTAATCTTTTCAAAAATCTCTGAACGACTACGGTATTTGACAAAATTTGCTCCGAACGGAAAGGCTCACAAATTTACATTTTATCGAAGAAATCATCTCAAATTGTAATAAAAGGACTTCTAAGAAATTAGATCTCAGCAGGCCAAATAACCCTAAAAATTTCCCACTTAAACCCCTGAAAAAAACGCTGAAGGGGGAACGGTTTTCCGGGGATGTTTTTTTAAGAAATTCTCGCGCTCCTCCCAAAAATTTTTCCCTTTTCTCACAAAATGTCCCCAATTCATTAAAAACACAATTAATTTAATTTTTAACCAAATTTTTCCCCTTTTTTGAGCAAAATTTTCCCCTTTTCCCCCTCTGTTCCCTAAAACGAATATCAAAAAAAATAACCCAGAAAATTTTAAAAAAAAATAAAAAAACAAAAAAAAAAAATAAAAAAAAAAAAAAAAAAAAAAAAACCCATAGTCGGGAACGGGCTTTCATTAGATATGGTGAAAATAAAAAATATAAAAAAACCCACAACCCCCCCAAAAACACACGGAAAAAAAACAAAACAAAAAAAAAAAAACAACAAAAAAAAAAATATTAACCAAAAAAAAAAAAACCAAAAAAAAAAAAAAAAAAAAAAAAAAAACTAACAAAACAAACAACCCATACTCCCCCCCGAAAAAAAATAAAAAAAAAAATATTATTTTTTTTTAAATCCAACAAAATAAAAAAATAGAAAAACCAAAACCAAAAAAACAAAAATCCCCCAAAAAAAAGACCCCTGTTCCAAAAAAAACCCCCACCAAAAAAAAAAGCTTCTCCTTGTGAGGCCGCCCAACGTTGATCGGCCGGCCCCCGATGAAATGAGCGAAGTGGCCAGCCGTCGCGAGAAAGGGGGGGTGTTAAAAATCGTGGAATTGTGGGCCAACCGCCCTTTGGCTTGGGACCCGGGCATAAAGGACCCCGCCGGATCAGGCACCCGGGGCCAAACACAGCGCGCACCCCGGCTTCTCTTCAACCGTACGCCCCAACCGGAATTCGACTCCTCGTCTGTTGAGACACCCGCTTCAAGAAATTGGCACCCGCTCAAAAATTGGAAGGGAATATTTGCTTTTCGCCGAGAAAAAATCTAAAAATTAAACAAACATTAAAAGCTGTATTTGTAAATAGCTTTTCTCTATAAAAAGGCTTAGGCTTAGCTTAGGATTATGCTTTGGCGTCGGCTTGGGCTTGCGCTTCGGCCTGCTTAGGCTTCGGCTTAAGCTATACATAGGCTTAGGTTTAGGCTTAGGTATAAGCATAGGCTTAGGCTTAGACTTGCTCGCTTAGGGCTTCGGCTTGGTTTAGAGCTTAGGCTTAAGTTTAGGTTAGGCTTAGGCTTAGCTTA